GATATCGTGATTTTCATCCTCTGCCATATCCAAGTTAAAAATAAACAAAAAGAATTATATACTCCTATTCCATGAAACCCTATTAAATTCGCAACGTCCATAAAAACTCATTTCTTTTTCCACACTAGACCATCCCCACGGGCATCTTCTCCGCAGAATGCTTCTCCGCCGTGCTCGAGCTACTGCTCATCACAGCCGGCGTGTCCGCCAGCGGCGTCTCGCCGTCCAAGACGTGCCTTCGCATCTCAACATAGTCGTAGGCGAACTCGCCGAGCTGGCAGTCGTCGACGCCGACGTCCTCGTCGTCGGCGGTGACGCGCAGGGAGAGACCGGGGATGAGGTTCATGAGGAAGAGGATGATGCAGGAGAGGGTGAAGGAGTAGCCGAAGATGGCGCAGACGCCGGCGAGCTGGTTGCCGAGCTGGACCCAGTGGCCGTTGACCCAGCCGATGGGGCCGAAGGTGGAGCCGTCGAGGTTGGCGATGGAGGAGCTGGAGCTGGAAGTTAGCAATGATCTCACTATAAAAGAATGAGAGCTTGGATGACTTACGTTCCAAAGATGCCGGTCAAGATGTTGCCGACCATGCCGCCAATGCCGTGGACGGCGAAAATGTCGAGGGCATCGTCCACGCCAATGAGAAACTTGAGCTTGGTAGCAAAGTTGCAGCAGATGGCGCCAACGACGCCAATGATGAAGCTGGCCCAAGGAGTAACGAAGCCAGACGCAGGAGTAATTGCCACCAGGCCAGCAATAGCCCCCGAGCAGAACCCAATCGTGCTCCATTTCTTCTCCAGGCGGTAATCCAGCAGGATCCAAGTAACGCCCCCGACCGACGCAGCCAAGTTAGTCACGAAGCAGGCCATGATGGCGCGGAGGTTCATGCCCAACGCCGAACCACCGTTGAAGCCGAACCAGCCCACCCAGAGGAAGACGGTGCCGACGACGACGTTTGTGACGCTGTGCGGGCGGTAGGGCAGGCCGCGGTTCTTGTTGTAGCCGGTGCGCTTGCCTAGCATGATGCTGTAGGCGAGGGCGCAGGCGCCCGAGGACATGTGGACGGGGCCGCCGCCGGCGAAGTCGTAGTTGGGCAGCTTGGCGAGCCAGCCGTTGGCATTCCAGGTCCAGTAGGCGATGGGGTCGTAGACGACGGTGGACCAGACGAACATGAAGACGATGGCGGGGAGCATGCGGCCGCGGTCGGCGACAGCACCGATGGCGAGGGCAGGACTGGGTGTTTATGTTAGCTGCTTTTCTCCTTTTCATGTTACATCTAAATTCATTTAAGAGAGAGAGAAATCAGAGTATTTTGAGGAAGAAATAACATGATGGTTTGAAAGAGTACTCACGTAATAGCCGCAAACATGCCTTGGTACAGACAAAACAAGATATCAGGCAAGTTGGCCGAGCCATTAGGCTGAGCCAGCGTCTTCATCAGGCCAAACTGGGTGAGATCGCCGAGGAAAGCATTTCCAGTTCGAGAAAAGGTGAGCGAGTAACCCCAGAAGAACCACTGAAAGCTGATGACTCCCACAGAGACCATGGAGAGGAGGAGCAGCGAGAGGGCCGACTTGCGACGGGCGAGACCGCTGTAGTAGAAGCCCACGCCGGGGATCATGAGAAGCACGAGGGCGGAGCTAATGGCGATCCATGTCATGTGGCCGGTCTGTATTCATGAGAACTTTGTTAGTAGCTGGTTCGATAGATTGTTGTTTGGGTATCAGGGGATGAGATCGTACGTCGAAGAAGATGTTTAGGTCGCTGACTCCGGTCGAATGGCCGGAGTCTGCCTTCCCTACTGTGCCGTTATAAGGAACGACTGACGCCATGGCGATGCTTCGTTTGTTCCAGTCCGATTGTCTCAATAGTGTTATCTTCTTTGGTCTTTTCCCTTGGTGTAATCGTGTGTGAACTCGCTTTACTCCCAGTGTCGACCACGACTGGAGAAATCAAAGGCACCAGAAAGAGTTTATGACGGCAAAGGAAAAGAGACAGCTGAGATAAGGGGATGGGATGATATATATTTCCCCAAGCCTACTCCATAGGCTCCAGGGACGTGCCCAATCCATCAGCTCTGCACAGGGTCCTGCGGCCCCCCGACTTATTCCGCATAGCTCTCAGCTCGTATAGATTAAAGTTGTATCACTTGATGAGTAGCAGCCCATCAAGATCCAACGGCGTCCCATCCCACGCCCTGTAGCATAAAGGATTGTACAGCACTAGCTCCCCGAAGCCCAATAGTCTCCCACATCAGAAAAGGTACGGCATGGAATCGGGCTGCGAGTTGCGCCTCTCAAACGAGCTTATCGCCCGCGAAATGCATGGCAACTTATTGGTGCGGCATCGCTCAGTAGTGTCCGGGGTTGAAGCCACATAGATAAGTGACACAACTCCCACAGGTCGTCCATGCTGTCGGTGCCATGTTAGGTCGATGCTTATCTGGGAGGCTTATCTCTGTGTATCAAGGGCCGTTTTGGTTGGAGTAGGTGAAAGAGTACTAGCTGATGACGGACAAGCTTCCCCATTCAACAGTCTGTAATCACTGGGAAGCCTAATGGCCCGAGGATGAATCCTTTGCTCCGTGTCCATGTCTCTCTAGGAAACACAGAATTTCCTATTGTATCCGTACGGTAAGCAAAGTATAAGTTGCCGTGAGGAATAGCGTGTCTTTTGTCTCTGAGATACGACTCATTCGTCGATCGGTCAGATCGGCTGAACGTTACGCGTATCAGTAGATGATGCGTTTCATCTCGAGAGTCTATCTCGTGGCACCATAGAAATAGTATAAGTGCACGAACCTGCAGTGCGATGTTGCATTGCTAGACCACTCCATAAAACATCATGAACTCCAGCATGGAGAACGACTCCACCCGAATACCAGGTAATGCGGGCTATTGCAAGGAGGTGCAGAACAGCATCTCATGCCAGATCTGAGCCACACCTAAAAGAGAGGCATGGCGTAAAAAGGCAACTGATAGTGAATGCGCATCTCATCCATAAGGGCAGATAATCAGAAGGCTTTACGCAAAGCCATTTGTGCTTATCCGCCGTTGTCTTACACACCACATGGTCCTTATCAGTGGCATCAGTCTCCAAGCCTCTGGTGTTGGCTGCCACGGACTCTATTCCCGGTCTGGCGTAGACGCTCACTTAGACGCATGGCACCCCAGCTAGAGAATGCCCACGACGCTGCCGTCCGGGGTAGTTGATTGGGCGACGTTCCTTATCTCTTGGAGTGGCGCTTGTGGGGGCACTTCAGGCTGGTCTTAGCGCGATGAAGCTGTGCCTGATGGCTTCTCAGCTTGATGCCTCGATATCCAGCTCCCCGTGTTTTCCGGATGCTTGGCATAGATAGGGCGCTGTGAGCCGTTTGGATAAAGACGAGTAGCGCGCGCCGTTACGGATGAGTAGTGAGTCTGCGAATGCAGAATTCGCTCACGTAGGTGACAACCGAGTCGAGTCGAACAATTAACTTTGTTTTCACATGCGTCTTGTCAATCGCCCCGGATTCTCGGACCTGCAGCTGTGGCGCATCCATCCGAATTAGTGAAGCCGACGAATTTCATATTGCACCAAGCACAAAACAGCGATGTTGCGGATATATGAAAGGCACGGCTTCAAATTGGTATATTCGATGACAAGAATGTGAAATGAAACATGCCGGCAAACGGTTGCTTGGTGACATGAGTTTCACCGATTCCTAGCAGCTTGAACTTTGCTGAGATCCGGCTATTCCATGTTTGCTGGAGACGCTGCTTATGTGGCAGCATATTGTGAAAACAGGGATCCCTAGATCTGTTTCTCAATAAACTCTGGCCAAACTTGTGTGTCTGGCGGCGTGTCTATCATGCCGGATGGTTGCTCATAACGAGCTCTGCCACGCCTCTATCTGGCAGTCCTCCGGATGCAATGCTTTGACAGCAAAAGATGCACTTTGGCACTGTAGAGTGATATGTCGTGGTATGCTGGGCATGGCGTCTAAGCAGTTAAAGAACGCCACTCATGGTTCTACGTTTCCTCCCGAGCCTCCCTGAACCTCGTTCCTCCATTGGTTCTCCAGTTCTATGAGGCACTTTGCAACATCCCAAGGAGTGTCTTCCTCCAACGTTGTCCGGGTTTCGCGAGAAATCTTCTTGAGTACATAGCGACTCACTGTAGCCGCATCTCGTTCCTCAGGTCGGCCAATGCCAACGGCAACGCGAGCAAAGAGCGAATCCGGATACTTTTTTGATGAAAGAGACGACCTAACACTCTTGATGCCGTTGTGGCCCCGAGGGCTGCGGTCCCAGGGAATAAGCTTGACAACCCCCAAGTCCTTTTCCAATTCGTCGTGAACAATCACCAGACCGAGTGACTCTGCGCCGTACTTCTTGACTGTATCCTGCCACACCTTGGCCACAAAGCCTCCAGACACATTCATATAAGTCGGAGACTGCACGAGAATGTACTTTGGTCCCTGGGACACCAGATATGACTGTCGGCCAAGCGTCACCTCGCGGAATGACGGCTGCTGAAGGGCTTTAGTGAGGCCATTGAGAACGAAATGGCCGGCTGAGTGCAGGCTCTCGTACTTTGGCAGTGGATTCCCAAGGCTGATGACGAGAAACCGGGGGCTGAACATGCTTCTCCCGCAAAACCAGAAACTCCAAAACCCGCTTCAATTCCGTCCGGCTTGTAAATCAATTGGCCGGGGGTGACGGATTTGGAAGAAAAATCGGTCGGCGTTGGCGTAGATGCTGGGCTCACGTGAGAGCGACGGTTTGCAGGTGTGGCTGAGCCGGTGGTCGCTGACGTCGATGAGCCCAATTGGGCGCAGCATATCGTGGCTGCGCTGCCCCCGAATCGTCACTTCCGGCTGCTCGTCGCAAACTCCTTTCTCCATCATCAACCGCGAACAGTTCGAAGCAGCGTCCACCAGCGAAGCAATACTCGATATCCCGATATTACCAATAGCGAGGAGTACAGCAGTCATCCTAATCAGAACGAGAATCAAACAGCCATCATGTCGTGGGCGGGTACGGAGCTTGCGGATGCCCCGCTGACGAGATGCGAGGGGCTGACAGTTTGCTACAGGCTTCAAGAAGAATGTGAACCGTGCGACGACGCAGGTGATGATGAAGACGGGTGAGCCCGGCTTGAGACTTCTGCATGCTGTGTATAGGGCGCAAGTCTGACCTGGCTATATGTAGGGCATGTGGAGAAGACAAATGATCGTGACTATGAGGTCGAGGAAAGGTAAAAATGAGCAAACAAGATTTCTACGAGAGACGAAGCATGCTGACCAATCTGCAGACGGTTCAGGACTATGGAGACAGCCTCATTACGGCTGCAGAAGGAATCAAAAGGCTACCTAGACTCTCTGAGAGGTGCGCAGACATGAGACTGCCCTGACCGAAGATGCCGGACCTCGAACTGATGCCTTGTACAGCCATGACAGCTTCACAGATGAGAATTGCCGAGACGATAGATGCGTTTTACGGCGACTCGGGCGCGAAGGACGGCGTCAGCAGAAGCTACAAGCAAGCCGTGGAAGACCTCGATGCCGAGACCATCAAAGCCCTCGACGGCCCCTATCGAACGACCGTGCTCGAGCCTATTGGCCGCTTCTGCGCCTACTTCCCCGACGTCAACGAAGCCATCAAGAAACGCTCCCACAAACTCCTCGACTACGACGCCCTCCGCGCCAAGGTGAAGAAGCTTGTCGAGAAGCCAGATAAGGACGCCACGAAGCTGCCGCGCACAGAAAAGGAGTTGGAAATGTCAAAGGCCGTGTACGAACAGCTGAATGAGCAGCTTACCACTGAGCTGCCGCAGCTGATTGACCTGCGGGTGCCCTACCTGGATCCCAGCTTTGAGGCCCTGGTCAAGATCCAGCTGAGGTTCTGTGCGGAAGCATACTCGCGTATGGCGCAGGTGCAGCAGTATCTTGATGCGGATACCAGAGACCAGTACGCAGAGGGTCATCTGGACGCGAGAGTAGAGCAGGTTTTGCAGGAGATTCGGGAGTTGAGCATTAGCGGAACGGTATGATTGGATTGGATAGGTATTGAGGCATTTCAAAACAAAAAGAACCTGTGTTTCGTGGAGACGTGATTAGGAAACGAGGGGTTTGCGAATTACAAGCTGCCGGCGTATGGGTTGATTGGAATGATGTTTATTTAATGTTACTAGATATTGGTTTGCTCAGGATGAGTCTATGGATAGACTAATGCTTGCTTGCCCGAACTGGAATCATGCCTTTGGTATGGCGCTGTGTTCCGTATAATGAAATTATTCATAATCAAGTCTTCCCATCATGTTATGAGGCAGCTTCAAGCGAATGCCTCTGGTGTATCCTTGAAACAATATCTCCGCGTCTTATGATGGCTCGATTGCTAGGAGTTGCTGGCTCCTCTCTTTTCTGCCGTAATAACCGTGCCTCGTTCAATGCCCTCTATCGAAAAATAGTCGTCAATTTCGTGCCAAATTGGGTAAAACAGATTGCGTAAAAGCTACAATGTCAAAAAATTCCTTGTGCCTCAGAGACGTTCAACTCCCCCCAGCCGCTTGCTGTCTCCCAAATAGCTCGTTAAGCGTCAGAGGACGACCGATCGCCTGCATTGCCGGACCAGCTTCTGGCCTTGGGCCTTCATCTACTACCGTCCCTGCAGCACGAGCAATCTTCCAGCTCTCTTCAATGATGGCTCCATTGGTAGCCCGAGTTCCCTCCTCGTCATTGTGAATCCACAGTCCAACGATCTTCTCGCCCTCTTCCCAATGGCCCTCAACTTTGAGAATTACCAGCTCCCCCATGATTTCCACATGGCCCACCTTTGCCAAATCAACAATCACATTGTCAAGACCGCGACGGCTCAGAACAAAGACACAGGCCCGAGGGCGGTGGTCGGGATCCTCTGGCAGCGGCGTCTGCGCGCAAACAAACATCGTGCCCTCGATGCCGGACTTCTCCCAGCCTTGGCTTGCGTTGTCAAATGTATAGACCACGGCGTTGGCGGCGATGCTCAGGATCCTGCTGATGGACGGCAGATAGCGCTGGAGCACGGAGAGGTTGAGCTCGGTGTTTGTTCGCGGCGGCGGGGCCTCGTATCTGGAGGTTGTGATGGCGGCGTCGGATTCGTAGTCGGAGATGGCGGGGATGCGGTTTGAAGGGTGGCGGTTGTGCCGCGGCTTTCTAGGCGTTGGTTTATTGCTCATGATGGCTGTTGTTGTGGGTTTTGTCTCTTCTTCAAAGTAGCTGTATGGGTAGGATAGCACTCTGCTTCGATGTGATGCGGTGTATCTTTCTCTGCGGGTGGCAATCGAGGCTGTGCGGTTGTCGCAAGAAACCAGATAGAGATTTCTTATGGGGATAGTCGAGAGGAGCTGCTGCTTAAAGGTTACTAGATATGGCGATATCGGCGAATTTGCGTATGCAGAGCGGCAGTTGGAAGCTGAAGCTGATGATGATGCCGGGGAGCTACTAGCAGTGCTAGCACGGGCCTAGAGGGGGCCGATAGCTGCTAACGATGCCTATCGATAAGAGCCTAGCAGCCGGGGACTTGCATGACGCGAGCTCTCAGGCGACATTGCCATCCATTGTAACGATACCTTGCTCAACAAACTTGATTGCTGCATCGTCGGTGCCTGGCAGTTTTGGGAAATCCTTTATTCGGCTGGAGTACAGCACCGAGCCTGTTATTGCTTATTCAGCTTTTCACAGTATCAGACTTGCATAATTGCTACATCTACGAATTGTACAGCTACACTTATAGCATATGCGGCCATCTCGTCTCTGCCTGTGTCGCAGTCGCAACCACTGCCGCCGCACCATGATCTAGCAGCCAGGCGGTCGCAAGAAGATCCACGACTCTGAGAGGTAGCGACGTCGCTTTCAACTATCTTCTTCTTCGACATCGTCGCACTACGCAATGGAAGAGCCACCGCGAGACCAGTCCGTCGGGTCTGAGCCGGTGGACGTCGGAGTCCCTCAGTCTCTGGCCAGAGCTGTGCTGTCTCGTCGCTCCGAATATCTTCGTCCAAACACGGTCCGCATCAAGGTGGGTACCTGGAATGTGGCGGCCTGCACAGGAACCGACAAAGACCTCGCGAGCTGGTTCACCGAAGAATTTGAAACTGGCGAGGCCATCTCGAGGCTCGACATCTCAGGAGATGGCCCCTCAAAGCGTCCAGCCGAGTCGGACGAGAAAGGCCATAAGCCAGTGGAATTAGAGAGTGGCGAGGGTTATGATCTCTATGTTCTGGGACTGCAAGAGGTGGTGGATCTCAGCAAGACTGGAGAGTACATGAGCCGAATATACGTTGACAACGGACCCATGGAGAAATGGACTGCAGCGGCGGAAGCGGCAATGCCTCCGGGCTACCAACTGGTTGTGTCTGAGCAAATGACGGGGCTGCTACTCTTGGTGTACGCTTCTCCCACGATTGCTCCCACCATCAGCAATGTGTCCACGCGGCAGGTCGGAACCGGTCTTCTTGGGTATTTTGGAAACAAAGGGGCTGTAGCAACGCGCCTTGTGCTGGGAGAAACCACAAAGCTCCTCTTTGTCAATTGCCATCTCGCTAGCGGCGCAGATAACGCATCGCTTGACAGACGGTGCTGGGATGTAGGGCAGATCGTGTTCAAGACGCAGTTCGACCCGGTGGTGATTAGCGGCGTGTCTGATGACGACGGAGACCGGATTGGGGACGAAGACTACGCATTCTGGTTTGGAGATTTGAACTTCCGCCTAGACGGCCTTCCAGGAGACGACATCAGAAGGCTCCTAACATTGCATGCTCGAGGGGAGTACGATCTGAGCAACGACAAGGTGCCACCACCCATAGAAGGCGGCGATGGAATTATTGTCACGAGAACTTCTGAAAGCGATGACGAGACAACCACAATGTCATCAATGCATTCTCGCGATCATAGCTTTGATCAGAGTTTTGACTCAGCCAGCTCGTTGCCGGATCCAGATGACTTCCCAGATGATCCCAGCCAGGACCCGGCATCTCTTCAAGCAACTATCGATTCACTGCTGCCGCATGACCAGCTGAGGCGAGTCATTGCAAAACAGAGGCTTTTCCACGACGGCTGGAGAGAAGGCCCCATTTCATTTTTACCGACATTCAAATACGACGTCGGTACATTTGGCTTATTCGATACGAGCGAGAAGCAGAGGGCTCCCAGCTGGTGCGATCGGATCCTTTACAGGACACGCAAAGACAGAGAGGAGTATGAGAAGAAAGCAGAGGCCTTGAAAGAGACCAAGCGGAAAGACGAAGAGATGAGGGCAAGAGGGCTTGATCAGGATGATGATGTCCTCTTTAGCTACGACCCTGACGCCGATGGAGCAGCAGACTTGCCTCCAAAGGGTGCCACCGCTAATTACAAGGCATATGATGAATATGATGAATACGACGAAAATGACGATGGGGAAGCATTGAATGATGCCTCACAAGAAGAACTCTTTCTTGAGCTTTACAACTCGTTTCAGCGAGTCACATCATCAGACCATAAGCCGGTTGTTTCCACATTTACACTCAACTACGACGCTGTTGACCAGGAAAAGAAGGCGCAGATTCATGCAGAGATTGCCTTTGAGCTGGACCGAGCTGAGAACGAAGGCCGGCCCGGCGTCACCCTCATCGTGGAAGGCGGTTACGGCCAGACAGACGGTGCCGTCGACTTTGGCAAAGTAGGCTTCTTCGAGACGCATTCTTGCCTCATAACCATTGCCAATACCAGCAGTGCCGCTGCTAGCCTCGAGTTTCTAAACGAGTCGCACTCTAGTGAAGACGAATCAGGTGCAGCAAAATGGCTCAAGACTTCGTTCCACCGACCCGACGATGATGGACATAAAGCCATGCTGGGATCGTCAGTGACCCTCGAACCCGGCGAGACGGTAATGGTCGTGATTGAGGCACGAGTTTCCGAGATTTCACATGTGCGTGGGTTAAACGACACCAGCTGCAAGCTAGATGAAGTTTTGGTCTTGCGCGTCGAGGGAGGCAAAGATCACTTTGTGCCAGTACACGGAACATGGCTCCCGAGTTGCTTTGGAAGATCGATTGACGAGCTAATTCGCGTTCCCGATTACGGAATTCGAAAGTTTGTCAAAGATAACAATATCCAAGGAACCATTACGTATGACTGGGACGTGCACTGCTCCGCACCCCGAGAACTATTCAAGCTCACCGAAGTGATACAAACCATGACTGAACGATGTGTAGCGGATGAAGCGATGCTGGAGGAGCTGACCATCCCGCGGGACCCTGGCTGGCCATTGGATTCCTCTACCTGGACGATAGAAGCCGACAAACAAGACACTCTCAAAGCAGCACTGATATCAGCCTTGGATAGCCATTCGCCTCTTACAGACGCTCTGCCCGTGGAACTTTTATCAACACAAAAGCTGGAGATTTACTCTTCCGTCTTACTTTTATTCCTTGCGTCTCTCATGGATGGGCTCATCCCGCCGCATCTATGGGCTAAGCTCTCAATAGAATTGCCCAACCTCACGTCGACTCCCGTAAGTGCATGGCCCGATGTGAAGAACCACATCTTGGACTCGCTTTCCACTTCCCCAAGCCACAACATTGCATTCGTCTTCCTGACGGCGACCCTATCGCGTGTGGTTGCTGAGCTCAGTCCCGCCACCCAGCCACCAACACCAGCGCTCGGGGCTCTCACGCGACGATTGAGCTTCCGCCCCAACGAAACTGAGGCAGCTAGAAAGAGAAGGACACGAGAGAGGAGATACGCTGAACTAGTGAGTCCGCTGCTGTTCCGATCGAGTGATGACAAGGACAAGGCGAAGAGGGACCGAGAGCGGGTTGTGCTGGAAATGTTTTTGAAGAGGGATGATCGGAGCTAGATGCTCAATAAAGGAGGGCGGCTAGCCCGGAAGAAGATGAGGTGGCGCTGAATGCTTGAAGTGACTTTTTCTAGAAGGTCGGAAGAATATCCTTTTTCTGATATGACTTCAGTAGATTCACGTTATTGCCAGCTGGAGGGACACGTTTGTGGAGAGAAGATTATAGGAGTTGGCGCCTTTTTGTGGGGCTTTGGGCATGCTGCAAGCGAAATATGGGAGTGTTTTTGGTACTATTATTCATGTTGATACCTTGCTGTGAAGCTGGGGAGTTTATATATATAGCAGTGGTTTGTAGATAGTTCTTATGTGGCGAGTCTCGGAACATTATTGGCTTCATATATTTCAACGACGAGGAATATTATTGGCTCCGCGTCAGGATTACAGCCAGGAATGGCAATAGCTTCATCTGGTTAGCAGCCAAAAACATAACTGGCTTCGTGTTCTTTAACAGCCACTGACATAGTGGCTATGATAGTTATTGCGTGGCATGTTCATTTCAACAGCCACCGGCCCAGTGGCTATACCCAAGTGGAGGGTGGCTTCTCTCTCATATAATCATGCGGTAACGTTTGCAGCCTATTCGACAGCGTTTGATAGAAGCATGTGCGTGTCCCTGCTTTGTAGCGGCTGTGTATACCTGTCGTGTTTGCCTAGACACTATGTTGGGAGAAGTGACTGCACGATAGGGGCAAAAGCTTGGCATACAAACGAATTCTCTCTAGCCATGCATCGGACTTAGGACACAACACACACGCAAAGAGAGAAAGAGATGGAGAGAAAAAGAAATGCAGAAATGCAGAATTGGAAATGCCGTTGCAGAAAGTTTACCGGATGAAGAGCGGTCAGGCAGTGCTTCAACTGGCAGGCACCGCCATGAGAAACCTCAACTTGTTCATCACCTCTCTCATCATCTCCTCTGTTCTTTTCTCTCTCACCTACTTTTCTTTGCTTCCATGTGCGGCCTTTTGCTTCTTTTGCTTGATCGTCTCTCTCGCACTTCTTTTACTATTTTTCTCTTGGACGCGTCACCAACTTCTCCTCTGGATGAACCAAAAAAGACTTCTGCTATACTTTTCGCTACGTGTCTACCGAGACTATTCGTCTTGACTAGCTCTATCTGTGTGATGGATCAAGTCGTTCGACTTGTCTCTAGCTCTGTTTGATGCTCCATATCTCAGAAACTCACGATCGACCGGCGAAAGAAGACTTTCTAGCAAACGCCCCAAAGTTAAACTGAGCGGACTCTGCTAAATCGTTCTACAATAAAATACTATTTCGCCCTTGTGCTGATACATGCATAGTGCTGCCGTCGAAGAGCACTCAACAAATACAGTTGACTCTACGCTGCGATGTTTTGCGTGGTCCTCTGGTCGAGATTAGTATCTTTCGGCTCCAAAGTCTATTCTCTGTCAGTTTGCAAGCGCCTCCACCAGAAACTTTTCTTCGGCATCAATTTTCTAACTCGATTATAAAAAGACTAAAGCTTCCGGCGCTCCCTTTCCCTCCATGTTTGTTATTCGCCTGCACAACATCTCGACTACTCGGCTACTCTCCGTTGGTCCCCCTGGTTAACAAGACTCGATCTTCTTTGGAGGCTTCTTCAACAGCTTCCGATTTGGCTTTACATATACTCCAAATATCAGACAGGTCAACTACGCCGATTACTCGTTTCATTTCCTTGACGCCTACAATTCTTGCTTTCTGGCTATCCAATTGACTAGCCTTGCTCTGTCGTCACTGGGTGCTCAGTCTTTCTGGCACTGCAATATTTGCTGCCCCTGTACATACCTCATTCATCTGGGGCACACGCAAACAGTTCTTCTCAAGATGGCGGAAATGCGAAGGATCTGTCGCACCGCGGCGTCGTCTATAACTCACAGGCGACTATATATCTGCATGATCGAACGAAGAATCATCTCCTATAGTGAGGTGCGTGAAGTCTTCAGGGATTATGCGATACCGTCTCTTCGAGAGTATCTGCTACCTGACATGGAAAATTCTCCTCCAAGCCCGCCAAGTGACTGGGGCTCGCTTCATGACCCATTCCAACCGGTAAGCAGTGCGCAAATATCGAGAGTCACAAGCTGTTTTTACTGACGTGCCTGACTAGGTCGACACAGCATACTTCAAAGCGGTTATGTCGCCATGGAACCGTCTCTTTATTTCCCAATTCGTCGAATACGTCAGATCCAAGATGCTCGTAGGAATCCCACTCCCTCTCATCTTCACCTCGCCAGCCACTAAATATGAGGCGTGGAAGATGGATAAAGAGTACAAGGATCTTTACGTTGCTACCATCACCCTTGAAAAGTCTGTGAAAGCTATCAAGGAGAGGACTTCCATCAAATCGCCTCCCGCTGCTCACGGAGTTAAAAGGCGGGCTCAGCGTCTTCGCTCGCGCGGCTTCGGAAGTGGCCTTAGAGAGGTCATCTCTGTGGATGAAGAGTGGCCCGAAGAAGGCTGGGCAAGTTCAGTTGTATTGAAGGGTGTCAGTTACGACGTTAGACTTCAAATCAGGATGAAAGAGAAAGGCAGACCGTTCCTCCTCGACAATGACCCCACGGATCGCTCTGGCATTATACCTGAGTCACGGCTTTTGAAGATGCTGAAGCTAGATTAGTAGCGCTTCCAGCATCGATAACCAATGACTACGAGCATACGAAGACGAACGGCTTGCGTCAATCCACGGAGGCGGGCAAAAGTGTACAACAAGGTGGACTTTACGGGAAATACTAGACATGAAGGCGATATTATGGATTCTTTTCGGGGTGATTTTGGGGTGCGCAAGGGCATATTGAACTTGCATGAACTGGCGTCCTATTCACATGACGACCAAGCCAGGCTGGATATGCACTGGAAAGGAATCGAATACTAGAGAGGCATAGACAAAAAGGATTGTCATAGAGCCTAGGGGTAAAAGATTTGGGGGCTCTTGGGGTTTTGGGGGTTTGGGGTTTTTTGCTTTTTTCAGTCATTACTGCTTGTGTAAGATGTGTGTTGCTTTGGTATAGCCCGGATATGTCCTATAAGTCTAGCAATTATCTAGGTAGTACTAATCAAAATGACTTGGCGCTTCATTTCTCAGTTGTTTTCTGTTTAGATGCGGCCCTTTGTCTAGATGATTGCAGATGAGCTTCCTTTGCACGGCCATGGCCCTGACGACTGCCAAGCCACGCTTTGTAGGTAGCTGAAAGTGAGACACATTACATGATCGATTCCATGACTTGGGCACCTGAATCTAAAAAGAAAAGAAAAGAAAAGAAAAGAAAAGAAAAGAAAAGAAAAAAAACTAATAACGTCTCGAGCCAACAAACAATTAAAAGCCTTCAATGCTTGGCAGCCACCAATTTTAATCACTAGATAGTACCTGTAGTTGGTTTCAAGTCCAATAGTGCTCCCAGCTCCCAACTAGTAGTAGTAGTAGTAGAATTCGGGGGGTCCATGCGTTAGCTTCCGAGCCGAGACGGACGGGCTGAATCGCGCCGCTGGGCCTTCCCGTCTTTTGCCGCTCGTTTTCATGCGCTAATCCTAGTTTGAGAGGAGGCCCCCGATTTTACCTACACATGGGCATTCAGGGTTTGGTTTTGTTTGTTTGCTTGTTGGTCTGTTGGTTCTGTTGATCTGCTGTTCGACATGGCATGAATGTTTGGTAAACACTCCCTGCTTTTACCTATGTCAGTGTCTATTGAATCATCTGCTATTCTATATGCAGTATTTCGCGTTTACTACTACTATCAGGTAGCATTGAATGGTTCTAGTAGTATCAAGTTTTTTTTTTTTTTTTGCCGCCGATGACAGCGGTTCGTTGCGGGGCCTGGCGTGGGCAAAATGTATGGAGAATGGAGTCGTATATACGTGTTAACGGTGTTGGCATGCATGATGTACTGGCTTGTTGCTCTTTCAAGTCAAAGCCCTTTTTTAAGAACATGCTTTGGAACTAAATTGGGCACGGCTCTGCGGAAGGCGGAATATGGAGTTGTTTTCTCGCTTTTTTTTTGGCTTGAGAATGCGCGGGAAAAATGGGAATTGGTAAACCTTTAGTGAGTCTCAGGGGAAGGAAAAAAATATAAAAAGTAGGGAGTATACCTACCTAGGCAGCAATATCATGTTGTTGGGTCCTCGAGCAACGCAAACGCATATGGTACCGCTCCGCGCTTATCCGCCCTTCATACGCGTCAGCCTGACGGCACCTCAAACATACAAATCCACTTACACCAAATAATGATAATCGTCAAGTAGATGGTCGTCATCTATACATGCGTGCTCCAAATCGAGACATCCGGCACAAGTACCGACATAGTACTAGTAGTACTACTACTACTCTATTTGGCTTGTTATTCCTGCTGACTTGCATATGATATGACATGACAAGTAAGGCAGACTTGCGGGCGTGCCAGCACCATGCGCAGTACGTTGTGACAGCTCCGCATATGCGGCTGCATGACTATATATTGATTCGGACGATCAGACAAAAGGCTGTTGAGGAACCCCATGTGTCAAACGTCAAAGTGACGCCAAGACCATGCTCAATGATTCGCTGGCTAATATGATTTGAAAGAAGAGCCTCTAAACCAGACACACTATGCACCATGATATCCGGTCGTGAAATCCCCAGCGTCAAAAAAGAGTGAATTATTACTAGCACTAGTGGCTTAACTAAAAGAGTGATTACCTGTACCTTTATATCCTTGTCCCATCAAATCCGTCGCTTTTCTCCGAAATACCCATTCGCTGTGTTCATCATGCAATGCAACCCATCTGTTTGGATATGATGTCACCTGTGCCAATCCTATCCTGACACTCTAATATGGGGACAACGGCTCTGTCTGGTACGTTGGATGTGGCCCCCAATTGCCTTCAAACAGCTGCGCAATCCAATAGTGGGAGTGGTCCCAATCGTAACGGCTCTGGCGCCCTTGATACGATCTACCCTCAATCACTTTCGGAGCCGGGGCTTCCACTGCAATAAAACTGGTAAGCAATACTGCAACTCGCTACTCACAGCGTTATCAAAACTTACCACTTCCGTTATTCTCCTTGTACATTTGCCATGTACCCAATTGTCTCTGTGTTTGAGCATCATCGTAGGCATCCAACACAAGCGCGTGTTGGCACGAATTCAGGTAAGCCAGACTAGTCTTATGTCTGTCAGGATGACCAATGGTTTCTGTCCATCCATCGGTGTTGTAATAATGCCAATGGTGAAGAAGATTGTTGCAACCATCTTGCAGTTGCTCTACAAACTCGGGGATCGAATAACGAAGCTGAAATAAGGCAAGGTTAATAAGAAATAGCACTGGACTAGCATGGCACAGATTCCACTTACACTAGAGCCGAAATTGTTTCGCGCGTGGCGATAGCGATCTTCGCTCAACCAGCTTGCTTCGCGCAAAAGAATAAACAAGCAAAGGTAGACCGTGTACCACATCGTTGTCGAGCCTCGTGACATGAAGCCTTCGAGTTCGCTAAGAACTTTCTTTCCATACTTGTGGAGAAGATGGGTGTTGATGCTGTCAAACTGAGCCAGTATCATGCGTGGCACCGAAACCTTTCCAAACAATGGATAGGATTCATCTCTCATCTCGGGCTTCATCTCCAATGTATCTTCGCCGCAGATCCACGAAGACCCAGTTGAGTGGCCTAGCAGCTCTTAGTCAGCCTCAATTGCATCTCTCCATCCGATTATGCAACAACTTACGCATGGCAAACCAGAAATGAAACAAAACTTTTAGGAAATCTCTTTCCTTCTCCTCAGACAATGTGAGGAAGGGCTTACTCTAAGCCGGCCTGTTATTAAACCCAATCAATCACAAGCGGATCTTGAAATCACTTACCGTCAAATCTTCGTAGTGTTCTATGGCTGCTTTGTATGTCGTCTCGACCATGTTTCGTGGAGCTCTCTCCCCACCAGCTCTCTCTCTCTTCATAGTTTCGACTGCATGATTCTCGATATATTCCTTGTAGTACGCTGCGGTTTTATGAATGTCGGCCAAGCAAAAGGGCGCCAAGTCTTTCCTCTTTCGCACCCCGTGCTCACCGCCAGGGACCGTCCAGAATCGCGCAAGCACATCGCCAACACGGGGACGGAATTCGGTCACCTTCACGATGATGGGATGTTTGGATATACCCAGAGTGAAAGAGATGGTGCGAAAGCTCCTTGGACTGACCCGGTCTCCCACGTCCTTCATGTCCGTGCCTCTCCAGCGGTTAGTGAGCTGAAGCCCACCACTGCGGTACAAGACGGCGTCTGTGATTTTGCCGCGATAACACGGCATTCGATGGATTGTCTTCTTTGACGTCTTCGAGTAGTTTCTGCACCCTACGCAATCTCCCAACAGGTCCGTTGAGTCAGGCTCACACTACCGCACGACATTAGCCGTCAAAAACAAACCAATTGGCTCGGGCGTAAGAAACGAAAATCTGGCTTACCTTCATCTTTTGCATCCGGCATCGAACACATGCTTTGACCTTCTTGACCTCATTTTGTTTGGAAGACCCAAGGATAGTTCGCCTTGATGGAGGACCCGAAGCGAGCTGAGATCTTGTCCGCTTAAGAGACGGCACTGGTTCCACAATTGCTTCCGGCGAACTGCCATGGGCATCCGCATCAGTGTCTGTATTATCAAGCTCTTCCAAATCATCTGATATATAATGATGATGGGCAGGCTCAGCACGGCCATGTTGGCGAGGTTCGTGGTTAGGACTCATCATGGGCAGCCAATTCTGCGTTTGAATAGCTCCATCTAGCATGTCTCCAAATCCTGTGAAGGGCGGAGAAATCGCTCCGGGCGCTTGACTTTGATACTCATTCATGGCTATTTGACGAGAGTCATGGGGGTCATACGGTCCTCCTCCCATGACGGGGTCGTTGAAGTGAGCCGGGTATGGAAGGTTTGTATCCTGGGCTTCCTGAGTGAGAGGAGTGGTCTCTTGTGGTGCCTGAAGTAATAAGATGAGCGAGTGGTTAATTCAATTGATGGAGATTGTGGAAGAAATAGTTGCTTTGAATCTAGAAAGGGCCAAATTCTTGCTCTTGAAATATATGGATGCAGTAGAAGGTAGTGCAAGGCCGACGACTTAATCCGGGGGGGGGATGGGACATAGGTCTTGACTCACGGTATAAACAGGAGTGTGCGGATTTTGCTGAAATAAGTCAGAGTTGGTAGGACCAAATGATGGCACCCCTTGAAAGATATACTGTTGCTGGGAACGAGGCCGGGCAATGTTGAAGCTATCGGGTTGGCTAGTGGCATGAAAATGCTGAGAAGGAAATGCATTCAGCGCCTCTGGGGAGGGATGGCCTTGGATCAGCATGGTGCTGTCGCCATAGTAAAGCCTATTATCAGATCCAAGGGAGTACGGCGGGCAAGGGCCACCGTTTGTGTTACCTACATACGGCTGCGGCTGATATGCATTATAGACCTGGGGATCAGGTGGCAGACCATTCAGAGACAATTGTCCAGCAGGGGCCACCACCGGCACACGCGTTGTTTCGGTGACGCCAGCAGAGTTTGTCGACGAAGAGAGCATGTAAGCCGCATCATACGGATAGAGCTGAATAGAAGACTGTGCGCCATGAGTCGCTGAACTGACTCCATAGGGCCAGGTAAAGGCAGCTGAGGTTGTATCATTGGAGGCCACACTATCGTTGCTTGTTTTTCTGCGCTTTTGCCGACGACCGCTTGCTGGGGAGGACTATGAAGGAAACCGGTCAAAACTCAATGTCTTTCTTCAGGCTGTCTTGGCCGGTTGAGCATCAACCCCCGGCTCAGTAGGATGAGGGGGCTGGCAAGCTGCAACAGCCGATAAGACAGGCAGCGCACCGCCCATCTCATGCGTCATATATACACAGCTGGGAGTAGACGAATACAAGTAAACGAGGGGGTAACATTTGGGGGGGTGCGAGACGACAAATAAAACAAAAGGCAAGGAAATAAAGTAAGTTGATGAATCAAGGAAAGGAAAGAATCTCCCGCGTATAACAAGCCAGAGCAGCGGAATCGCCAGAACCGCAGCGAGTCAGAGCCAAGCGACTCATTCATTCGCGCAATGCATGCTGCCCGCCACCTGCACAAATCGTACCAGAGATGGGGATGGACGTCACACTTACGGGGATGCTGGGAGAGCGTACCACAACGGTTGTCTCCATGGCTGCTGCGGCGCAACGCTGGCAGGCCACAGGAGGGTGTGTTGCACAGCTCGATGATTGAAACCGGCCAAAAGAGCAAGGACAAGCAGTTGTCTGCCGCGCGATAGGGGAGACAGCACGAAGCCGGGACGGGGCACAGAGTTTCCACCAGAGAGGAGCCCCCAGGAGCGTTTCCGAGGGGACGCAGAAGCGGGAGAGCGGGCAGCGTGGGACTGGCCGCTGCGTCTGTTCAACGGGGGTGATGTGCGCTGGTCGTACCGTATCACATCAAACGAAATAGCCTGACGGAGGCAGAACTCGAGAGGCACCGCCCAAAGGAGGAGCTCAGAGAAGGGTGGGAAAGGAAACCGGGGGATTGACAGCAACTGTGATCGCAGGGGGCCGTATTTGTACAAGTACTCGTCGCACCAGAAAGCACAAAGGATGCGCTCGATGGCCGCGACGCCTCCCATACCGTTCTATCGGGACGTAGCCTTCTCGATCAGGGAACGTCGTCGGGCGCCCTGCAGCAGATGGCGGTACATTGCCGTCCGCGGCGCTGGCGAAGAGGACGAGGTATCGACGAGGTATCGGCCAGGGGCCTGTCTCGCGGCGGCCGAGCTGGAGGAGCGGCTGAACAGCGCTGGATTTGCTTCTTCTCAGCTCTGCTGCGGCGCCCGCATCGCCGCCCGCTATTATTCACCCCCCATCACGGCGACTGGCGGCTGTCTGCCAATCTGAAAAAGGCCTCAGACGCAAGGGGACCCGAGACTAGCAGCGCGGCCGGGACGGTTGCAGTTCGTTTCTTTTTGGAGTTGAGTCGGCCATTCTGGGCCTGGTGGCGGAGGCATGGCAAGCAGAGGACTGGGGCCGTGGCTGGGGCCTGGATCTGGCACGACATGAATTCGACGAGACATGGATTGTCGTGGATTGGAGTTTGACAAGCTTGAAGTGCAGGCAGCATTTCCAGGTCTCGATACAGTTGAGTACTACCTATCGGAATGAGTGCCGGTCCGATCCTCTGAGCTTGCATCACCGACAAGGCAGGAGCTGGATACCTGGATGGAGCACGCAAACGCAGCACATCGCCATGTAGCTTTCTTTCTGCCCGAGGTATCAACTTCAATGCGGCCTGGAGAAACAAACAGCACCTCCTTGCAGAGATGGCTTCAGCTCTACCAATATTTCACCGACACAGACAAATGCGACTACACGCTGGTCGCAGCCTCTCATCCTGCCGCTCCTCTGACTCCTGCGGCTGCTCACTCTCTCAAATCAAGGCAGACGCCCGTATATGCAGTAGTACTACTGCAAGTGCCGGATATTACCACCACCACCACTATCATCATCATCTTCATCATCATCATCACCGACGGCAGCAGCAGCGGCGGCAGCAGCAGCAGCAATATACTAGCAGCAAACAGCCACCAAACTCTCGCTGCAAGTCGGAGCAAAACGCATCAGCCTCTCGTCCACACCGGGCTGCGCTACCACTCGTCGGATGTGACAGAAACAGCTCCAGTACGCCATGTGTACGAGGCCAGTCCAGACCTCCAGACCCTGGTTGGCCGTCCTGATGGGGGCCATCATGCAGGAAACACCTTGGCCAGGCCGTTAATCTTCCAATGGCGGCTACAAGCTCCAACTCCAGAATCCACTTTCTCGCTCGTCACATACAAGGGTCCAATCACAGACTGCGGCGCCCCAGCACGAGACCCAAGCCTTGCTGATGTTCACTGATGGGTCTCACCGGTCGACGTTCGAAGCCCCGTCCCTGTCACTTTTATGCACTTCTGAGTGGCCGCCATCGACATGGGAGGAGGGGAATCAAGATATGTACAAAGTACGAGTGTGTATGGTATGGCACCCGTAGAGCCAGGTACTGCTTGAGGTGCTCCACCTCAAGCGGTTCCGAGTTGCGATGGTATGAGCTGAAAACTGGACAGCTTCGGACGACTTTTATTGATGTTTGATGGAACAGGGCGACATGTCGGAAATTATGCTCACTACTCAGTTTCTCTCAGCTCTCTTCCCGCCTGTGGCTGTACAGCTGTGCCGGCGCGGGTCTTCCAACATGCTGTTGCCATGTCGATGAGGCATGACATGCCGCAGACTGGATATCATCACGTACATAGTCCAAGCATGCTTACAGCCAACAAGCTTTATTGCACGTGCTGCAACTTATATCATTCTTGTTTCGTAGCAGTCGTCTTTCTGCTCTGGTAAATCATCTTTCAGGACAAAAAGACGCAAGTGAAGAGGAAAGGGCATCATATGAGTCCGCTCCCCTTTGCCAAAGATGTGACTCGTACGACCAGTATTTGTATTTGTTTCTCTTACTCAATTTGCCATAAGGACGACAAATGCCTACTGCCACGCTCCAGACAAGAGAGCCCACTACCTCTTCCAAGAGCTCTGTATGCCAGCAGCATTTGAGACGCTGAGAATTTCACAAGTGTGTAATTCCCATCAACTGGCACAGATACAGAGTGATATTCCGTGCTTGAAGGGAGGCGCGGTGATGGGGCGAGATATATATTTTTTGTGGGCTTTGTATGGATGTCGGCTTTGTGAGTGTGTGTGACAAGGACAGGCACTCCCGGCTTTGGCACTTGAGCCGAGCGAATCTAGCAATGCACCAGCTTGCTTGCCTTCACCCGAACGAGACGGAGCGATGCGTCTCATTTGCACGAGACGACGCCGGATACGCAGAGGCGAGAGGCCATCCAAGTCATGGTGCCCAGCAGGACCGCAGCGGCTCGCTCCGTATGCTGATGAAGCGAATTGCCATGTGTGGTTGTCTGGCAGGCTCCGCAGACGTGACTCCGTCAGTATGGTCCCCCCTCCCATCACATCCACCCCATTCACTTTAGCCCAGTCGCCGAGTGTAATGAGGGCGAGGGCTGAGGCTAAGCGAGTCGTGCCACCCAAAGGCAGATTTTTCTTCTTTGCATTGCAACTACTACTGCCGAGAGTGTTTGTAGCTCACGTTTCGTATTAGTGCCGGCAGCCTGGAGTTTGATCGCTACCAGCGCAAAGTTAGTACCCTTTCGATCCGAGGGCTGATCATGGTTTCTTTCCTCTCATCAATCTCTCCGGCACTCTCTAGCAGTTGTCTCGCAAAGGGCTGGAAGCAGTATTGCTTCTGCTATAGACAGAAAGAGCTAGTTGCTGGAGTCTAGCTCGCTCCCGCTTCACCCATCTTTTGGTCTGCTACGGAGTATTTTTGGCCCGTTGGCATTATGCCCGAGCATGGAAACTATGGCACTGCGTGTTGTAGGATACCCATCAAAGCCTCTACCCACCCTGGGCAGGCCTCTCGACGAGAGGCGTGTCGTAATTGGGTTGCTATCGCGGCATCTTGGTGCGATTTGAAGGGCTCGGTTTTTTTTTCCGCCTCGAACGCAATGCGACGGCCCATCGACTCCTCTGATTCTATCGAACGAGCCACCGGTGGCCCCCTCTGCGGTCCAGTTGCTACCGCAATGTATCTCCGACCCTGGGTTGCTGCAGTCGTGTCCCGAAGGGCATTCTTGCAGTCATAAGTACCCCTTTTGACCAAGCAGTGCGGCAACGGGTCTTGTCGCAAGATTTGCACCACCGACTCAGCAAAGGGATGCCACTTGTTCTTGCAGCTGCTTGGGCACTCTGCGTCTACGTCGCGAACTCCAATACGTCTTTTCAAGTCTGATAGGCAATGTCGTGTCGTGTCGTGCTCGGACAGATCATCCGTCATGTCGCACAACGACGAGAATATACTACGGGGCCGCGGCCCACTGCCTGCCTCCACTTTCTTGGAGACGTCAAAGCATCGCTGTTCGAGCGCCGAGCTTGCTGGCATCTGTATCTCTGGTGGCAAACGTCGAGCCTGTTGCGTGGCGTGCATTTCAACCCAAGGCCATTTGTCGTCGTATCCCATCTCCTTTCCAATATCTATATATATATGTCCCAGAACCGCGACTACTGTTGAGTTCTCATGGCCTACAGCACGATTAGCAAAACAATCTTCCCTGTCAGTATGCCTGGAGCTATGAATATCGTTGACGCAGCCGTTCCGAGGCCCAAGCAAGCAATGTCAGAGCTCACAGACGTGATCAATGGCCCCTTGGCTTGGTCAGGAGACGAATTCAAAAGTGAAGAAGCATACACCTTGGAAATTCATACAGAAGAGCTTCAAGAAGTGGATGCGGCTCTTCAGAGCTTTAAAAGTAAGGGATACGCTGAAACAAGCTTCGTGGAAGTCAATAAACGGGCATTACTAAGTTTTGAATACAGCTCACTGCCTTGATGGTGACGAAGTTGGACAATCCAACTTTCCTCTGCCTAAGCTTGCGCCGCAGCTTGCCCAATGCGCCAAAACTATCCACGAAGGGCGCGGATTCTTTGTCCTTAGAGGTCTTGATCAACTAAACTACTCTGTGGAAGATAGCACCATCATCTACTTGGGTATTGCCAGCTACATTGCTGATAAAAGAGGACTGCAGGATAAGAAGGGAACTGTACTCAGTAAGACATTTTCCAGTTCCTGTCTTGTCATGTCTTGGGTTTAAGACAGCTTCTGATTCAATCATCAGCCCATGTCACCAATTCGAAATCATGGACAGTTCCAGCTGAGAAGCGCCACGGAATTCATTCCAGCCAGGCTCTGGTAAGATGAATAAAACAATGCCGTCTTCGTATCTGACTATATACACTTTGACTGACTTTTTTTCCGGTTGAAAAAGCCGTATCACAATGATATGGGTTGTGATATCCTAGCTCTCCAGGTTCGGCACAGCGCAGAAAAAGGGGGGTATACGTACCTCAGTTCAGCCACTACCGCTTTCAAGAAACTACTCTCGGAAGCGCCATCGGCGGCATTGAGTTTGATAACTCCAGAATGGCCTGTGCAAATGTAAGTACAATACTCCATCCAGCTTTCTACTATTTGGCGTTTGAACATTTACTGATTACCGTTGACTAATAGTTCGGGCCGTGAGCCGAATTATTACCTCGCGCCTGCTCTTACGATTCATGACGGCAAATTAATGGCTAGCATGGATCCGAATCGATTCGGACCTCACCCATCCTATGGATCATCCAACGTGCCAAGTTTAACGGCGTCACAGCTGTTGGCTCTTGAGAAAATATCAAATGCCGCCTACCGCACGGAGCTGCGGCTTGATCTAAAGACAGGAGACATCCTGTTCTTCAACAACTGGGCCCTGCTCCATCGACGCGATGCCTATACAGACAGTGATGAAACTTCCCGCCACATGGTAAGGCTTTGGCTACGAAACTCGGAACTGGGCTGGTCAGTCCCAGACTCCTTACTGCAGCCTTGGCTTGCGGCTTATGGAGACAATGGAGTTCGAGACAGGCTCTACCCCCTGGTTCCAACAGCAGAATACAAACTGCCCAAGTATTCTGCGGGTTCTGCGGCATTTGTGATTGAGGATTAGCAACCTTTCCGATTCCGAGTAGCTTACTTCAGAAGCTGAGCCATGGATGCCATGGAAGATACCTGATCCAACGGACATGATGACTGGCTAGGGGTGATGAAAGGGGAGGCGATGACACATTCCAGCTATTCTTTTTCACAGCTTCAATCTCATAATTACACTCGCTATGTGTTTGTCTCGCTACGCGCCTAAACTTGAATTTTGGCCCAGCTCAATGACTCAGTCTGAAGCTCGCCCTGCCTTCTCCAGTGACCAACATGTCCACCAAATCGAAGCTTCACTGCCGCCTTGCTCTTGTGAGGTGCCACCCGGTGAAACAAATCTCGTGGCTAGCCGGCTCAGGGTCTCCACAGTGCTCTATACTACTGACTTCGCTCCGGCACGCGCATCAAATTACTATCCACAACTGCCGCCAGCGAGGTTTTAGCCTGGGATCCCCGGCGGTTAAGCCAGAGTGGTTCGAATAGGAAGCCGTTCCGGACCCGTTACCCCCTCCGGTTCAAATCTACGCCGGCCATCGAGGAACTAACAAAGGCTGGGCTAATATATACAAACCCCCCTTGAACTCTTTATCGCCGCTTTTCGCGCTTTACCAATCCAACCAACCTCTTGAGGCCGCACGACTCACCAGATAGCTTCCTTAAACAGAATGACTTGCAGAAAAGATTGACTCGTTTGTTTAAATGAACTATATACTTCTTGTCAACTATCACATGCTCCAATGCCTTGTTTTTCCTCCAAGCGCTTGAACACGCAGGTGACGTGGTGATTTCCGCTTTTACCATAGCAATCTTACTGCTGGATGCCCAGGCGAATGGCCTTTTTGTAATGCATAAAAATAGCCTTGGATTCTATTGGGCAAAATAGGGCGGTAGATCGTATCTGACTGGTAGATGGCCCTGGCCGGCAGAGTCAGCAGACTACTGCCACGTTGTTGTCTATCGTGGGCCGCAGTTCAGCCCAAGTGCCCGCTTTGCTGCCCTTTTAAAGGGGGGAGGGGAAATGTTAACGCATGCAGCAAAACGGGTCAGGCTTGTACTGTTCTAATAGTCAAGAGAGGAGGAAATAGCCATGGATGAGTAGGTATTCCCTGGTGACTGGATCTGGAGAACCCAGATATCGGCATGCGTGGCAATGGTATGCATAATGAGCTCTCCGTAGCTCTCTCGGGCCTTTTACAGGGAGTATGCCCCGGTATATGCGCCATGAAGGAGGGTTAGCTGATTTCTTTTTGTTTATCCTCATTGTTTATACTGATATACGCCACCTCGCATATCTACTGGCGTCTACGTATCAGATGGTCCTAAAACACTTTAGACTTGTTTATATACATGTATGATTCTCGCTAGGTGAGCATGTGCCTGGTTTCTGCCATGTCTTGTACGTAAATGATACGCTGTAAAGCAGATGCAATGACGCATAAAACGTAACACGACTCACTCATCGCTCGGCCGAATCCCAAATACAATCTAGCCTCTGATATCGCCGGCTCGGGACCGGCCTTCTGAACTGCTTGCTTTCGTCAATCTGCATTCTCCAGACGACTTAGAATGAAAGGAAGTAATCGCCTTGCAGAGATAGAGGAGAACGAAGAGACTACTTGAGACCACGCTTTCTTCCCTGATAGGTGCCTTTTTCGTGCTATTCAAGTGGGAGGCGAACAATCAGGGACCACTAGTTCTTCGGTGACGTGACAGTGGCACCTTGAACGATTGCATCTCCAGGTAAGAATGCAGAACTTCCCCGAGTTGCTAAACATATCACTATCCTGCATGATCCCTAACGGTCTGGCATATGATCCTTGGACCTACTTCGAAGCATTCTGGATGCTGGTGTAGGAAGACAAAAGAATGGCAGAAGCGATCATATGGCTGCAAAGAGAAACGACTTTTCTGAGACGTTGGGAGACTCGAAGGAGGTATCAAACCGAGATTCCATCAAGAATAAGCCCGTAAGAATCGGAAACTTCGGGAATGCCATCCGGTTCATGTGGCCCATTTTTACGAAAACTTTACATAGGATTCGCTTTTCTAGTCTAAATATGCAGAGCGATTAGGAAGCTAGAATAGGTCTTTGGCTGCCACACTTAAAATGACAGTGCGATATAGGGTCGTAGCGAATTTCTTGGCTCGGAAGCTCCTTACTCTCTCCCACACTAAACAGCCCTCAGAATAGTGGCACGATACAAACAGGGAAAACTGGTTTCATCACATCAAGGAGCGTTGATGTAAAAAAGTAGAACTGCATTGCCACCTCGTCTTGCATCTGCTATCTGCAAGTCCAAAGAAAGAGGGAGGCATGGCATGGCATGGCATGGCGCAATTCGTGCCCAAAGTGAAGTCAATGTGGATATTGACTTGCGTTCTCGTGCCTCTTTTTTGAATACACGTTGCGTGCGAAGCAGTAGCAATATTATTTGTCTAGAACCAGAAGACGAACCACTCAATGTTCATGGGAGGATCATGTTGGAAGAAACGCGTGCATGGAGAGGAGAGCAAATGGCATGAAAGTGTCTGTGTACACGTCTACGCCCCCTCTGCAAAACACGTTGGACGACTCCACTGGAAAGATACCGGTGTCTTGCGTGGGGTTATGCAATCAAGCATTGCCTGTGACGTTCCATTGGATATCGTATTGATGCTAGCCTACCGAGAATACGTGTTGTTGCTTGCGGACAAGCTCTCGGAGAGAGCTTTGGTAGATAGGTAATAGGCGGCTACGGGCGAGTAAGAAGTACGTTTTAGCCCGTGTAAGCCCAGAACGAAGAAAAACGTATACATTATTAATTCCCTAAGGAGTATCAAACTGAGAGAAAACCGCTAAACGGCCATCTCCCCAACAAACTGATCTCCCCGGCGCTATCCCACCCCCCATGCGGTACACAATTTCGTATCATATCAGGGCACCCATCTCTCCCTTGTCCCTTTCTGCCTACTGCATGCCATCCTCCATCCACAAGCCACCCCCAGCAAAGAGTTCCACATTATTACGCCTCTTGTCGAGAGACAACAGATAGAAGGAAAAAAAAGGGGGGGGGAGGGGGGGCAAAGAAGCAAGGGAGATAGAAAGGGAAAGGACATTCACACATACAACCATGAGCTTTGACACATACAAGGTACCTCTGAATACTTTGGACGATCAGGCCGCGATTCGTCAAACAAAGGGAGGGAGGGCCTGCGCCGGGAAATTATTTCGCCTAACGGTTCTCTCTTTTCTCTTTTTCCCTGTTCCGGGCGGAGCAACGCTCCTCCCCCCCTCCCATCCACGTTATGGATAATCGATCCGAAGCGCCGTCGGCACTGAAGCGAGACGAAGCGAAGAACGAAGCGAGCCGAGACCCATATGTTGGGCTTGATAGCATAACCGAAACGTTCAAGGGGTGGAGAGGAGGGGAGGGCGGAAAACAAACACTCTACCCGGACATTGTGGAGGGTGGGCGAACGCGAATGACGTGAACCAAAATAGACTACCTGACCGAGAAAACAAAGACCTGTCCTCTTGTTATTGGATGGCTTCAAGCAAAGACGAAAGTGAACCAAACTGACAAAACAAAATGATGTAGGGGTCTCAAAGCAGCATGGCGAGCAGCGCCGCTACGACACCGAGAGTGCGGAGTTCGGCTGCTTGGGGAGCAGAGGCTGCTCCTCCTGTAACCACAGGCGGAGTTTCGTTCCCGCTGGATGCCGTCGTCGTCGTTGTTGTCGTTGATCCTGATGTCGAGGCTGGACTTCTACCTTCGTCAGTTGAGGGCAGAGGATAGGCAGTGACTTCTGGCGACCACGTCATGGTGACCATGCTCAGAGACGACGACGACGACGATGACGATGCCGATGCCGATGCCGATGACGACGAACAGCCGCTTGCATATACCGAAGCATAGCCCGACGCGGTTGTACACTCATTGGACGTCGTCGTCACCGTCACGGTTCCTGCTTCGACGTCTGTTAGAGTCGAGTAGTATGTCTCGAGGATGATGCTTGTGATTGTCGTCGAGCGAGAGAGGACCCATGTGGTTGTTCGGACGGATACGATGGCGGAATATTGGGGATGAGGCGTGGAAGAGGAGATGCTGGGGACGGGATATGCTGTGTCGGAGAATGAATAGGGTTCGAGAGAGGAGTATGAGTCTGCAGAGGAGGATGGAGTTTGGTAGGCGTTTGAAGAGTAGGACAAGACGCCTGATCCTCGCCATGGCGGTGGTGGAGCGATGGTTGGTCTGCGTGGTGTTTTTTTATCTCTGGTTAGCTTTGACTGATATAGTGAGGCAGTCTGATAGTTTCTCATGCCAAGTAGACGCTGTGGCATATGCTGCTGCCACTCTCGTCTGCGAATATGGGTTTCGTTACCTGTCTACGATGCCATTGTTGATTGCGTTCGCAAGGCATGCCAGGACAAGCCCAACAACAAAAAGTCGTGGAATTAATTCCATTATGCTGTATATGATGCTGATGTTATGATCGTTATGTTGTCGTGACGATATCTTCTCTCTGGCAATAAAATAAAATAAAAAGTATTAATAGTTGGTATCAATCGATGACCGAACAGCTTCTCAGTAAGATCAAGCACTTTAGATCCCGAGATTCCATCCATCATAGAGTTCAAAATGGCACGACAACGGACGGGCCAGTCCCGGCATCAAGTAGTCCATCACGCGTCACAGCATCACTGCCGCAAACACAGGTGCCGTCTCTCACTCTCTTTCTTTGCGTATCCGTGTAAGTGGCCGCGTGATGCCACCCGTACGAGCGTGTGTGTGGTCAGGTTTTATATGTGAATTGTCTTTGCAAATGTGAGTAAATCATTGTTTGCTAACGGTTGTGGCATCATGTTAGCAGGAAAGGTCTTGATTGAGGGATACAGACTGCACATTTGTGGATAGATGTGATTGAACAAGTCTAATTTTGAGAGTGAAGGGATGTTTGGGATGCGAGAAGAGTGATGCTTCGATCCTCTTGGAGTGATGAATGGATGGCAGTTTGGTCATGATATTTGGCGACTGATACCAGACATTGAAGATCTATTCAGAAAGTAAGTACTATTTTTTCTTTGCCCCTTTTTGAGATATGTGAGGCGGATATGAATCTGACTATGAGACTATGTGTTCCATCTTGCCATGAGACTCTTGCCTCAGCACAAGAGTAGCTAATTCTGGATAGTCATTCTAGGTGATCGTATATGGGACTAATAGGTGATTATCATGATAAATGAGTGATAATTGCGAAAGGTGTTGGTGTTGCCAACACTCCAGGCTAGAAGTCGCAATGCTAGACACGCCATGTGAATGGACGCAAAACCGTTGCTGTGTACAATCGCAAACGGCTGATACAGTGAACCACGAGGCCATCGTGGTTTACTCTGATCATATCAATATACCACTGAATATATATAATGATGTCTTGACGTGGTTTACTTGTCACAAAACAGCTAGTGCAGTACCGATGAATGGAAGCTTTTTGGGAGGGACCTGGCGTTTTTAAACCTGTAGACACATATCTCCTAGAGTATGTATAGCAGCAGTGGTTGAATCTTGATTTCAGATTGAGAATCTTCATTTTCAGGTATGACAATGATTTACCTCTCAACAAGAACAGCTCTGGCCGCCTGCAAGTCGCAACGCCCTGCATCTCTCACACTTTTTCATTCTTATCCACTGTATCTCATATTTAAGTTTCTGTTCATGTAATCAAAGTTTTAGAATAAGCCATATCAAGTCTTTGAAGCGAATGATATTGATCTTCATATTATGTAAGTCTTAAAATTTGACTTCATCTTAGCGAAGGGTCTGAGCCGATGCATCCTTTGTAAGCGAAATCTGCACTGAAACCAAGAAATTTCTTACAAAAGATCCTGGAAAATTACTCTTATGGTCAGAATCTTGCTTGCGTTACACTATTGCTGGGTTTTAATTGTCTCATATTTGGTGCTACACGGCTTCGCGTCGTAAGGACCTCAATCAGAGACACTCAAGCTAGGCTGCTGATGTGTTTCCTCAAGGCGTAACACGAGCTGTTTGCTATCCAAATTAGAGAGATATAGTATCCGAAATTTCGGCTATTCTTCCAATCAAACCGTTCGTGAGCCAAGCCGGCTGGAGTAGGCTTGTGGAACATTTTGACTACTCCGGGCTGAGAATCAGGAGCAGTCATTCAAAGCTGAAGCCCCTGGTGCTTGAGATAGACGCATTACAAAGATGATGCTAACATTATGCTAATCTGATAATTTAGTAATAGTTTATGCAGCCGTATTGATATCATAGTAGATAGCACTTCGTAGAAACGTGTTTCAGCCGGATCCAATATCTGCAATAGAAAGTATTTAGCTTACTAAATTAAATAACAACCACTTTTACTACAGAAGGAGACGAGATAGCTAGCGACTGTAACGATCCGTTATACTGTGAAGCCAAACAGAGCAAAAGATTAGGCCAATAATCTCTATTGCAGCCATTGTTGTAACGGAACCAGCTGAAGGGACTCAACTCACTGTGAGAGAACCGGTCGAAATAGTAACTCAAATTTCCTCGCGATGCATTTTAATCGCATCAGGGAAGCATATTGAATTGTATATGGTGATTCTGAAAAGTGGTGTTCTTGGACTGAGATGTTCAGAGAAGAATGTCTGATATCATGTCTTGATCGATGATAGCTTACCCTAAAAACTTGGGAGAAATGATTCGCCACATTGAAGATATTGTAGGCATACGCTTCTCACAACATATATTTGAAGAGATGAATTTGGCACTTGAAATATGATGACAAACATGCTAGGTAGCTAAAATTAGTTGAATGTGAAAGTATCGTGAATTTATCCGTGTCTTAATTACCCACTTTCAAGAGACGCAATCTATGTCAGGGCTTAACTACACGTGGAGAGTGCTGTTTATACACTTGAAATAAGAACAAAGCTTGATCAATTTACTCTAACAATAAACGCCATCTATGAATACGTATCATTAAAGCCAATAGCTCGAATTTCGCATCCATTCCCACAGCCGGCATCATCACATCATCACAGCCATGCAGTTCTGGACTTGTGCCGCAGCCTTGACCCACTTACCCCGGACAAAAACGTCCACAATAACGATGCCACAAAGTGACTGGAATTTTTTGTGAGAGTCTAATGAGAAATGCGGAGGCGCGCAGTGATAAGAGTGAGATTACAGATTACGATGTTGTTTATGAAGTACATAGTTATACGCGTTTACGCGAATGTGTCTTCATTTCTTACGGCAAACGGGAGATGGACACATGGATTGTAGTGCCCCTGCATGCTGCTCCGCCGAGTTCGAGCGGTTTCCCTAAGCATAAGCCGTCCGTCCGTCCGTCTGTCACAAGCGCGGTTTTCCAGATAACAAGTTGCCGTTGCTATTCGTATTTCATTACTCTTCGTATTCCAAATGCTCAGCCCGACATATCCGACCAAGAGGAAACAAACCAGCATTTCGAAGTTGGGCATGGGGGTACATGTAGTTTATACAGCCGCGGGTAATAATAGCAATACGTAGTGGCAAGCATGCTGACATGCAACGATTACGAGCATCGCCTCCTTCGATAGGACGAGAACAAAGACGTCTTTTTAGCAATTGACCTGCATCTGAAACGCTGCCTGGACATGCACGGCACTTTAGTCCGCAGCATCCGCTGGGATCTGAATACTGTACCTATTCATGTTCCCTGCGCACGTCGAGCTGCCTATTCCCGTGATCTCATTCCATGGGGGGGGGGGGGCTTTATCGATTTATGCGCTTCTGGCAGAGCAGAAAGCTGCGCGTAAGCCGGCAAAGATGAGCATGGATTACAGCAACTTGGCGTGCGCCACTTGAATCCTTCCTCAACTGTGCCCAAAGCCCAAAGCAGCAATTGCAAAAGTGATGAGCAGCACATTATACTCCGTAGAGCTAGTGCCAGGCAGTGAGACGGGTGCGAGTAGCCGCCCAGTTGAGTGCCGGTGTGCCTGTCTGTGGAGGGATCCGCATGTGCCGGATGTGATGAATACTGCATGGCTGAAGATTTTTTCTTTTGTAAAGTTGAGTGTGGTCTTCAAGAAGCATATGTATATGCTGAGAGTTGCCATGTTGAGCAGCACGTAACAAGGTGTCGTGAACTCATGGCAGACTTTGCGGTTTGCAGACGCATGGGACTGCTTCTGGGCGAAGAGCGAAAGACAATCACGGAGACTGGCGGAATCGGAATTCTACAGGACGATCAAGGGTCCTACCAAGACACATCTCACATTTCATCATCCATCACCATCCAGCATCCAGCATCCCATATCCATATCCTGGGCGCCACGATTCAAGGGCCATGCTTCACCACACACATCAATGCCTGTGGCCCGTCGTTGTAAGCGAGATAAAAGCGACCGATCTTCTCATGGTGGCTGAGGATGCTGGCCTGCCATACTGTACATGCTGGTACGTCTAAAGTGTGTGCATCCAAAGGGCACTCAAGGCGGGCGTTGCCGGGTCAGTGATGTGATGTGATGATGGCTGGGTCTATCAGATCTCCCAGCCCCTGAGATTACCACCCTGCCATGTGCATGTGCATTTCAAGGCCAGCAGTTGGGAATACGCATCTCTCTGTTGTCGCTTTGACCAGCTCGGCTAGCAATGGTGAAGGTACATGCAAAACGCTCATCGTGACCGCCTATATTACAACTTGGGAACTTTTTGTTTAGCGCAGAGAGAAAAAAAAAAAGGGAGGCTGCTAGTGAGCTGAGTTGTAAAGCACTTGGCCGGGGGTCCTGAATTAGTGCCCCAAGTCGGTGAAGCCTTAGACATGCTTTTTGGTGCATCATGACGCAGCTGGGAGCTTAGAGGAGCACAGACCACCAAGCGTGGCATGTTTTGGATCTGTCTGTCTCGGTATAGGGTGATGGACGGATGCTGGTTGTAAGTATAGATACGAGCGTGGGTAGATGAGATGAGAGAGGAGAAAAAAAGACTCTGGGTTATATGGATCGTCATGAGATTAGAGATGAAGTGGTGATTCTCACGTGATGGTAACGGGATGTCAATATTTGGCCCACTAGAATTGAGGTTGAAGGAATGGATCGCGAATACGCTCTGGATCGGTTTCAGCTTGCCGGGCGATGCTCCGCGTTGAACCGAGACCGTCGCATTAGCTCTACAGTGTTACTAGTTGTTGCTTGTATCCTAAAATCTACACGTAATAATACGCATTGCATGAAACAAAAATAAAGAGCTGCATTAGATCGCGAGTTGCGAGTTTGTTGTCAAGGCGGGCTATCCGCTACAAGTAAGAAGGAAACTGTGTGCTGTCAGTTGGACTTCAACTTGTGCCCCATATTTGAGTCCATCCCCCTTTCTGCGCGGCACCCCCTTTATGCAACGTTGTCTTTGGCTCAGCCTTGCAGAAGAGGAATGGCCTCTTCGGTCCGATGGAGCTCTTCTCCGCATTTTGTATGTTCGTACCTGCTCGTCCTGGTATACCGCAGAAACTGGCGGCGGGATAGAAGATTGAAGCCAGAGAGCGAAAGCAATAGTCGATGAACTGAAATTGCACGCTTAAACAGTATGTGAACTCATACAAACCCGAAAGACAACAGAGAAGAGGCCAGAATTTGCCCACATCTCGCAACTTGCGAGTTCCTGGGCTCGGGTGCCGAGAGGGAGCCTCTCTCCATCATCTCGCCCCAGATCGGCTTAGCCCCGTCACGATAACTGGAGCCGGCTTTTTCCCTTTCGAGTTCTTTTCTGGAAGCCGTCAGCGCCGTGCTAAAACCCATCTCTGTCAGCAGAAAAACGCCTCCTCTCCGGACTTCCAGCGGCGTCCGTTACGAACACTGGAGGCCATTGCCGAGGGTAGTGGCTTGAGGCGCTGGGCTTTACAGTAGGCGTCTTCTAGCCAAAACTCTTTTCACGAGCGACTTAAAAACCGGCTTGTCCTGAATTGGACACTGTGGCCGACGAAGAAAGTGTCAGAGGCTCTTGGAGGAGCGAGTCTTGTGCTCAATGTGAAGCAGGCCGTCAATCGGGGCCCGAGATTAACGGGTCGTCGCTGTCAATCTCAATCGTCGCAGAGATGCAAGACTCTCCGTGGCTGCCGATGCCAAGACGATGCTGCTATTGCTTGGTACTATTTTCATTTCTCAGCCGCACAAGCTGTGCGCAATAGATGACGACGAAGATTTCAGTCCCCTGTTTCAAAGGACGTGCAGCGAGGCAGTAGAGCAGAACCCCATACAGTCCATACAGTATTTTTCGACGATGGTGGAAGTGGGCTTGTTTCTTCTTTTTGCCCTCTCCGGGTTCTCCAGAAAAGTCAGCTTGACGGAGCAAGACAATTGGCTGAACGCAGGCAAGATTTTTCTTCTGCACAGTGGATGGCGTTCGTAATTGGCTGGTGGAGAGTTTATTGTTCCCACTCAACCAATCCACAGCCATGGCTCCTCTCCCTACGCTCCCAATTTTTTTCCAAATTTCTCAAATCTGGGGTACAAAGGAAACCTGGGCTGGGCCTGTGTGTGGGTGGCCTGAGCTCGTACGTTTTGCAGCGCCGCCTTGCTGCTGCAGGTGAGACGTCGCCTTCCAAATCTCACGATGCTCTTTTTTTTTCTTTTCTTTCGTTCGTCTTGCAGCAAGGCGAAAAGGGCACGCCGTTAATACTCCGTTGACGGAGATTTAACTCAGCGTTTGAATTGCGGGTGTGGTTATTCTTAATTTTTTTGCTGCTTCTTTTTTTGCTTTTTTTAGATTCATGCGGCGTTTAGAAACTGAGGCGCACGAAAAGGCTGGGCGCAAACCAAAAATTTGTTTTACGCCGTCTTTACTTCTTCTCAGTGACAATGGATTTGTCCGCTCTGCGCATGTATTGATACCCTGTCGATAGTTGGGCTGCTACCGCAATAGTATTGGCTATTTGCATCGGGGAAACAGACGTCGTCGCCGTTTCTCTGCGCAGCGGTTAAAGACAACTCCAGTTTTTACCTGCAGCTCGCATTCCTCGATACAGGTAGTAGTGATCCCTAGAGCCAGCATTGCACCGTCCTGGGTCCCTTGCAAGATTTGCTGACACCACTCAAGAGCTGTCAGTTTCGCTTCACGGGAATCTCGTGTGAGCCATGGCGAGTCAGATTCCAGGCCATGTCCATGTACCTGTACCTGTACCTGGGCCTGTACATGCGAGCGTGATCACTTGAGAACGGCACTCTCGCCACAGACGTACGAGACGGTAGACTCTAGGGCACCTTTTCGCCAAACGGCAAACGCCTTTAGCCCTGACTGTTCCTCGCTTTTGGCTGAAAGCAGCAGTAATACAAGGCATTTGATTCGTTGTAAACAGAATCATGCTGGACGCAAACTCAGGTACAGTACACGGCAAGTATCGTGCTACTCGCTGCCTGTACAGACCACTGTCTCGTGATACTCTCAACCCTCGCCCTGTTCCAAATCTTGCCATGGGGCCCCTTTGCCCTGGCCGGCGCAGCGTGATACAGGTACCTGTACGCCCTCGCACAGTCAGGCCACTAATATACGACAGTATTGCCTGTCGCCATTCTGTCATACAGGCGCTGCCGCACCAGTCGCAAGCACGAGCACCAGCTCAGCAGCCTCAGCGCACTTATACGGCCGGCTCGTCGACGCTCCTCTCTGGAACAGCAAAAATGGCTCGACAGTCAGAATTAGCGGGTTCATGCGCTCTCGTACCTGTACTAATTGGTGTCTAGCACTCTAGTTGGCTCAAACTGTGCGACCTGCTTGACGGACGGCTCGTTTAGGACGCCGCGGCGTGGCCGAGGGTTGCGAGTTGAATATAGCCTGTGCTGGAGTCTCTTTTGGGCGCTGCTTTCTGCCGGACGCTGTTAGGAGTGCGTGCGAGTGAACTATATAAACACTGTAGGTTTGGTCCCATCTATCACAATCCACCCAGTGTCGATTCGTCGCGTCAACGGTGCCCCGCTAACAGCGCCTGCAGGCTTCTGGCAAATTTCGTCGTCTTCTCTTCTTCCCCGATGCCTGCACCCCGGCCTACAGTGCGAGGTCGCCCGCAGCAGCGCGGCTAGGGCTGCCGTCCAGCGCAAGCCCACTGCGAGCCCAGGGCACTCGCCACTGCACGCAGGCTTGGCCGCCGGGCTAGCGACGCCGCCAACTCCCTGACGCGTTAGGCCAGCGCCGGTAGCGCACAGTGCGCAGCGCCGCTCCCCGGGGCCTCATTTCCACAAGCCTCCAGTCTCCATCCCCATCATCTCGCCCATCTCCAGGTCCGTCGTCTCCGCCCACCCAACCCAATCAACCAGTCCGCGAATCCTCTGGCGCTGCCTCAGCCCTGGCCCCAGCCCGAATTCTGGCGCCCTTCCCCCTTCTGGGCTGGTGCTCCGACCGCCCCAAGCCACGACCTCATTCCAGCAGCCAAGTTGTTTTTACGTACTTGGGGTCCGCTCCCCCCAATACTAATTCCTCGATTCCTCTGCTGACTATCTGGGTCCAGTTCTTTTCCTCTCTCGCCGTTCAACATTGCAGTCTGTCGAGTTCAAGGCAGCGCCGCGCCTGTAAATCATCGCCAACGGCTGCTTCCACGGCTTCGTTTCTCTCCTTTCTGCGAATGTCCTTCATCTCGAGTCTGTGAGCGGCCATCCTCCCAGTTCCAGGTGTTTGGGCCCCCAGACTCCGCCTAATAAGCGACTCTCCCCGCGTTTTTTTTTTCCTGGCCCGCATTCGAAAGGGCCGAATAACATACATACGGCCTACATCCCAAGGTCGACTATCACATCCTCACCATACCAAAGACACCCTAACTTCGCGCCAGTCGCTGCGAAGCGGCCTGCCAAATTGCTCTTTTCCCCGCCGTTTCCCAAGGGAAGCATTATCGATCGTGCAAAACCCGGGGCCCCAATCGATCCCGTCTTTCAGCTGCGGCGATAAGTTTGGGCGTTCCCCAGATTGCGCTTGGATAGGTTTCTGCTATCCGCTTCGCCCAGGACGATTCCACGACGGCTTCCACGACGGCCTCGCCAACGCAACATCCTCGCCTCAACCGCCGCCGCCGCCGCAGCCTGTCCAGCATGAGCCAGGCAGTCAAGAGGGCGTGCGATGCCTGCCATCGCCGAAAGGTCAAGTGCGATGGCGTCAACCCGTGCCGCAACTGCTCCGCCGCCGCGCTGGCCTGCACCTACAACGCCATCCCCCAGAAGAAGGGCCCCAAGGGATCGCGGGCCAAGGTCATCAGCGAGCTGCGCGAGACCCAGCGACAGACGAGCCTTTCCGCCAGGGTGCAGGCTCGCATGAACGGCATTCCTCCTCCGCCCCCAACCGAGGGCCTCGCCCCTACGCCGGGCTTGTTGACCAGCGACTTGGTCAAGGAGTGCGCGCAGTTCTTCTTCGAGAACATGAACGCACAGGCCCCCATTCTGGACCGGAGGCAACTAGACCAGCAGATGCTCTACGTGGAGCAGAACCGAGATGCCTACTGCTTGATGGCTTCCCTGTGCGCCTTTGTCATGCTGCAGCCCGGCATGAGCATGCCTGCCGGCGATGCGTACAACCTCGACATGGTTCCCGGAGCAAACATCATCGCCAGCCAGATTCTTTTGGAAGAGGCCCTCCGAGTTCGCAAAGGATACGAGTACCTGGACCAGTTCACCGTCAATGCATTGGCCACCAACTTCTTCCTCTTTGGATGCCACTACGGCATGGAGATGCATGACAAGGCATGGTACTACCTTCGCGAGGCCACCACCATGATCCAGATGAATGGCATGGACAAGGAGGAATTCTACATGCCATTTGACATCTCTGAAGCCTCTCGTCTCCGCCGACTTTACTGGCTGTTTTACATTGTCGAGAGGTGCGTTTTGCCCGTCAACACACACTTGACGTGTCATTCCTTGTATTAGAATCCTGTACTGACATTGTAACCAAACAGAGCGTATGCTATCCGAAATCAGCGTCCCTTGACTCTCCAGGCGACGATCAAGCTCCCCACTCTTGGAGATGATCCCAGCGATCCCCTCTCCCATCAGCTCAACGGCTTCATTTTGCTCATCAACCTCTACAGACCTTTTGATGATGCCTTTACAAACACCTGGAATAAGACCCGCAGCGTCCTCTCCCAACAATACATCAATGGCCTGCAGAAGCAGCTGAACGATGCTGTTCAAAGCGCCTTCCATGACCCCTCGTGGAACGATCTCGGCACTAACCAGCAGTGGCTTAAGAACACTGTATGGCAGCTGAGCAACGGCGGAGCCGTCGCTACCGAGGGATCCATGTCCTTCCAGGTCCCCGTCAACGTATCTAGAGAGATGCTCATGAACATGGCCTCGCAGTTCCCTGGCCAGGGCATGGAGTTGCTCAACTCTGGACTGCTCGAGAAGCTCGTCGAGGGCACCTATTCGATGACTGAGTACCTGTCTATGCAGCCAGCGTCTCGCGACCCCTTCGCAATTGGACCTCAGGAGCACCTCAACCAAATCATCCACATTGTTGCTGCCTCCCGAAACGGTGACTACCGCTTCCTCCCCCTTCTCATGAGCAAGGTTAGCGAAGTGCTTCCGCGCCTCGCGAACCCAATGCTACAGAACGCCCCCGAGACGGCGCCCATGGCCAATGTCGACATCTTTGACGGATTTGGCAACGCCGGCATGGCCCAGCCTCCGCACATGCAGATGCCCGCGCTGGACGAGTACGAGCGCAAGTTTTCCGTCGAAGAGTATGAAAAGAAGTATGCCCTGGAAATGACTGGAAACACTCCGGATTCGCATGCCACTTCCAACCCTGGTAACACGCCGCCTGTAGCTCGCCAGCCGTCTGAGATTGCAAACTCCTTTGTTGGCTCTCCTCCCATGATGTCTCCCGGTCTGGAATTCGCCCCTCATGGCGTGTATGCTGCGCCTACGCCAATGTCCGAAATGGTCATGAGTCCAATGGGAACCCACCCGCCTCCTCAACAACATCACCAACACATGAACCAGCAATCATCTAATCATATTCACGACCCAATGGGCCAACAGCATATGGGCATGCCGCCACAGAACATGCGACCAGGCGGGATGCAACCCGCTCACCACATGAACGGCATGATGAATGTGCGGCAATCGCCACAGAGACAAGACAGTTTTGCCATGGCGCCTGGCCAGCCACACCCCTTCCAGCTGGAGGGATTTAATTTCAACACCCTGCGGTAGCATCACAGTGTTTTGACACCTGTTATAAACACACCTACCTCGCATACCCATCCTCCTTTACCCTTCGGCTTTTAAACGAGCACGTGTATTTTCTCACTGTTCTTCTCCTTCTCGTTACATAACCGAACTTTGTACTCAAGGCTTTACTGAAGGCTTTACTTTTTTTTCCTTTGTCGAAGCTTTTGATTCCTCGGCATACAGGGTCAATATACGATGATGATTACCGAACATTAAAAATATCAACCGGGTTGTTACGTCTTTCGCTTTTTTTTTTTTTTTTTTGGCTTGGGATTGGGCCTTGCTATAGCGCATGGGAAAATACGGATTCTCGTTTTTTGATTACTATATTCATCATCTTGGAAACTATGGCGTTTGCTGCCCTTTCCGTTTTGCCCCTGGGAAGGTAGTCATTTTTCTCTCTCGAATTGGGATGCGGGAGTTTTAATTTGCGGATGGGGTTCTCCTCTTTGGATTGCTATGGAAGAACCTTGTGTTTTACTTTGCTTCTTTTATATTTTCATGGCTGTAATACAGTTTTGATAATCTTTCTGTTTTATTGGGAACTACTTTATTTGTCATGGCTATAGGACAGTTTTGATAGTTTTCTGTTCTTTGAAAACCGTGGTAGTATTGTCAGTATCTACTGCTTGTTTTGGAACTTGCTGGTTTTTATCGTAGATGAATACGAAAAGATTAGAAGTTTAACTTATATTCGCGTCTTTGGTAGTGATGCTTGTGCGATATTTGTGAGGTGTTGTGTTGTCTTGATGTTTGATGCCATTGAGCTCCTATAATGATATGCTGGAGCTGCGGTGGTCTGTTGAAGGAAGCTTTGTGTATTTGTTAATTGAGTATACTAGCAATAAGACTCGACGTTTTCACAACTTATATGGTGTATCACTTTAAAAAGATAGACCAGAGTTATCTAGTAGACTTTCATGCACTGGAATTACGTCCATCATGGTATGTCATCATGCAAAGACTTACCCGTAACGTAGAATGCCCATCCTAGATTAAGTCGTCTACCTGTGCAATTTCCCATCTCTCTCGTTCATCTAGAACCGCCCCCCCCCCCTCAAGCAATATCACTCAAATATTTGAAACCATTTCACAACGTTAAAACTTCATCTCAGAATGACTGCCATTCTTCAGCCCTTCGCGGAACAAGTCTCCTAAACGGATGCGCCTCCGTATTAAACACATACTCATCTAGACTAATCACATCAGTCTCGCTGAAGATTAGATAGAAATACTTGAGCGTCTCGCCCAACCAGAAGGATTCCATCGAATCTGCTAGTTCAGGCTGCTGCTCCCGAGGAAGCGTGACGTCCCGCACGGCCGAGTTGGCGAGCGTCGTGCTCGTCGTGCTGTTGATGGCCTCGAACATGGCCCATGCTGAGTCGAGCAGGGCGGGCCGGCCTGTGGCGCGGTAGAGGATGAAGATGCTCTCGATGGCTTCGGGGCGGAGGATGTAGCGGCGGTCGGGGATGGAGGTGAAGCCTTGTGGGAGGCGATCTCGTTTGATGATGGCGTCCACGCTGGTGGTGTCTTTGTCTTTGTCTTTGGCGAGGCGGAGGACTTCCTTTTTCCAGGCTTGCTCGTCCCATTCGCAGCCGGCGAGAGATGGGCAGGGTAGCATGTGGAACGTTTCGGGCATGATGCCGTGCGGGAGGGCTTGGTATGTCCAGATACAGCCGTTGACGAGCTTGATGGCGGCGGAGAGGTCCTGGGGTCGGTTGAACAATCTGCCTCCGAGCGTGAATAGGCCACCTAGGAAGCATACGAGGTGCTGTCCTGACGGGTCGAGGGTGATTTGGCCGTCTTCAGACTTGATCGCGCCTGAGATGAGAATGTCCTCGTTGTTGGGCGTCATTGGTCGATAGAGGGCGTGCTTGATAGCTGCGCCGGCGGCCTTTTCGTACATGTCTTGATATAGGGGCATTTGGCCACCCATGAGGGCTGACAGTTTCGGCAGATACTCGTACACGCTGTCGGCCATGGCGCCCAGAGTGAACGTGTTGCCAATGTTGAAGACTTGATCCTTTGCGCTGACGACGAGTGGCCACAGCCCGGGCAGTGCTGTCGAGTCCTGCTGGTCCGCCATGGCATCCATGACGCGCTGCACGGCGTCAAACCACTTTGCGTCGCCCGTGATGAGCGAGAGCCGCGTAAACTCCATAGTCAGGCTGCCAATCTCGGCGACGAGCAGTGCCGGCGGAGCGGTCTGTCTTCTGCCATTGATGGCGGCGTGGATGTCCCACCTGGTGATGGGCATGCGGTTTGGCGTGTCAAAGGCCTTGTAGAGCATCTCGCCGACCTCGATGGCCTTGTGGAGGAGGCGCTCGTCACCGCTGAGGTCAAAGGCGGAGATGAAGCCGCCGAGATAGCGGATGTTGGTCTCGAAGACGTTGATTTGTTTGAGGTCTGTCTTGGTGAAGTCGATGGTGACGGCGGCCTGGACGGCCTCGTCGAATTGGGGCTTCATGCCCATGATCCAGAGGGTGTCGAGGGCGTCGACTAGAGTGGCTGCCCAGCCGCCAAAGGGGTTCTTTTTGCCGCCGGATACCGGTGCGAGTTCGTCTGCCTTCCAGGCGTATTCGCGGTAGGATGACCAGCATTTTGCGAAGACGTCTTTTACGGCGCGTTGGCGGTGTTGGCGAGTGGTTTGCGCTTCTGGGGTTTCTTCATCGAAGGGTGTCTGGATATTGGGATATTTCACGGGAGTGGTGGTTGGTAATGGGCGCATTGATTGCGGAGGGTAATGAACGGGCAGGGACTTCCAGAAGTAGTTATCATCTTGGTTTGTATGCAGGTTTGGCTGAGTATAAGACGGTGGCGGAGAAGTCGAGGTGTTGTACAAGTAGAGGAGGATGAGGGTGGCGACTAGGGCAATCCAGGCGATGCTTCTCCTGCGGATGGGGGGCATGGTTGCTGGTTAGACATTTGTGATGTTGTGATGGAATAAGAAGAAGAAGAGAGTGAAAGAAATGAGAAGTGGTGGCAGATACTGTGATATTGAGGATGAATTTTGTGTTGGAGGGAGCTGAGATGAATGTTAGGCGGGGCGACGATCCGGACGTGCAAGTGCCGGATTGCCGTTTCAAGACCTGGTGTTGACGTCAATCGATATTTGGGGAGCGCTAAAAGCCGCTGGAAATGCGCTGGGACGGGCCAGGTGGGCGCTATAAGGCTTGGCGACGCGCTGTAAGTCGGAGCAGAGCTGGATGAAGCTTTGTTGGTGGTGGTTGGGCTTCTTTGTGAGACTTGATTGAGTTGTATCGAGAGGGTGGTGGCTTGAGCGCGTTGCCTATGGAGATGGAGATGTTGATTGTCGTGCAAGGGAGTACAATGAGGTGTCTGTGGGTAGATGGGACCAAAGGGAGGTTTTTGCTCGAGTTGCTTAGATGTTGTGTAAGCCGATGGATTCTTGGTTTCGCTGTGAAAAGGGCTTGTTCACGTCTATACATGCAAAAGTTCACATGTTGAAGAGTTGAAATCACGTTTCTCATTTGTTGCGCCCAAATGCATTTCTATATCGACTACATATTTCTTGCATTTTCTATGAGTATACTCCCATATATACATATATTGCAGCGCCTATATCAAGCCCTAACCAACTTGATAATCTTTGAGCTCTTCCCATTCATCACCTCTACCGTATCATCATCATGCAACCGTATCAACACCTCCAGACCATCCACTACCAAGTTCACCACCTCACTGCTACCCTTCGCTGCCATCGCCGCTACCAGCAGCGGGAAAGGAAGCAGCTCGTCATACTGAATAGTCGGTTGACCAGCCTCATCGGCCTGAATGCTCCAACTCTTTTTTCCACATGTCCAATTGCCCATCCAGCGCTTCCACCCACCGTCAACTTCTTCTTTCGGAGCTCCTAGTGGCACAATCGCCGGGTAGCCTACGGGTAAAGGAATCTCTGGCCACTTCTTCAGGTACGGTATGGCTTGCAATAATTTCCATATTGCAAAATCGCCTTCTGCCGAATTAGTCATGATGGAGATGCCGCAGTTGCTTGGCACCTCGAATTTACTTCCGCCTGGAAGATTCGCGTATCCTGCTACATATGTTCTGAAGCCCGGCCAGTTGCTGCCGCCATGCGAAAAGACTGTTCGTGAATCTCCTGGTATGAACCATGAATGTGCTATATCCAGATCTACGACCGTCAACATCGTCTTTGCTGTTTCTTGTCGAAGAAAGCCGCTATTGTTAGAGCTCTGGAGAGATTGTTGCACAGCCCTGACAAGCTTCAAGAGATCACTAGGTGTAGTCCATAAACTCGCCGCCGCTTGTTCAGGATTGACACGCTGAGCATCTTCACAGGGAGTATAGCCTGTATAATGCGCCTTTGCTGAATTCTTTTCTCCAGGCGGCAGTTGGTTGTAAAAAGACCTCGTCATGCCCAGAGGCCCAAGGACGATATCTTGCATCGCCGAGGGCAAGTCCTTTTTCGTAATTGCTTCAAAGATGAACTGAAGCACTGTGAATCCACCACCGGAATAGGACAGCGATTGGCCCGGAAAGCCCTGCAAATGCACGTCTTTCGTATTGACGGGATATGCTCCAGCTAGTACCTCGCGCGTTGTTGGAATCCGCGCATCGTCCAAAACAGAGTAGCCTGGGAAACCGCCTTGAGAGAGCCCAGAGGTATGGCTTAGAAGCTGCGAGACAGTGATGCCTTTGATGGCAGATGTGCGAGCAGTAGTTGCACCTCTTGTTAAAATGTCCAGAACATCCTGTGGCAATAAATCACCAATGCGGCTATCAAGGCTGAGCTTGCCTTCGTCGATAAGTTTCATCAAGGCGACTGCAAACGTTGGTTTTGAGATGCTGCAGGCTTGGAAGATGGTCTCTGTGTCGTCTTTGCCGGTCGAGAAGCAGTGAGATGATATTACGCCGTCTTCCATGATGGCGACTGAGGCGCAGGGTGTGCCTAGCTGGGCTAATACAGCGGCAGCACTGGCATTATCGTGCCCGGAGCGAATGAGATCCTCCAGCTGGCTGAATAGGGTTGACATGATGTAGGCGAGAAGCGTTGAGTATCTGTAGCAGTGGTGATTTAAAGGCGCAATGATGAGGCTCTGATTAATGAAGCAATCTAATACTTGAAGACAGAAAGAAATTTGTTTCGTATGCTTTCGGGAGGAGAAATCAAATCCAGGCCTGTAACATTCGATCATGAGAGTCCTCTTAGTATATTTGTGCTATTTGTATAAGTGCTAATCCTAGGGAAAAGGCCGTTGGCCACGCAGTTGATTCGTAGCTTGCATCGCCATCTCCACTAAATCGTAATTCGTCGTAATTCGTATACATCGCTTAGTGCTAGCTGCAGCTAGCAAAAGTGCTGATTTGTGTGTTGAATTACCGTGACTCGTGGTATTGTATTTAGCCGTTAATCGTTGGAACCTGTACCCGTTCATTTGACGTCGCTTAGTTGAACAGAAGGCAAGGCAAATGCTTTGCGCTGTAAGCTTGATCCAGAGCCTGGTTATTCCCGTCAAGTATCGAAATTAGTGAGGAAGTGAGTATAAGTGTCAAAAGACAAAATAACATGTCATTACAGGCTCTAATCGATGTCTGATGTTAAAACTGCACTTAAGAGTAAGTATAACACTGTTTTCATTATTCCCAACGTCTACATCTACTTCGTAGTCAAATCCCACAAACTCTCCACCGTCACCTTCTCAGCCCACTTCCCTCCAGTACTATCTTCCTGGAGCGTAAACCCAACCTCCTTCTTCTGCCCAGGCGCCAGAACAAACGCATTGTCGTCAAAGAATCCCAAGACTCCAGCCGGATGCGTCAGCCACGTGTACAAGGACACACCGGCCGTGGATTCCACAGTGAAGGATTTCTTGGATTTGTTATATGACAGCTTCAGCTTGGGATCTGATACCTTGGCTTGGTTTGGCCAGACAGGGAGGAAGTGGTTGTGATGAGTAAATGTCGTCGTCTTACTGCTGGCTGCATTGGGGAGTTTGCCATTGGCAGTGAGTTCAATGATCAGCACAGCATTTCTGGTGTCTGGAATCTTGAGATCTGAAGCCACGTTGGTTGAGATGATTTGCGTAGTGTTGATAGCACCAACTTCAAACTTGATCGATTTTGGCATGCCCGCGTTGTTTGCGATGGCTTTGCCCTTGAGATCGACCCAGGACAAGGATACTTCACCAGATGCAGACTCCCAGAGGTCCGACGTAACCCAGATTTCGAGCTGGTTCGCAGTGTAGTTCCAGAAAGCCGACGCAATGACGTGATCGTAAGTCCGACGAGCAACATACGGCAACACCTTCCATCGTCCGTCATACTCCAAGCCCGCCCAGGTTGGAGCCTGCCAAATATCGTTGAGCTGCCAATACAACGAGCCAAGCTGCCTCTCCGGCATGCCGCTACCTCTTCTGTAAAACTGAATCTCGGATTTGTACATGTCAGCTTGGAACAGCTGGGTAGCGTGGCACCAGGCGCTGAAGTTTGCGACAGAATCAGTTTTATCGGGCGTTGGGTAGTATCGCTCTACCGCGAGAGTCATCTCAACCTGGCCCAAAGTGCTGTTGCGGACATTTCGGGTCAATCCACCAGCGGGGTAGTGATGGTTTCGTAGAATGACCGTGGTCGAGTTGAAATGGAGGTCTTGAGACTCGACGGCCTGCTGCCACGTTTGGATACTAGGCATGCTGATGAAGCCAAACTCGTTGGCAAAACGACCTACTGGGTACGCGGAAGTATCAAAAGACACCGATGTGTCATAGTTGTAAAAGTCGGTATCACCATAGATGTACCCAGAAGTCGTGTTATAGTATCTCTCCACGATGGGAACAGGCAGACTAAGGTCAATATCCAGCCAGCCATTGTTTGCACTGCAGGGGCTGTATGAAATGGAGTGGCTGTTGGCAGCCAGAATATTGAATATCGTAACGATGAAAAGATCCTCATATTGTCCCAAAACATATGGGTAAGTTGCTGGATCGGCGCCCTGGGCAATTGGCAGCATGAGGTTCTCAAATTCATTGCCGCCCATCCAGCATGCCAAGGAGGCGTGATGGTTCAAGCGGCGAACGTTGTACGTAACTTCGCCAATGACATTCTCTTTAAATTCTGGACTGTCAGGGTATAGAGTATCGCTGAACTGAAACTCGCTCCAGAGCAGCAGCCCGCGCTCATCGGCGATGTCGTAGATCCAGTCTGGTAAGTATGCCCCAGAGGACCAAACACGGAGCATGTTGAAGTTTTGTGACTCGACAGAGTCGAACAAGCGGTCCATTCTAGCAGAAGTGACCCTTGGCCAAAAGGCGTCTGGAGGAATCAAGTTGGCTCCCTTGGCATAGAATTCGTGGCCGTTGATCTCGAAGTGCCAGTTGTTTCCCGGCGTGATGCCGCTGGCAACTTGCGCTTCCGTGACGTTGCCTGAGCTGAATAGAATAGTTCGGAAGCCAACTCGTCGCTGAGAGACGAGAAGAGGCGTCTTGGACCCTGCGCTGCTGACAGAGACTGTGATGTTGTACAGTTGCTGGTTACCCATGTCTCGAGGCCACCACAGCTTCGGCTTGCTGGCATCAATAGTCACAGAGCCGGTGATGGTCATATCAGACTGCGTGACGCCCTGCAAGCTGCCAGAATACAGGACTGAACGACTATCCTTTGCATCCGTGATGACCACCGACATGGAAGCATGCTTTGGCAGCGTTCCCACAAAGTCGAGACTTGCGTTCACCACCCATGGTGCGGACTGATCGGGTGCAAAGTTGTTGAACTGGCCCTTTCGAAAGATGTCGATATCAGTGTTGAGAGAGTACACCTCACCGCCCTTGCTGAGCTGAACAATGCGTCCAGGCAGCCAAGGTCCGACGGGAGAAAACGCCGGGCCCCAGTCCCAGCCAAAGTCATTTTGTTCTTTGCGAACCCATTGGCGGTTGGGATACTCGAAAGGATAAACCACCGAAGCCGGCCAGTCTGATGGCACATTAGCTACTACCATCTGACAGTGTCCAAGACCACTCACGCTGCACTTCGCTGCTCGCATTGATGGCGTTGATGATGCGAGGCACGCTTCCAAAATTAATGCTCAGAACGGGATCGCTCTTGCAGCTCGCAAGAACGGAAGAGACGTCGTAGAACCATTGTCGGAACTGGTTATCTGGCGTTCCAACGATGTGGTCACAGAACTTGACGGTTGCGAACGTATCCAAGCCGTCAAATACTAGCCAAGTAGCAGTATTCGATTTTTTGCTCCTTTCAACCAGTGTTAGTTACCAGGTTCATTCACAAGATGGACTGATTCAATGAAAACCCACAGTCCGCTAATGGGCTTGCTGGTATAAGTCCAGTTTTGGGCCGCAATCCATCGCAAGTCAAAGTCATTGAGGCCAGAATTTCTATGAGTCAGAACATCAGTCTTGTCTATTCAACCGAATCCTGGTGATTATCATCAATGAGGGGATTCTCACGGTTCATCTGCGGCAGTTGGTCAGCACGCTGTAGAGCAGCATTTGTTTGTGATTTGACTTACCAATCACGCCAGCTGCGTGGAGATCCAGGTGAGCTTGCGAAGGATATTTGCCGGGAACGGTGATGTTGCCGTATTCATTTGTTACGGTCCATTTCAAAACACCCAGATCGTGAATGGCTGCCGCGTTGGAGCTTTCGGTAGTTGCCTTCACAGCACTAGCGAAGATGCCGAGTGCGGCGACAAGAGACCTCGTAAACCCCATGGTTACAATATGAGGTTACAATATGTAATCCTATTTCTTTCGATGATGGCCACACGCACAACGCGCGGAGGCTGTGGATTTTACTCAGACGCCGCCAAGCAGTTTCCAGGCTGCCAAACTATAGACAGGGCCATTCCTTTAAACTGCCGCCCTCGCAGCATTTATATCCCCAAGAGTCCTCAACCATACCTGCCTGGAATGAGACATCAATGAGGGGTCCGGAAGAATGCTCGGCCATTGTTGCACAACGCGCTTTCTGCATCATGTCAAATAGAGCCCTAGTCGCGTCGATCCAACACTGCAAAGCTGTAAAGGCGAGCAGCGAGGCCGTATGTGTGAATGACTTCATTCGACGAAAAAGCATGGCCTGACCCCTGGACTCCGAATGCCGCCACAACCGGTAATCGCCGGCAGATGCTTCCCCACGATTATCGTGTCACCAATGGCGATCGCATCCAAGCAGGAGGCCCCATTGCGGAAAGCACCAGTTCCTTTGTAGAGCTGTACCAGCAGAAGGATGTGCTCCGACTGGGGATTAGATCGGGAATACTGAAGGCTGATGTTCTGTAATTGAAATCTTGGGGCAATTGATCTTCTAATCAGATGATGGCGGATCAATTGACATAATGATCCTGATGGTATGATGCCAGGAACGTCTACGGAACTTGTTCGACCGAGGATCAGGAAAAGGAAAAGTGCGGGGAGAGCGTTGGAGCTACATCCGAGTGCAACGCTGTAGCTCCATACCGCTGCTTTTCCGATGGCGATTACGACACAGCATGATGCATGCTACGTCTATGTGTCATAAAATATTTGATACCGTATTGGTGCAGGAATTTGAAAAGAGGAGAAAGCAACAAGCCGGTGAATTAATAATCGCAAATGCAGCGAAGGATAGGACGATTTGGTAGGAGTGCGACTTGGAGCGGACATTGGCGCCTGTAGGCTTACAAAGAGAAGCATAGCCAGGCCTCGTCTGAATCGTGATGTGAGAAAGAGAAAGATCAGCAAAAAGCTACACCATGTTGCATCTGAGATGCTTCTGTTTCAGAGAGACGCAGGTACCAGACGAAGCCACCACTCAGCACATAAAGATTGACGTGGGTCAATAAGCTTAAATCGAAGCCGAGCAACAAGTGGCCAGTATCAACGTCGTGGCGCTTAAGAAAATGATCTGAGAACTTTACTTGGTATGACATGTTTGAGACTTGATATTATTCTTGAATAGAAATCTGATTTTTACATAGCGAATTTGGACTAACAGTATAGATATTAATATGTGCAAACGCTCCGCCCTTTCCCTATAACACAACACCCCAAATCATTACTTCAACTTGTCGAAACGATGATCATCCTGCCAACGCTCATAATTTGGCGGAGGCGTATACTCTGCCCTCACAGCTTGCAGTCGGAAAAGGCGACCGATCCAAGAAGCGAGCAACAGCAGCAAGTGAGAAACGAACCAGTCCGCCGACAAGCCCGTCTTTGCACGCAATTTCTTTCCACCCCAGTATTTCGATGTGCTCAAAATCACGGGAATATTGTCGAGCGAGTGAAATATGATGAACAAATTCAGGCTGATCCAAAAGTCGATTAACAAGTCCTTTATTGACGCAGGAAAGAAGGAAAATCCAGGCACGTTTGTGCTGAGCACCCTCCCCGCATTCAAAATGACTCCATTCAGATTCCAGAAGAAGATGGCCTTTTCGCCATCCGCGGGGTCTGTCCTCTCAACGACGATAACCTCATCGCCCTCTGGCTCTGCGCGCTGCCATTCGTGCCAGGCGTATCGCTCGACTCTGAGTTCTGGCTGGTTGTCGTGAGTGGCTGTGAGGATTTGGTCGGTGTCGCCCAGGCGCACTTTGATGCTGCCTTTGATGACTTTGAGGAATTCGGTGTGCGTTTCGTGCCAGTGGAGGCCGCTTGACCAGGTTGATTTCGGGGGGAGTGTGACTGTGACTTGGTCTGGCTGGGAGAGATTGTATATGACGGCGTTGGGGAACTCGCGCTCAATGATTCCCGTTGATTGATCCATGATGGCTGTTCAATACGTTTTCCGCTGGAGCCGAAGACCCGCGGTTAGTTTACAGTCTATCTCGTTAAGCGCAGAAAGTTGAGAAAAAGAGAAACTCCAAACTCATTTATTAAATCGTTTCGCACGCATCACTTATCTGGCTTCACTATCGGGATGCACCCGCTGACAAATTCACGTGCCAAACTTAGGGCGTGTCAGTCAGCAGTCGCAGTCATGAGATGTGTTCAGTTCTCGAGATAATGAATGGTATTGCATCATTTGCGCCGGGCGCTAGCTGCACAAAGCTAGAACGAGCTCAAGAGCCAGACAATAAGTGGCGTGTGTAGAGACTCAGTGTTGCGAGTAATGGCTAGGCAGCTGATTGCCTTGTCTCTAAACATATGACAATACAATGTTGATCAAGTCTCTCTTTAGCTACGTCTTGGTGTTTTGTATTTTTCTTTGCGTAAGCATGTACTTGTACAGGTAACTGAAGGTGGGGGAGCCTTTAGGTGTTGGCACGAATAAGCTACAGATACATTGATGTTAATAACACGAGACGACATGAAGGATTTAGTCAAGACTACAATTTAGGTACATTGTTCATAAAAGCTTACAGCTATCATTTCAGTGTATTTCTACCCTGTATAAACACCTTATCTGCTGGTTGTGTCCTTGTCATTCGTGTCTCCTCGGGATCGGCATCAGAATCCCTAACTATTGTATCCTTCCAATAGATCGAATTAGCTACATTGGCCAGCTGACGAGGACCTGACGTCGGAAGAGACATTAAATTACTATGAAAGATTTTGACTTTGTCGCTTCCTGGGTGACAACGGATTACTTGCTCGCATCTACGATCTGGCTTATAATGAAAACTTGACAAGAGAGAATAGGTCACACAACTTGTGGCCTCGAATTCGACACTTCTCCACAGCTTCAATAGAAACACATATTAGAAAGGATATCTATTCGCTTTCAATGAAGAAATATTCTATATAGACAAAGAATCACAATTTATATGCAAACACCACGCAATATACAGCCATATTAATTTACTACTTAGAGGAAATGCTCTCACTCTCCAAACATCTAAGAGGTGTAGCGACCAATGTCCGCACCAGGGCTCCAGCCTCCAGTAAAGTCAGGCTGGGCATTGATCTTGGTACCGTCACCGAGGCGGAGAGCAACGGAGGTATCCTTGGAGCACATGCCGTACATCTGGAGGTTCGTAGGAGTTGCTGAGATGAAGTGCATGTAGTCTGCTTAATGTTAGTAACTTGTAACTTGGAAGTGGTATTCATGTCAAATGTTATAAACGTACCTTGGCATTCATAGGAACCAGCGCAGCCTTGGTATCCGGGACCGCTGAAGAAGGCCCAAGAAGCAGAACCGTAGTAGTAAATGTCAGAACCGCCATTGACATAGTTGGCGAGACCCATGTGGCAACGGGCAGTGCTATCGCACCAGGAGAAGTCGGGGTCACCCCAGCCCTGAACGTCGGCGGTCCAAGGCGCGGGAGGGACTTGCTGGGTGTTGTCGCCCTGGTCGTAGTTGGTCTCGCTCTGCAGCAGAGTCACGGCGACGTTGCTGGCAGACTTGAGGTTGAGCTGGTACAGCCACCAGTGCTCGCTGCCGAGGCCGTTGAGCCAAGTGCCCTTGGTGGACTCGACCAGAGCGCCGCCCTTTGCGGCAATGTTGGATCCTCCGCTGAAGCCCTCGGTGATGTGGTCGGCAATCCAGTTCCAGGTGTTCTCCACGTAGACGGACGAGCTCTCGGTGAAGTGCAGGCCGATGAAGGCTGCCTGGCATTCGTTGCTGGCGTCGGTGCAGGCGTTGGTCAGGGCATCGGCGCCGTGGGTTCCGCCGACGGTGACGAGAGAGTTGAAGAGCGCGACATCGCCGGCCTTGGAGCCGGCGGCGTTGAACTGGACAATGATGGCGCCGGGCAGGACGTCGGAGACGGTGAAGCGGAAGTCCTGGATCTGGGCAACGCCGACGTCGCCTTCGTTGCCGACCTGGACGACGGGCTTGGGGTTGGACGAGTCCTTGAAGAAGTCACCGCCGCCGGAAATAGTTGCCCACGCCTCTCCAACAAGCTGGGAGCCAACGGGGACCAGGAGAGTGGACTCAACACGGTAGTCGCCAAAGGGGAAATAGGCAATCTTGTTGTTAGTGGCGGCGAACTGGAGGACTTTGTTCAGGGCAGCAGAGTCGTCGGTGCTGCCGTCGCCCTTGACGGTCTGGCCGCCATTCTGGCTGGGGTCCTTGACGTTGACAAAGTCGGTAACGTGGTTGTTGGCATAGTTGGGCACGGCAACGGCTGGAATACGGCCACCAGGGGCAACGCCGGCAGGGCGAGTCGTGTTGCCGTTGACACCACCGTAGACTGGGTTGGCTCCAACAGTGTTTCCGTAGCTGTAGTTGATGACGTTCTTTGACGCGCCGACGGTGGTTGTGCCGCGGATCACAGCAACGTCAGAGTCGGTATCCTTGGTCAAGTTGTCAATGACAATGGAAGGATAGACGGTGGTTGTGAAGGTGACACCCGAGTTGATAGAGTTGGCATCGACAATTCCGATAAAGGGGCTTCCACCAGTGTTGGAAACACCAGTGCCAACGTTGTCAAAGGTAGGGTTCAACAGACTGATGGTGTTGCCGCCGCTGATGAGCATACCGACAGTGTTCTTGTAGAAGTAGATGCTCTTGTAGAGAGCCTGCTGGTGGCCGTTGTGCCAAATACCAGTTTGGCCGTTCTCAATTCGGATATCGGCGAGTGCAAGCGTAGATCCACGGCCCAGCTGGACACCGGTGTGACCCTTGCCGTTGACCGAAGGCGCAAGCGTGATCTTGACGTTCTGTAGCTGACAAGCCTGAGCAACACCCCAATAAAGAGCAGAGATGCTAGAGCTTCCATCAACAGCAGTGGTGTCCAAAACAAGGTTCTTCAGTCCAACAGCAAAGGAAAGCTCGCCGGCATCGCCTGTAGAGGGATCCTGGCCGTTGACGAGGTAGTTGTCGCTGAATCCTGCCGCGGCCTTGATAACGGGAGGGTTGGTGGCATCACCGAACAGAATGGTATCGGTACGCATGTTGAGAGTGCTTGAGAGCTCATATGTTCCCGATGGGATGTACACGACACGAGGCTGCGATGCCAGCCATTCGTTCTGTCGGTTGCCGCTACCAGCTGAGTCGATGGCATTCTGAAGAGAACCAGCGTCACCAGGGCTGACGGCAACATACACGTTGTAGGAAGCATCTACATAAGGAGCAGAGCCCTTGAATTGGCCGGTGTGGTCCATGGCAGCATACCAAAAGGAGCTGTTTGCACGAGGCTGCAGAGCAGAGCGGCCATGATGGCGGAGAACTGCCGGCGAGGCTGTCACGGCGCCCAGGAAGGCCACCACAGCAGTGAGAGACTTCATGGCGATAAAAAGGAGAGACTAAAGCGAGGGTGCTAGAAGAAGGCAAAGTAAAGGAATGAACAACGAGACGAGGCTCGTAATAAAAGAAACAGTATCCTGGTGCCTGGCTACACCCACGAGTTACCGCGTGATCAAAAACATGAGCGACGTGCCCCGGAAGTCATCGAAAGCTATATAAAGAATCTCGCTTGTCTCGCCGCTGCGATTACTCCTCTGACCGGGTCTTCATGCCCATCGGCCCGGGGGGCCTCTTAGCTTTTGCGGGCTGTCCATTGTGTCCTGCCTATACCAGCCCGTCAAAAAGCACATCGACGCAGATCCTTTCAGGACCTCTCCGCTGATCTCTAACAACTAGGCAAGGCTCGCCCGAGGCCAGCTGTGCTCGCAATGGTGGAAAATGGTCACGTCCGTGATTGAACGGGGGGCACTGCCGTCTTACTGTGGTTTTTCACCCAAGTGGTCCTGTTCATCAAAGATGGTTCCGATTCATTGGTTAGAAGGCGGGAACTGGCTACTCTTCCCCCACTGCGTTTCACAACGATCGGCAGCGAGCAGTCCACTTTAAGCAGCTATTCTTAGGGAAACACCAAGAGGCTAGTAAGCACTGCTAAGATTATGATACAGGGGCGCGGCGGTCCTTGGCGGCTTGACCGAATATATAGTACTGTTTGGACTATGGTCGAGGACGGAGCATATTGTAGCTGAGATCGAATTACTCCTTGTTAAATGCTGACACGGGCCCGAGCTTGAGGCTGAGACTAATGCCACCGCGACGTGGGGCACAGAGGAGCCTCCAAGGTGATGATGAGATAATCAGATATGTTTTAATATCAGTGATACATTTGTTGCAGCATTTCAGGAAAAGGGGGCACGACAAAAGGAGTTGAATAGAGAGTAGATTCTTGGTTACTGTAACAACACCATAAGAAGAAGTTGCGTCGCATGACTGAAAGCGCGGCACTTTGTTGATGATTCGAAACGCGGGAAAAATCTCGTAGCTGATGCGGGTCCTGTCTTTCCAGGGTGATCCATGGTCTTGAGCATTTGGCTGCTTTGGCATACTAAAAAAAATAGATGAAAGGGAAGAGATCATAATAGAGTTCTTGATGATAGATTGTATCTCAGCTACCAGCTTTAGAAGCGCCTGTTTTGTCTTCACTTCTGTTACTAAAGTATCAGTTAGCGGGTGAAGCTATAGGCGGATGTAGCCATCTCGACACGATAGCGGCACTGACATCATGCGAGAATCCAATCTATCATGTTTCTAGCGAGATTGTGCCTATCACTATGTGGCTGCGCCCGCTTCTCGCTGTGTTAAATCGTGGATCCATTCTTCTTAGTACATAAGACTGTTGCCGAGGGAAGCGATAGGGCTACAGTAGGCTAGCAAGTAAGAACCACTTTGGTCCAGCTGTGGAATCATGGAATATTCCGAAAATAGGCTTACCGGTTTCGTTCCTTATCCCTATGTGGAACATATAGATAAATGGTATTTACAACCCTTATCTATACAGCGTTATCCATCCAAAATATACATATTTCCTTCCTGTAGGATCGTAGTCATGATTACTTGGCAATGCCAGTTCATTTGCTGTGTCTTTGCATCAGGCTCTTTGTTCTTTCGCTTCGCATCGCATTTACAAAAAGCATTACTAATCTGAAGTCTTGACACGAGGTTTCCCGTGAAAAGCAAAGTATGCACCTCTCTCCGGGAGGATTCTAAATGCCACGAGGAAGGGTAGGCCCCGCTCGATCTGGGGAGGGTCTTCAGCCCTATAGTGACGTCGATCCAAGATATCATCTGCCAATATCCTACATGCGTCCAGGTGGTGTGATGCATATATACAAAATACCATTTGGGGTGATGTATAAGTACGTGTTAAGTATAACAGCAGCTAAGTTTTGGTGCGGAACGAGTGCTTTCCGATATCAAGCCAGGAATGGCCAGGAACTGTTACAGACACGCCACCGACATGGAATCCTTCAGCTTGGCTCACGCCCCGTCGGCACACTGCATGTCCCGTGAGCTATCTTATCTCTTCCAATGTTCAAAAGAACAGCGATAGATAGGCACAATCTTCAAGGATCAAGGATCCTAACTGATAGAGTGACATATCAGAAGCGATATCTTAGTCCGGCTCCTATGCGTTTTGTATATAAATAGGCTGCCAACACAGCTCGTGCCGTGATAATCGTTTAGCCTATATCTTTCTATGAGAAAGATGAAGTCATACATCAGTGCTGCACTAGCCAGTTATGTCATTCCAAGCATAGTATTCCAAATGCGATTAGCTTCTCAAGGCAAGGATGGGGTGAAATACAGCGATCTAATAATTGGCTTCCCCAAGCGATGCTTATCACTTGCCGCCGATAGTACTCCTATCAAGACGGAAATGTGTGGTGACTGATCATTTTGGTGAAAGCAGGCTCAGATGCAACAGTTCACATGCTGTATAACGTTCCCAAAAAAGATAGTAGTACCTACTTACTTGAAGGAATGGAAACACAGAAGCCATGGAGCACGGAATAACGGGTTAATAAGTAAGCTCGGGAAAGGCCGGGGAATAGCCAAGGAAATCCCAATAGTATATGACTGCTACCTCCGACTCGGCAGTTCGTCATTCAACTAATGTCAAGCGATCTTATGAGCAGCACTCATCTGCATGCTTACGAGGGGTTTCTCTATAATATGTAAGAAGTACAGTAATAGGGTTAACAAGTATGAGTAAGACTATGGAGTAAGCCAGAGGTATAAATAGGACTTTAGATAATACATACTAGAGCGAAAAGAGAGCGTAGTAATACGTGTATCGCCCTATTCCTATTGTTGTAGTATAGGCATCATTTACTGGTTTAACGTTGTAGATCTTGAACCATCGACTACTAGGACTATTATACCTGATTTCGACCATCGTTGTCTAAAAGAAAATACTCTCGGAATTATAACTGCGTGCAATTCATCAATTTGGCTTCTTACTATGTTTGTGTTCGCATTGAACTCATAGGTAGTTTTACCAGATGCAAGACGCTGGTTTGCATGGAATATCGTTTTTAGGTTTCTGTAATTAACTCTGCCACTCCAGATCTTGTAATGCGCAATACTATGGCTCCGCTCGTCGATGCAGTCAGTTACAGTCTGTTACAGCTTTCATTCCCCAAAACAGACTGTAGACATGTGCGCTGCTTACCTCGGCTGGATCCGAGCAGCTTACAAATCCCTGCCTATACCAGAACAAGTGGTGATGCTACCTAGTAATGTGCTCAATATAAGGATATAAGCTCTCTGATTTAGCATCTAATCCCGATTTCCGATTCTCACGCGTCTGACATAGCTTATTTCCGCCTCGGGGCAGCGACAGCCAGATCTAGCACAAACTGGGACTGCGCACATGCGTAGTGTATAACATATAAGAACTTAATTGATCCTTGGACTCAAATTCCTGATGAGGGTATCGGGTTATACTACTAGTATCTAGTACCTTCTTGTAGTAATGCATGTGCCACTGCCGCTTTTGCCTATATAACAGGTTTTACTCCCTTGAACGCCGAGCTTTCACCTTTATCCCAGATTGGAAACTGACAACGAGAAAACAAAGAAAAAAATGTCGAGACTAGTCTGCTGACAGGAACGCCTTCATCAATAAGGAGCTGGATCCTTGTTCTCCCGAAAAATCCGCCCCACGGTATTTGCCGTTTCGACAGGGAGCGACTACATCTCGTCAACCAACCACTGCTTCATAAGCTCGTCAACGTCAACCGCAGTATTGGACCCCATAAAGTCGATTGTAGTCATAAACGACGGCGAATCATCCAGGCTCAAAACAGCGGCTGAAGGGTCGGTCATGTGGTTGCCATTGGCACCGTCAGTCTGCATTGCCGTCACATCGCTTGGCTCACCGGCAGGCATTTTTCGAGCAATGGAGATGACGCCGAAATACGGGATCGTAAAGTGAAACCTGTCACCTTTCAGGCTTCTGGGGTCGTTTTCGATTGCTTGGAGCAGCTTGAGGACATCACGCGCCTGCAACGCCACGCGGTCGTCGAATCGCTCAATGGCCGCATCCAAGACGTCGATGATGGCCGCAATCAGAGCCCAGTCTCCAGCCCTCTGGCCGGACAGGACTTCGAACTCGGCCGATGATGTCTGCAGAAACATGTTGAAGATGATTGCCACTGCGGCTGTGAATGCCTGGAAATTCGTCATGCAGCAGGAGAACATGCCGAATGTAGTTCGTAGCGGAATATAGACCTTGATGAGCTCGCGGGCGGCCCTCAGGCATTGTATCCTGCTGTACTCGGATCGCCGCTCGTCGGTTACATCGAGCATAAACGGCAGGTGATTCGACATGTCGAGGTGATGGTGCCATAGCTGCACGTTGTATCGACTGTAGAGCATCCCCATTGCGTCTGCTTGGCTGCCTGAGACCCGGTCAAAGGGATGCCACCACGAGTACGGCATGGCCTTTGCCAGATTGCTAAGGGCGCTGTCGATGGACACCATCAAGGGGACTGCCAGTGCTGGAGAGCGCTGATCTCTCTCCACTAAGTGGGCGGCGATCCGGTCAAGCTGCCGTTGGTAAAGCATGTCTTGCTGGCTTTCACTCAATTGCTGCATAAAAGTGAGGTCGTCCAGCACAAAGGGCTCGTATGAACCTACAACTCCGCAGGGGAATCCAAGAATCTCAGAGAGATGGTGGTCGTGGTGCACAATATGAGGCCAGATGCCCGCTATGCTGCCTTGTTGCTCGGCATCCTGTATAGACGTCTTGTGGAGATCCATAAGCTGCGCAACTGCTAAAGCTCTTCGATTGTTGAGCCATGCCCGCCGCGGTCTGCCGGAGTTGACAAAGTAAATGGACATGAGTAGTAGACACTCCAGTCCCTCGCTTGTGGCAATAAGCTCGTCGTCAGACGTCACCAGGGAAATTATAGTAGTCGTAAGATGCTCCATGAAGTCGTTTCGCGAAGATGGTAACCTATACTTGTTCATATCTGTACTCTTTGGAAGCTGTTGTAGACATATCACAATAACCATCAAGGCTCTTGCAATGACTGTCGGATGGCTGGCGGACATTGGTTCGATCGGTAGCATTCTGAGAAGCGAAAACTTGATAGATTGACGAAGAGACGGTAGAGGCCGCAGTAGTTGACTGATCCAGGGTGAACTTTCGTTATCGATGAGCTCAACGACTGCGCGAGGCGGTGTGAGCTCTAGTAGCATATGAGACACTCTCCTGAGTTTCGGCCATACTGCTGTGCCGGGCACCAGTGCTCGGCTGGCATTTGGCGTTAGAGCTGAGGCATCGGTGGGAGATATTCCTTCACCACCAATCTCCAACATGAACTAGAAGAAAGAATGAGAAACACTTAGCAAATATTCCATGCCAGGATTGGACAAAAAGGAAAAGTAGCCTACAGAAGCGTTGCGAAAGACAGAAACCACGTTGGATGTCGAAGAGGGCGCTGATATCGAGGCCGTGTTAATAACGTCGATTCCGGTGCTGTCCTCGGTAGTCGTCGCGTGCTCCGAGGGCTCCGTGGTCTGCGTATGCCGAACTCCAGTCTCCAGCTTCTCAAGAACTCGTTCTAACATACTCTCTACACGAAGCATTCGCTCCTCCATGTGTGGAGAGCGCGAATGATCGCTGCCGTCATCTTGGTATTGCTGGCTGACACAGGCTGAATCGTGGGCAAGACACCACACGCATGTAGCTGAGTTTCCGCTGGGGAAAGTACACCTGATCTTGCGACGTTTGCCTAAAAAAGTCGCCATGATTAACAACTGGATGGCAAAAGGCCGGGTGAAGCTGATTGCAGGAATATGCTGGCGGTCTAAAAACGTACATTCCCAGCAGCTTCGCGTGCCTTTGCGGATCTTTCGGAGCTTCAGATGCGAGAGTGAATCGCTCGGGCGATGCTGAACAGACGCTGGAACCATGCTGCAAGTATCTCGAGGTCGATTTTGGTGTTTCTCGAGTGCCGGTGAAAACGATCAACATTCGTGGGTGAAAATGAATGGAAATCCCGGGGTTCTGCTCGTGCTTAGTACATGTACTTAGCCCGATTACATGTACTTATTAGTTATCAAGAACAGCCAACAAAACAGAGTCGGTGATTTATGATACACTAGCAACCCCTCACTAGCATCTGCAGTAGCATATCGGGAAACTATCCAAGTGCGCCATGCCTCGAGAACTACATGTAATCAATCATTCGACGGGCGAAATTCTGCTGGATGCTACTTATTGGCCCGGTTCTCGGCGGGGCTTCCCGCCTGGTTTGTCAACGTTGGAAATTCCTTTTCCAGGTCGACGAGTTCGCCTACAGCACAGCAAAGTGGCCCTCCTCAGGGCGCAGGAACCTTCCCACTTCCCACAACTCCCAACAACAAGCCCTTCAAGTCGTATCATACCCCGAAAACCAGTGGAAATGGCAGCCGAAAGTGGACCTAACAGCTAGCTTGGCGGTGTTGAGCGGGCTACAGCACCCTTGCTAATGCAAGCAGACGGTTCTGGAGGTGTCAGCTCCGAGCGTATGATTGGCCGTGTCGGAGGGGTGTTGCTAGCGATGGGTCGGCTTTTCGCTGGAGTTGTCGAGCTACGATGCTTTAAGGCTTACATGACATCGCGATGGTCCCGACGACCTGGTCGCCAGCGCGGCCGGTGATCTCTTACATGTACCCCGTAGTCAGGTGAACAATGACCAGGCTGGTTCGGGCCTCAATCTTCGGGCACGACCACGGACGTGAATGCTTTCCAGTTTCCAGTATATTCTTAGTGAATGGGGCGATGAAACGCACATAAAAGTCTGAGAGAAATGCTACCAGCATCAATACGGATTTAGCCAGTAGCAAGAAAAAAAAGACAAAAGGTTCCATTGTAGTATGTAATGCTCTGCATATATCCCCATCGCGCGGATATCGGTCGTTTGGGTGGCCCAATATACAGGGATGAAGGATTCTGGGCAAAACTATCAAGCAGCTTTTCCCGGTTCTGGTAATAAACGTTTCCCCCGCCTAAGCACTATTTAAGCAGCTCTGAACAGACTGATGACTAAATGTCGGAGCCACAAGCTCTATAATACGAAGTTCTAGTTTAATATGTGATCATTCAGCTTTTCAAGCTGTCTCGTAGGAAGCTACCTATAAGGAGCTATGACATTGAACGATAACGAATGCTTCTCTCGAATACGCCGACACAAACATCGCTATGGAAAAACGCTTCAGTTCTATATGAGTACATGTGATAAGTGATCAGAAGCGTACACGCACATCCTAGTACGCCAAGGCAGAGAGGAGAATCTGTGTTTTGTCCAATAAGTCGATTAACAAATCTTTTAGTGTAAGCTCTTAACGGGTAAATGTTTGTGTTCGGAGCCTTTTTCCCACTTATTATTCCTCCGACACTTTACTACATCAAAGTATTTGCCCCTAGCTCAATATATCCAGCGAATACCCGACTATCTTCTCAGAGGAATTCCATAATAATTACAGTCATATATGCTTAGATTATCCCACAAAGCCCGGGGCAATAAAGGACAGGGCTCTAACTCTGCCCCTGATGAATACCTCGATCAAGACAACAGCCTCGCCACTTCTCGTTCGACAGTGGCATCCAGGCCTTCTTCCAGCTTCATGCCTAGGTGTTCGTTCATCACGACGCCCTCTTCATCGTAATTACCTCCAGTATGATAGATGGCTTTACTAAGGATATAGCCCAGGCCGCCAGTGTCGCCCTGAGCCAGCTTATTCCGCGCCTCTAAGACTTTCTCTTCAAGGTCAACATCAACAATCTTCCACTCCGCCTGGCCTCTTGCGATATCCACTCGTTTCGTAGCCGATACGAGCGACTCCAAAATCTCATCTTGGCTTGCATTGAATGATCTCACATGCACGTATCGGTTGTCCACGATTGGAAAATTTTTGGAGAAAAGGACATGCGCCACAGCCTCTGCGACGTTTGCCAAGTTCGACCAACTGAAACGGTGCGTATGGTACCCAGGCTGGTGGATGTACGCTGTGCGGGATGGGACATTGAATGAGAAGAATCCTTGGCGTAGGCTCCTGTTCCAAAGTCCTGCGTCAGCACAATTCTACACGAGGGATTCGACAGGGTATCGTGTTAAACGATAAAGAGAATACATGTACAAGACAGTGCGTTGCGTACCAATCAAAAAAGGGTCCGGTTATAATCCCCGTCCAAGTTATCTTGTCTTGGATAGATCGAAGGTACTGTATAATCCGAGGCTTCATCTTCAAAAAGGTCATGATCTCGACCGTTTCCTCCTTGGAGGTATCAATGCCAAATTCCGCCGGTATGAACCGCTTCACCCCAGCCAAAACGGCGACATCAATCATTTTCTTCTGCACTTCAAAGTCCGGCATTGTAATTGTATTAACAACGGCATCTTGGCCCTTGAACGCGAGCAAAAGGGAAGATTCTGAATAATCGGTGCGATAAACCGTAGTTCCGGCGGGAGACACAACGTTCGAAGTGTCTCTGACCAGAACAGAGACAGAGAATCCATGCGACTGCAAAGACGAAATAACAACGGGGTTCAAGTAGCCCCCAGCCTATTCGCGATTAGAACGTGTGTATTAGTCGATTGGTGTGTGGCGATGGGAATCGACGTACCCCGACTACTATAACTTTTTTAATTTCGCTCATTTTGGACAAATGGTAAGATAGCAAATAAAATTCTTTGATTCGTGCCTTGAATGAGTTTCCGAGACGTTTGCTCTTCCTTTTGACTTCATGATGCTGTTATGCTGCTGTATCTCGTATGTAACTATTCGGCCGAGCTCGGCGGAAGAGAGACGGCGGAGTTGAAGTTCTCCCCACTTGGCTTGCCCCCTAGTTGTAATACTCAACCATTCAGTAGCCTTCAAGTCTTGTTTCCTACAACAATCCATGTAAATAAATTAGCAATCTTGTTTCAAGTGAACAGGATATTCGGCCGGAGCACGGGCAAGTGCATATGCTATACTCCAGAGGCTAGAAAACAGACAATTATATATATCAGCAGTAGCGAGTGCCGTATCAAGGCAATCATAGTGATCTCATACAATTCTTAGATATTAAACCTCCTGTCAATCATACCCGGATCAGTACTTTGTCACTCCCCTTGCTGTTTCTCAATATGAGCTCCTCGCTATACAAAATCTGTTTCATCAGACGCCGGCCTGACCTCACAGAGGAGCAATTTTACGACTACTGGAGGAATGTTCATGCTCCCAAGATTGCGTACTGGTCCAAGAAGCATGGCATAATCGGATACACACAGGTAAAAATAATTCTCCTCCGAGTATTTCTATATTCCTTAACAATTCATTGACTTTGTTGTGCTGTTAGATCCACACATCTAGCGCTCTACGTCAGCCATTAACAGCGACGCCGCTTCCCCTCGCAGTCATGGACTTTGATGGCGCTGTGATATGGGAAATTCCAAGTTTGGAGCACTTTTTTAATGCTTTTAATGACCCATACTACCTGAACGTTATTGCTCCGGATGAAGACAACTTTCTCGATAAGAGCAAAGAAGTAGCGACAGTTACTTTAGGCCACTTTCATAACATCGTTGCTGGTGGGGAGCCTCTTATTGACTACAGCGAAGCGGCTGAACCGTCGGAGACCAAGTAGATGGCTGTCCTGTGACACATGCATGAAAAGCGCAATGAGAATAAATGGATGAGTTTATTTGCGGGCGGCATATAGTTGGGAATTGAACTTTGAACCATTGTACTGTGCTGTCAGATTATCTATTACAGTCGTATCAGCTGTAGGATACAGAGATAGCTTGGTATTATGTAGAAAATCGTGCAGAGCTTACAATCGATATCTAAAGCCCACCGTTTTCCAGTCCGTCACATCTTCATAGTCTTCTGGTCTTAGTTGAATGCCCGTAACTGTTTCCGCAACATCTTTTCCATCCACAATATCGGATACTTTTCCCGCAGCTACAACACCAGCAGCTCCCGCATTTCCAACAAAGCCCTCTTCCTCCGAGCGCTTTGCATTCACCCACTGCAGATAAAATCTCAAAACAACAGCTAGAAATATGACGAGGCAGTAGCAAATCATGATTGTCTTGAACGCCGTCTGATAGGTTGGCGCTTCAGACGTGCGAAAGAACTGAGGGCCAGTGATATTGCCAGCACAATACGCCAGGAACAGCAAGGCCGTCACGGTCATCTTCTTTGTAACTCCGCGATAATTGGACTGCACGAGAGCCATGGTGAGGGGCATCGCGGCAGGACCAGGGGATAAGAGGAAGTATGCAAACAGTTGAACGCCATGGGGTACTGATTCGCGGCGGTAGATGACTGCAGAACCAACGACACATGGAATCAGGACAAGAACAATGAGGATGCAGTTCAAAGTTCGGTAGCGGCCAGCAAGCCATCCAGTGCCTGCTATGATGCTTGCAGAAAGAACGGAGTACGGGATATTGATGAGAGTAGATTGCAAGGAGGTGAAGTTGAAGGAAGCGATGATGATGTTGGAAAAGCTTTGCGTCCCGCTATTGGGCATTTGGCCAACGAGCTCAATAAGGAAAATGAGCCAGGTCTTTGGGTCAATCAGACATTCCACCAGTTGATCCCATCTCCAGCGCGTATTTTCAGTAGTTCCCGTGCCTGCAACAATCGTGCGGTGTGCTGCAATCTCCCGCTCTTCAGGCGTGAGGAATTTGGCCTTTGAAATACTGTCCGGGAGGAGAAGAAACATTGGAATACTCCAGAGAAACGTTAAAACCCCGAGAAGAATATACATCCATCGCCAAGGATGCACATTGTCATGGACGTGTCCAAGGCCAAAGGCAATGAGACTGGAAATAATACCGCCGATGGAGTTGCCCGCAAACCAGATGCCTACTCGCGTCGGCATCTCGTCTCGAGTATACCACGTCGACGTGAGAAACATAAAGGCCGGGGTTATGGTCGCTTCTGCCATGCCCAAGAGAAATCTCACGGCCATGAGGCCCCCAAAGTTGGTACATGCTGCTGTTAACGCCACGACAGCGCCCCAGACAAGAGTGTTGAAGGAGAGATACTTGGCAGTGGGCAGGCGGGCGATGAGCACAGTGGTTGGATACTCCCAGATGAGATAGCCAAAGTAGAATATGCTGCTGACCCAACTGTATTGCTGCCCTACAAGATGCTGCATATAAGTGAGTTAACCGATTCTCGTTTACACACGAGTATTGCCTTTGGGTTATGTCAAGTCTCTTACGGTATCTTCGCGCAAGCCAAACACAGCAGCACTCGATAGAATGACCTTATCCATGAAATTGAGCATGTAAGTAACAAACAACAGAGGGATAATAACTCGGTCAATCTTCTTCACCACGCGACGTGCAATCGCAGCGTCAACACCCGTCTCAACAGGAGACGGCTCTGGTGCTGAAGAAGTCATGTCGTCGTCAGTGATGCGACACAGCAACGGCTCAGTCTCGCTGGATGAGCGATCATGTCGGCGATTCATCGAATGCAAGTGCAGAACAAGTATATATGAGCTAGTTCAGCCGCCGATCTAGCAGATTGTCTGTTATCACAGCGCGTTTTCCCCTCACGCTTATCTTGTAGTGTGATTGAAGGGCGGAATGAATGCAGAGAGTTTGTTACCCGAGATCGGCCAATCGCCAAAACCAGGGCTATATCCGGCTAAAAGCCTAATTGCGTGTATTAAACTGACTAACTAGCTAGACGATCTACAACACAGGATAGGACTGAGAGAAGATGATGCTTTAGCAATCGTAAAAGCATGGAACTTGACGCATGGAAGATTTTGATGGTTGTAAACATCAGGACATATGGTAGGAATTTATGGCTCTTGACCTCGGTCGAAATTTCCCTTTTTGCTACAGCCAAGAGCTTGATTCAGGCAGCTTCGCAAATACTCTTGACCAGGAACGGATGGAGGAATAGCTAGTGCTATTCAGATAGGAATAGAAAATACTAGTACATAGTAGTAGCAAACAATACGCCATAGGTTAGTTGGAAATCCTGGCCGTATGTATTACTATCAATCGTTGTAGGGGTGGTTCTAGTATATGGCTGTACATTAGCTTAGCCCCCGTCGTATTTCAATTGTGGCTCCCTTCCCCGAAGCGTATTGACATTGAAGGAAGGAAACTTCGCGATGCGGTTTTGAGAAATACCCCAGTCAAATGCATCTCCTTGTGCAGCATACATGTTACTTGACCTAATACTGCTGTGTAGGGATTCGGTAGAAGCGGATATGAGTAATCGTTCGAGGTCAATAAGATAGGAGGAATATGTTATTTCTCCGAGGCCAAATAATAGTAATCAAGGCTATTGCGTGTTACGTATAGATGGTTTAGCATGTTCAATATGACAAGGGTATATATGAGAGTTGCATTGAACTTATACTGTAATATGCCTTGGTGGTTGATACGATTGACAATTACTGGTTCTGGAGAAGCAAAAAATTTATCGAGGTTTCCGACATCTCAAAGAACAATAGAGAGCGCTATTATGAAAGATGTTTCAAGCCTGTGCTTCTGTATTTTGGTTTGTCTTTGATCTGTTGTTATGCCTAGGAGATATCCGCGGTATGAAGTACAATCTGCTTGTTGCAGTAGTAGCAGAAGGTAATCAGGGCGTAAACGCTTGATGATTGCAAACAAGCAACTTTCATCATCTTCCTCAAACATGTATTTCTATATACGGATCATGTTCAAACTTAAAACGCCATAAAATAACTTTTGTAGATAATGTGAAATCTCACATGTGAAATCCTTCTAGTTGAAGCTTTACTGCGACTAATTCTTTGAGCAAACAGATTATCTCTTTCTACCTCTTACTTGCAACAGCAGCAGCGGCAAGCACAGCAGAGCCGCAGACTACTGAAGTAATCCCAAATATTTGGGCATTGAGAAAGTTTCCATTATCCAGGTCAATCAGGGCACCAGCAATAGGCGGACCAGTCAGACAGGCAAAGCTGATGATTGTAAAGATCATTCCTACCCGGACGCCCATCTTCTGGGGGTCCTTGGTCAGGCTCCCTACGCTGCCGACAAAGAGACTCTGCACAGCATTCGCAAAGAAGCCGTAGACGATGATCCAGGCAAGAAACCCATTGTAAGAAGTGACGTACTTCCACAAGTAGAGCAACACGCCGGCACTAAACGTGATGGGAGTGAGGACGTATAATGCGTTGCCTACCACGCGCGTGGCGAGATATGCTGGGAAGATGCGACCGGGCAAGCCGATGCCATTGATGGCTATGATGAGATAGAATGACGGAGCGGATGGGATATGAAGGATCTTGGAGCCAAAGATCGAAATCTAGTTACATTGGTGTGACAAGTTAGAATAACGAAGAAATCGATGGAATGAAGAAAACTTACATAAAAGTAGGCAAAGTAGAGTCCCCAGAGGCTCAAGAATATTCCAATGGCGTACAAGAGATAAGGCAACTCTTTGAAAGCCTCCCACTCAATGAAAGCACCTGACTTGCGTGGTGCTACCTTGGGTCGCACAACGACCAGAGCAATGACAGAGTTGAAGACAAACACAAAGCCCATGACTCGCACCGCCCAAGGCTCGCCAAGTGTTGGGATGAGCTGTCGAGCAATGGAGGGAAACACCATTCCTCCGGTAGCAGCACCGGCCGCGGCAAAAGACACCGCTAGAGCTCGGTTTTTTTCATAGTAGGTGCTGATCAGGGAGATCATGGGGCAGAAAATGAGGCCATCGCCAAGGCCGACGCAGATGCCCTGCGACAGGAGGATCTGCCAGTAGGCAGTAGCAGACGCAGTGGTGAAGATGCCAATGATTTGGAGGCTGCAGCCAACAGCCAGAGTCGTGCGCAGGTAGCCGGCATCAAGGACTCGCCCTGAAAACGTGCCGACAAAATAGATGAGAAAGATTTGAAGGCTTCCAATCCACGAGATGTCTGATTGTGAACGGCCCAGGGTGGAAATGTAGTAGGATTGGAATAGACCCCATGAGCCAATGTAGCCAAAGGTATCAAAGATCATCAAGTGACCAGCCAAGATTTGAAGATAGCCAGTCCATGGCGAAAGAGAGGCTGATGACGAAGGCGGCGATAAGGATTCAGAGGCCGATTCAGAATTTGGTATAGCTTCAGTCTTCTTGTCGTCGACAGATTCCATCATTTCTTCTTCTTTTTGCCGCTGGCCTGTCTCCCTACTCCTGCTTTGTTGCCCCAGAGAGAGCTGAGGGTTAAGAATCTCGTGGGCCTCAACAATTTCCCTGATACGAGCTGATGGCAAAAGGACTCCTCCACGTCTTACCTGCCAAGCGATGTCAAAATAAGGCGGAGCGTGGGGTATAGAGATCCACTAGCATAGATCCTAGCTGTCGAAGCGGAAGGTGCATGTGAATATACCCAGCAATTGCCTAGTAGGGGAAAAAAAGAAGCCTCAAAATCCAGGAAATATCGACTTCTTACGAAAGCTCTCTGAGCGGTAGGTTAGCTCTACAGCTTGACGAGTGTGGGTAAGCCCTATTATTGAATTGACATTACGTACACGAAGAAACGAGTTTGCCATTAGCCTGTGATTGGCGGTTTGACGAGTTCAGCGCACATACCACCCGCCACCTCGATGCTACTTCTTGGGGAACAAATCAGGCTAAAGCGACCGTCAACAGTGCATCACAGCAGGATTATGAATGAGGAATTTGCTTCGGTAGGTACTTCTGCAAAGTAGGCACTTACTCAGTAAACATGTACTTGTTAGCACATGTAAGTATTTTTAATATACGACAAGGGATCTCTTTGCAAGGCTAATAGATTTACCGCAAGTCTAGAACAAATCTTTTGAGTCATCATAGACAGTTGATGGCTCCAAACACCTAGTGGAACTGGCATGTATAGGTACATGTACATACGACTGTCATGTTGTCTTAGACAAGCTGAGGTATTCGACTCGCACATATTAGAAACAACTGATATTTATTCAAGCCGAAGGATCTAAGACTACATTTAGGAACATGATAATATCATGGTGTAGATGACTATAGTCAGTTGATTTATTTGTCTTTGAATCTGATTATTACCGATCCGAAGCACAACACCCATACAAACTGTAAGGCGGTGTTACGGTGTCAGCACGATGAAATTGAGTGTGCAGTTATGTAAGAGAATGCTACGCCGGTCTCATAGTTTCCTTTCCGATCAAGGCGAATTGTTTGCCTTCGTTGAGAGATATATGATCAGCTTAGTATAGCACACACGCTGTGGCTTATGACGATTCAGCTCTGTGGCAGATCTTTACTAGTCTCGGGGTTTAGGAGATTGGTAAGGCTGTAGGAACTGGATCAACGGCACGTGTCTGCCTTGACAAGGTGCCATGACGCGCCAGTATTACAACAGCAGCTGAAGATATTCTGGTGGGTACTATGGGGAATACACAGGCTGTACCTGGTGCAGAGCCATAAGGAAGGTAGTAGTGGCAGCATGAACTGAAGGATCGGAATTTTCCGTTCTAACCTTGTGCAGTTTTCGCAGCAATTGAAGATTTCTCAGTGGATACTGTGGAGGATACCCGGGCTATTTATATGCCTGGTGAGGAATCATGAAAAAGGTACGGAATTTACCGTCCTAGCCATGTAGTTTCGCAGAATCTTATCTAGATCTTCAAGTACCGTGGACTTGTGCCCCATCTCTTTAATCCCCTGTTGCTAGTAACTTGCTAGTACTGGCGGGCACGGCGCCATCCGCACAAACACCGCAACGGACTTCCATGAACCCCCACAAGGCAGCGGGGAGATTCAGCTCTCGGACGCTAATCACGCCGGAGTCAGCGCTATAAAGAGGAGAGGCAACTGTGCCGGGGGCTAGAACAAGTGCTATGGCATGCAGTGTGCCACACTATGCGGCAAACCGGTTAGCCAAACGGAAATGATCTGCCGAAGTTGGCTAATGTCGCCCTGCACTTTCTTATCGAAGAAGCTATATCCATCATCTTTTATAAACAATTGTGATAAACCTGTGGGCCGAGACTCAGTAACAAGCAAATAGGAAGGAGAGTTTTAGATTACATCCTAGTCATCTACACTTGGAAATCCTGTGCAATGTCAGGTGCATTGCTCAGTTCTTGGCTTTTGTACTCCTTTGTTATTGAAAGGTGCTATTCTGTCAACGGCAGTTACCAACTCGATGATTAGAATAGATCCGTATTGATTGACACTTTTCTCCGATTTCATCTGATCTACCTTTAGCTTAAAATAGCAAGTCTTTTACCTTGCTGTCTAGTTTTGTGTTACGGCTAGTGTGCGAGGCTAAAAGCTTGTTTTGCTTGTACTACAAGCAGCGGACGTTCCCTTTTGAGGCAGCACTTTACATGACCAGAACTTGACAGTGATTTTAGCGTGGATGCTAGCTTTCGATTTAGGCATCCATAACGATCGTAGCGCTGACAAGCTGGACGTGGCGCAACCGCTTAAGGCCGAGTGCGTTTAAGAGTTGGAAGAGGATGGTAAGAGATGGAGATCAACCTCCTCACAAATATCGTAAACCCACGCTTGGCAGGTATAAGTATATAAAATACATTTTAGTTTACATATTACGTATTACATATTTTAATGGCATGTAATTTCTTGGCCTATTTTCCAACTATTCCTAATTAGTCAGTAATATAAAGTATCAATACAGCTTTGTTTTTACTGTCTTATGACTCTGAGCTGTATTCTAAACTGTAATTGGATGTTTACATTACTAATGGTATCATTAATTACTTGTGCTCCCTGTAATAGCTATCATTATCTATAACTATGTAATATATTATATATGCCAAATATTTTTTTTCTATTTTATAATAAGGTGAAAATGTTGGAGTTGAATACTTTGTAAGGGGCAGTGCAGACAAAAGTACATGTACCAGCATTGACGAAATCTGTACACATGTACTATTGGCCTGGTCAACAAGCCTTACAATTTGTTATATCCTGATTCAACTAGTTGAGCCTCAGCTCCCTCAACGCATACATAAACAGGCAGTTCCCTCGTTGCACATATCTCTCTCCTTTCATCATCAACACACTCTTCTCCTTCTGTTTCTTAAAAACTCGTTTTACATCTAGTTTTTATTTTTTATCTTTTTAAAACCGCAAGCATGTCTGTTCTTGCATCCAAGCTGATCGCTATCAACATTGTTGATCTGCAAGATGGCAGCCATGTCATCACCGATGCCCATTCCACCAATAACTTTGACCGGTTGGCCAAGCTTGAAGCTCAAGTCACCGAGCTCTCTCAGTGGAAGAATTCCATGACTCCGATCATCTCCAACTCCATCGCAGGATCAAATACTGCGTCCAACTCTGGATCTTCGTCAGATTCTGAATCAGACTCCAACCAGTCGGTTGGCTCTCTCGACCCAAACTCTCTCATGGTTCGTCATGCAGCTTCACCAAAGAAGTCTACAACCACGACCAAGAAGAGCAACCTTCCCAAGAAGCAAGATACTGATGTCACATCACGTATCATGACCATCATCCAGGGCTATGGCCAGAACGAAGAAAACGACGAAGGCTCACCCTGGTTGGGTCGTATCAAGTTCGAGCCTCGTGTCCGCAAACACGTAAAGGCGAACGCGCCTATCGAGCTTGTTCTGCCTGCTTTCCCTTGGAAGAGCGTCAACAAGGTTGAGAAAGTCCTTGGTGCTGTGCCCGATCTGGGTGAAGAGTTGGGTTTAGGCCGTCTTCAAAACCTTTGCGAAGATATCCAAGCCATCTACCCGCCTGGAGCGTATGTCACCATCACCTCTGACGGCCTTGTCTACAATGATCTCCTAGGTATTTCTAACGAGGAGGTATACGAGTATGGTGGTGCTCTCCGACGAATGGCTGAAGAGAAGGGCTATGACCGTCTTAAGTTCATCCGTATTATGAACCTTCTAGGTCTTACTGACAGCCCGCACATGACCAAGGAAGAGTACTTGGGTTGTGTTGACGACTCGCGAAAGATGCTCGTGGAAAAATATCTACCCGCAGATTTTGACGCTCGCGATGCCATCCTTAACGACGCCGATATCAATCTGACCTACTGCGGCTACATCATCTTCTTGAGCAAAGACATGCGCCACAGTCCGATTACTGCTGGTGTCACCACCAAGCGAGAATATAGAACGGTCGTGAAGCGAGTTGCTCACGACATGATTACTCGAGGCAAGGTACGTTACATCGCTTGGTATCTCTTTGTGACTTTACCTAACTCTTATGTAATAGGCTTTTGCTGCCGTTATCGAAGACCGTCTCCCCGACTACGTTCGACTCTCCATTCACCGATCCACAGGTCTCAATAAGCTGTCTTTCCCTCTCGTCCCACAGCCCAACCACTTCTCCATGACTCCTTGGCACTGCTGCATTGCTGTTACAGCCAAGGGTCAGTTCCGCACTGCCCACGCCATCGAGCTGCGCGAGACGCACGACGTAATTGAGCAAGACGGTCGGCCTTACTACTACAGAGATCGATCTGATGTGTGGAAGTGGGATGTGCCGGTTGAGTTTGAGTTCTTCTATCCCAGGGGCATCTACGTGAGGGCAAAGCCTGCTGAGGGTGAAGCTGCTCCTAAGCTAGGTCCAAAGGAGCTTGCCAAGATCAAAGAGCTGGGCAAAGGCTTCTCTCCTGTCATTCCTACAGGTTTTGCTTAAGCTAGTTTCAATGAGTATTAGACAGAAAAAGATATCAGAGCAAAGTGTTATGCTACACAGGTAGAAAATTGAAAGTAAACGTTATAAACTGTTCATGCTTTGTTTGCGTACACTTGTCTGGTTCTTACGTTCTAACCTAGAATCTTTAATTGTGTACTTAATTTAATGGAGTCGAGGACTACACGTATATTATAGGCTAGTTTAGACAGTACTCCTGCTCTAGTAGAAGCATACAATAATTCTATTTGAACTTGTTGTTATGATGCCAACTTCGTGAATCAGGAACTTTTCTGCAGAACGTAAGGTCGCAAGCCAATGAATAAGCACCGAATTAACATCAGGATTGGGTAATATAAACAATGACAAGATGCCAGTAGGCAATTGGTGATTCGACATACATTGTGTCGCATTGATTGAAACGTCACCAAGCATTATATTTATGTCGTTCTCTATAGTCATAACTCTCTGACGGCCGCTATTGTATGCGCAGTAAATCATTTACTCTCGTAATGCGTTCATATCCCATTCCTATCTCCCACCATTTAATGATATTTGCTAATTGCATTCAGATATGCCTGGCCCGACTGAGAGAGGCTTCCATCGCTATTCACCGGAGGCCAGACCGAGCCCAAGCCGAGGCCATCAGTGTACGCATACGCCAAAACATGCTCATTGGCCTCAAACAGATCCACAATATCGCTGATCCACTGGTTGATCTGGTTCTGATCCGTGCATGGCGTAAAGTTGTTTTGGTCAAAGACGCACGCAAACTCTGTCACCCAAAGCGGCTTCTGATAGGTGTTCCAGTAGTAGTCGATATCGGCCTGCACGCCCGTCATGTCCGACTTGAAGATGTGAATGGATGTAAAGTCCCAGCTCTTGGTAAGTTGCTGCTGGTTGAACTGCTTGAGCCAAGACTCGTCCTTCTGGCGACACATGGCCGGGCTGCCAAGCGCAGCACCTTTCTGGCCCATGGGAGCAATCAGACTGTTCCACAAGCTGACGCCTGTGTTGACGTCGATGTCTGCAGATACATCAGCCCCTGAGCAATCAGGCTCATTGAAGCCCATGACATAGGCGGGCGTAGAGTTGAGGTGCTCAAATTGTTGCAGCCTCTGAGCGTCTTTTTGACCATTGTTGCCGCCACCCCAAAGCATAGAAACGGGGACGAGGCCGGCGCCTTTGGGACTTGAAGGCGCTGGTGTCCAGTCATGCCACCAACTCAAGTGATCTTTCCAAAAGGCGAGAGCGGTGTCGCCCGCTGACCCGGCTTTTCTACCGTTGGGAGTCAAAGGGTGCTGGGCCATGGCCGACGCCAATGCACCCACCAAGAGACAGTAACTTTTCAGAGCCATTCTGTATGATGTCGTTTCGGGCAATAACGATTGTATTTTGATTTCCCAAAGTCACTGCGATGAGACGCACTTTAATATCTGGAGTACTTATAGACGTCGCAAGTGCCGGGCGTTGTGGCTCGTAAGCTGACAGCTACAATCACCAGTTATGCTTAATCTAGTAGGCGACAGGATCTGTATCCGGCAGCTGCTTTCTTAGGGGCCTGAGTTATTCTGGGTAACCGTTTAGTAATACTGAATACGAACTACTTGCATTCGTATTCCTAAAGGAATAGTAAACAAAAAATCGCACGTTAGGAAACTACTTGTTAGTGTCCCCTATATGCGAGATTCATCTCAAAAGGGGTGATGTTGTGACTTTCGGTTCTAGAAGGAAACCAGATCCGATTAGGACTCGATCAACTTACCGACATTCCGCGCAGATTTGGTGCCTTGTACGAAACATTTCGGAGCCTTCGGTCCTTATAGGTGTAAAAACCGGTTCCACTTTAATATATCTGACATTCAGAAGAAAGTAAGGACCGGGGAAGTGGAGAGTTGAGCAGTTGTATAAAGTCCGGCCGTCACCGTATGCCAATTTGTAAGAGCCAAGTCCACTGTAAATCCACTTATCCTTCTATTGGAACACCTGTCACACAACGTTGAAAATTTGTTTGGCTAAAGTTAAAACATCAAGCATAAGCGTACGTCAGCTAGAACGGCAGTGATCGGCACGTGTAAGGGGTAGTGGCACTTCAACTTAGACGTTACCGTAAAGAGAAGCTTCTTTTCGAGATCGGCATTCGGTCCGAATGAATGCTTGTTGCTGTGAAGTACCAATCGGGCAAGTATTTTGATACTATACTTTACGATATCGACGACGTCTTCATCTACATGTGGTTTTCGATAACAATGTTAACGTTGAAGATATTTGGTATAGAGCGTACAAGTATGTGATGAAGGCTCTCAAAGACTTCAAGGAACCATACTTGAAGATGAAAATTTAGCAGTTAATGCGTCAGTTATTGGGATCTTTCCAGCTGTTTATGCATGCAAAAGCCGACGGATATTTCATATTGACTGAAACGCCTTTGGAGAAGATGTTTGGCAAGTGATCGACACGCCCAGCAATGTCGATCCCGAGTGTTGTTCGTTGTCTATTCAGCTCAATTCTATGTAGAGCACTATATAGAGCATAGAATCTCCCATAATAATCGCAGCTCTTCAGGCCATCTGCTACTCATTCCAAGTGATTCATCAAGGGCTCTATCAAGATGTTGTCTGCACTTGCCTTTTCGCTGCTAGTAGCTTCAGCCAGCGCCTGGACTCCCCAGTCCAACGCAAAGGGTCAGTAGAACCTCAACCGGAACCATCACTGCTCGTATATGAGACATCAGCTAAAGAATGACACAGTCTTTAGCCGAGATACTGAAGGCGTCATGAGATGGCTCCCCGGCAACGACAAGTTCCGCGGTGTCAATCTTGGCTCGCAGTTCATCATCGAACCATGGATGGCTTCTGACGAGTTCACCGGCATGGGCTGCGGTGGACTCAACGACGAGTGGTCTTGTGTCCAAAGTCTCGGCCAGGATGCTGCCGATGCCGCCTTCCAGAAGCACTGGGGCAGCTGGATCACCCAAGACGACATCACCCAGATCAAGAGTCTGGGGCTTAACACAGTCCGTATCCCAGTTGGGTTCTGGATCCGTGAAGACCTTGTTCAAGAAGGCGAATTCTTCCCTCGTGGTGGTATCCAGTACCTGGACCAGCTAGTCGGATGGTGCAATGACGCAGGCATCTATGTCATCATGGACCTTCACGGCGGCCCTGGAGCGCAGTTCCCTAACCAGCAATACACTGGCCATGTAAGAGAAGCAGTCTGATGCCTTGAAACCCCCAAGTTCTCGACTAATGGTACAATAATAGGGAGTCTCACAGCCAGGGTTCTACACCGAGGCAAACTACGAGCGAGCAGCTGACTTCCTGGAGTGGATGACTGAGCGTATTCATACCAACGCTACCTATGCCTCCGTCGGCATGCTGGAAGTCATCAACGAGCCCGTCCACTCTGGCGATTTCCCCAGCCAAGCTGCGGATATGGTCAACACCTACTATCCTCTCGCCTGGAACCGCATCCGTGATACTGAAAGCAAACTGGGTGTCTCCGACGATAAGCGCCTCCATATCCAATTCATGGTATATTCACCCTTCTCACTATATATTAACCCTCTTTAATCAATAACACAAACTGACAAATTGACAATAACAGGACTCAGCCTGGGGCTCCGGAGACCCAACCAGCGCCCTCCCCAGCACCGACTTCGCCGCCTTCGACGACCACCGCTACCTCAAATGGGACACAAGCATCACCGCCACCAAAGACGGCTATCTCAACGCCGCCTGCAGCGACAAGCGCGACGACAACGTCATCGTCGGCGAGTGGTCCATCTCCGTCGCCGACAATGTCCAGGACAACGACGAGCTCGGCATCAAGAATCGCTCCGACCAAGCCGACTGGTACCAGAAGTTCTGGGCCGCCCAGGTGCTCGCCTTTGAGAAGTCTGCTGGCTGGGTTTTTTGGACGTGGAAGTGCAACTGGATCGCGGGATACGATGACTGGAGGTGGTGCTATCAGTCTGCTGTTGCGGCGGGTGCGATTCCCAAGGACGCGGGCAGCGCGGCTAGCATTAACCCGTGTTAAACATCCATCGAGTTCATTCGATATTTACCTAAGATGGAAGCTTTTGTGGGCCATTATGGCTTCACTTTTGTATAAATTGCTTCTTGCATGTAGATATGTACCTGTGCTATAAGCACAACTTGAAAAGTATCACGAGACTTTGCCATTCAAGAGCACAAATGAATAAAGTGAGAAAAGGTTTATATCAAATAAACAAAGCAAATCTGTCTAAACATCTCAAAGGAACATGTGGAGTGCCTAACTACCCACCCAATGTTCAAATCATCGTGTCTTAGCGTAACATGTCCAACCTCCAAATCATCATCAAGTGCTATGCCACATCCCCACAGCTTCTAGCTGTTCAACCACCCAAGCCCACAAGTATGACATTCCTCATACTCAGTATCTCTGCGTAGTAGAATAGGCTGGATCGTTTGCAGGTGGATTGGGAGGTAGAGCAATGATTACAATGTCCTCTGTGTCGCAGTATGCGCACATGTCGGCATTGCCTTTTTCGACCACCTTGACGCATCCGCATGGACAGTTGCAGACGTGCATTTTGGCGTGTTTGAGATGGATGATAATTGATGAGAATGGATGTCAAAATTTTTAGAATTAGATTGAAAGCTGAAGTGTATCTCAGGAGCGAAATTGTTGCTCTGGCTGCTTTTCTGAAGAAGATGTGGATGGGCTGCTTCGCATTTTGTCTCTTATACTGGGCATCCACGCCCACATATATAGCCACAGCCAGTCGTGAGTCGAATTGGAGGTCAAGCCTCGCTCGCACTTGTTCACACAAATTTGAGGTCACACAAATTTTAGGCGAGTATTGAACTCCTCTTAAGCCCAAGCTTTAAGACACAAAACCTATATTTTGAAACAGTACAACGCAGCATATTTACATGTAATCAGAGTCAAGTCTGCCTGCCTGACTATATTCAGAGAAGCAACCCTGTGAACTCGTGCCATTTTTCATCGACATGATCAAGAGCATCCTATTAAAAGAAATTGAACCTTGTGTGGCCTAAATTTTGTGTTGCAATCAGTGCAGCACGATATTAAAAAGGCCGAATTCCTAGCATCGTCTTACCGATTCACCGAACTCCTAGTCTCATATTCATAATATTATTTCCCCTTCTCTCCAACACGCACAATATTTTCCGTGCCCAAAACAGCATACCAGAAGATATTCCGCTGGGCTTTGGCTTCGACATCACGCTTCGCCTCGTCGTCTTGTTGAGAACCCTGGAGATCATTAAGAAAGCGTCCAACAAAGGTACCAACAAAAGGTTTGCGGTATAGCTTATACAGCATTTCAGACTCGGGACTCCTTTGACCGGGAGGCTCGGTTGTTGCAAAGTAGCGCAGCGCAAGGGCCAGGGGGAAAAGACCCGAGGCGCCCTGCATCGCACCGGCGGCAGGTTCGTACAGGAGGTGTACCATGTGGGCGATCTTCCTCGCGTAGATGCCCGGGTTTTCCATCTTGGGCGGAGGAGCAGAGTAGTATGGCCCGGAGGACCTTTCAGATGCCTGCCCCGGTGAGGTGGCTGGTGTAGATGCCGTACCTGCGGGCGAGGCCGGAGAGCCGCCACCGAGAGATGGAATGCTATCGGTTCCGGGGCTCATAGCTCCGGCCGAATGAGCCAATGTCATCCCAAGGGTGCTGTACAGCATCAGGCGAGCGCCCCAATAGCATCCCGAGATATACACAAGCCCAAACTCAGTATCGTCTTTGGGCGTGGGTAGAGGAGAGCCGGCAAACGTATAGTCGAACTGTTGGAGAATCGGCCCAGCTTCCTGTTCCCAGATATCTAAGCTCAGTGCAATGTGGTGACAGTTAAGCATCACAGTATGGCGGAGTTCGTCGAAACGCTCGGGATCCTGACAGGCGCGAAGTTCGTCGTAGGCGATCAGCATGAATGGCACATCTTCCAGGATATCGATCAGCTTGTCTTTGGTCGACTTGGGTATATCGCGCCACGGAATTGTTCGCCAAGCTTCTGTGTGGAGCGGAGATTTGGCTCGTCTTCCGATTGACAACATGACCTATTCGCATAGTTAGAGCGGCTGCAGAGGAAGAAAGGGGGGTTTGGGATCGCACAATCAGGATTCGACCGTCAACATATAGCTGGTGTGATTGGCCAGATACAAAAGATTCCGGGCCTCTGGCCAAAAAAAGAGCCAACTGGCCCTCTATATGAGCCCGCCAGTCGGGTGCTTTTCCAAAGAATAGCTACATGTAGGAGACAATGCAGTTAGTTCCCAAGATTGTGTTGACCTGCCAAGAGAAGAGCAGCCGTCCATACCTCGTAAAACTGTAATATTCTGGCGGCGACGATGATGCCATTGTTCTTGGACCGCGTTGAATCTTTCAATCCCCTGACCATTTGTACGACAGCTTTGTTGTAGGCTTCAAAGCCCTGGAGAGTCATTTGGCTGGATTGTGGGATTTGCTTTTTCCGCTCATCAACACCCATAAAGCCCACGCTCATTGCCAGCGAAGCGTATCGAATAGCCGGCTCTTCGTCATAGTATGCCTTGACCGCCGAGACCCATCCGTTGGTCAATACATCCGAAGCGCTAGCTGATAGTAGGTGACCGTAGGGAAGTGCTGTGGAGATGAGTTTGCTAAAGTAAAGTTCCTCTCGAGCTGATCGAGTGAGCGAATCGTGGAGAGTAATGTTGGTGTTGTTATTGTTTGCGCCTTTGGTTGAGTAAATGACTCTCCATGGCCGCTGTTGAGGTACCGATCTTGACGGGATTGTTCCCCTGAATTGAGTCGTTGTCGGCAGAGCCTTGCTATTTTCATCCGGCGTGCTGTTGACCCAAACAAGGTCTCGTTCATAGCCTCCGCATTCTAGGCCTGATCGTATGCATTGATGACATGAGGGGACATTTTGATCGCACTGAGAAACAAGACGGAGTTAGTAACACACAAGTTCAGCATGGCCATACCACAAGGCTAAAAAGGAAGATGTAAGTCGAGCGGGACCTGTTAAAGATGCCACAGATGGACTATAGCTGTGTATCGTACTAGTTTTCGATTGCCTATTGATGGAGGCGGGTTAAAAGTGCTGGGGTCAAGGCTTCTGAACTTACGCCCTTCTTGCGCCGGCGACAGGTAACGCATCCCTTTGATCTGCCAGGAACGCCCACCATCTTTATCGCGTGCCCTGCTTCTGAGTCTCAGAATCTCAGTCTGTGTAGGTATGTACTTTACAGACAAAGTCTCAGTAGCTGCGGGCGACCCTTGAGCACGTGGCCGCCGCAGCGTGGATGTATTCGACTGGTATGAGAAGAATGGTTGTGCTTTGCTGCCGCGGTCTCCCAGTTCCCCGCTGCTCGTTGTTTAGAAATTTCCGGGGCCGGCGATGGCTGTGACAAGAGCCTGAATAGGGTTTATGCGACAGCAACAGAACAGCTGTGCCTTACTCTTGCTCCGGTGTAATATAGGCTTACGAAGGAAGTCGTCCCCTGTCCGGCTGCAACCTCAGGGAGCGCTGTGCTGACTGTGCGTTTTTTTTTCGGCGCTGGGGGGATATAAACAAAGTTTTGAATTAGCGAATCCAAGCTGTCAAATTTATTGAGCAGTCATTATTTGTTCGGACGGCGATCTGTCCGATATACTCGTATATCTCATGCGACTCCTCCCCCCGCCCAGCCAGCCCCTCACCGGGCTTCGCCTCTCTCGATCGCCGGAGATCAATAGAGATCGAGGATCTCGGACTGGCTCCATGTCCTTTCCTCCTCCTGTGGGTTTTCGGGATGGGATCGAGGTGCTTACTGTGGGCTAGACTAGTGTAAATGAGCCTTTGAATTCGACACGTCGCAAGTGCTGCAGATCTAGGAGTTATTTCTGCCTACATTTCCTCTGCGGCAATCCTGCTGGAGATGGCCCAGATACATATAAGTCGAGCTCCTGTGGACCCCAAGCTTTGAACTACTAAAACCGGGCAGGGTGTGCTAGCAAGGCATACACGAGTAAGCCTTAGGAAAGCCAAACGGCAAGCCTCTCAGGCATCGGCTTCTGGACCCGGCGCCGCCCACACCAGATTGTGTCAGTCACCAGGTTGGGGGGGCCAATCATGGGCTTGTACCGTATCATCCTCCGGGACTGCGCCGCTGCAATAGGCCTGTATTCCTCTTCCTTCAGCAACCAAAGGGCATCAATACGGCTATTTTAAGGACTCCGAGAATACGCCCTCGGCTTCTGCTAGTGTCTGGTCGTTGTGCTACTACCAGCAGTAGTACGACGAGGAGCAGAACTGCTCATACTATCACTACCGTTGATGCATTAGTGGCCTCCGTCTCTGCAAGCCACATAACGCAAACATAGTTGTCAACAACGCGGGGGAATGCCACACGCCGCGGCAATCGGCGGCAGTGGACAGACCGTGCCGTGTAGCGCGAATATCCGGTGTATAAAGTTCAAAGTTGTCGGTTAAGTCAAGCCATGAGATAATTCCCAGGGTTTTCGGATTTCATAGCATCAGTGTCATATCACCCTCATATCTTCAGGAGCACGTACCAGTACATCTCGTATCCTATCTACACGCACTATGTGACGGTTTGCTAGCTTGTCGAGTCCCTAGCTTAGTACATGAAGCCAGTCGAGAGGGGTCAACTGAAGGATCAACCCTAGAGAAATCACTCACGGCCTCACACCGGATTTACACGGCGCCACGTAGAAGTCTAGAATTGACCACAAATTCAACCTCATTCGTAATAGTGAAGAGTTCATGACGGCCAGGCTAGGCTGGATAGCCAGGATAGCCCAGTCAACGGTGTCCGTGGTTCACCGATGTGGCCCAGAGATTCGGGCCATTTTTCTCTATTTGACAGCCAAAACTGGATCGGCAAGATGGCATCATCTAGGAGCCAGCCGGTGCTCGGTAGTTTATCAACAAGACCAATCGCAAAAGGGGTCTGCGTAGCGCCAAAATAGCACATTAAACGTACGATCTTGACTCAGCATAGTGGAAGGCCGAGCCTGAGCTTCTGCTATTTTACCGGGAGACTAGCAAAGACGTCCTGCAGGTGGACGAAACGGGCTGCACGCCTTTCCAATCTTGATAACCCCGTGCAGAAGCCGCCGTTTTAGCTTCTGAGATTTAAATGACGGATATCTAGCCAGCCTATCGAAGCCGAGTCAGTGGCGCTATAAACGATCCACATGATGTTAATCGACCTCGCCAAACGATAGCAAGTCGCTTGGCGCAAACAACTACCTGATGGCGTTTATTCTCCATCAACGAGTCTCCAAGATGAGTAGTCTAAAAGAGAGACTAAGAAGAACAAGAACAAGAAGAAAAAGACAGAACATTAAATGAACGATGAATGTACAAGAGCATGTTTGGTGTTATGCCCTGAAGGACAGATGTGATTGTCTTCGCAAAAGATGTGAGGAGAGATTTCTCTAGCAAGATGGGGTTAATAAATCTCTCAACAAGAAATCCCAAGCCATGAGTAATATTAGCTTGACCGCAATGGTGCAAGACAGCTGCTGTCAGATATTCGGGCAACATCTTGCTAGCAATACTTTAACATTATAGCTCCGCACGTCAGAGCGTCGATAAATAATAGAGCCGATATTAAATGTTTAGGTCCACTTATATTCCGTTTGCAATGATCCGTTTGCTCTTGGTAAGGCATATTGCGCTTCCCTTTCGATAATCTCTTTTCTACTAGTTGTTGCATTTACAACCCTCTTTTCCCCTTGTCGGGTTGCAATACTGACATCAACCACGCCGTAAGACGGATAGGATTTAACGTTTCCTAAGTGAATCTGCAAAATAGGCGGAAGTAGACGATCCCCCTGAAAACTCTCTTTCCTTCAGCGATCTCACATGTGAGAAGTTAATTGTCGGCTCTCGCCATCTCATCTTACAAGATGCAAATCGCAAATAAGCAGCAGGGGCCTAGACCTCTGATCTCCTATCATCGGAGTACCGGGTACCCATATCTCGGTTCCGCCTCTACGGGGCTCGAAGTAGCTGGTTCGAGCTAGCGGCAAGCATGAAGGTACCACACGCTCAGTCACTGCGCCGTTCTAGAAGCAGTGCTCGCCACAGCGCTAGACAGTTCGGCAAAATACTTTTTCCGCTATCAAGGCTGCCCGAAACTTCAGAGGCGAAGTTACGCATTTTGGCCACACCAGGCTTCACCAGACCAATTCTCGCAGTCCTTTGCTCGTAGCATTGCCTTTGTCGCTGAAACTCGTCACATCCGCCGCCGACATGTCTTGGAGGAATCAAGGAATCACAGGCTCGAACAACATCCCGCTGGGGAAGCCGCGGCACTTCGGCGCCGAGGAGGATGGTATCCTCGAGGAACGCGATCTTAAGCGTGGCCGCGATCCCGAGCCTCGCAGCGAGGCCGATGGCCCTCGTCGTCGAAAGAAGCGCAACCGATGGGGCGACGCGTCGGAGAACAAGGCCGCTGGCCTTATGGGGCTGCCGACAGCCATTCTGTCGTCCATGACGAGCGAGCAGCTCGAGGCCTATACTCTGCATCTTCGCATTGAGGAAATCAGCCAGAAGCTTCGCATCGACGACGTCGTCCCCGCAGATGGTGATCGGTATGTTTACACCACTTTGTTCCTTGTATTGGCTATATACGAGTGTTTTGGCAAGTTCTGACGCTAACCTGATGGTATTCCACAGATCCCCATCACCACCTCCCCAGTACGACAACCATGGTCGACGTATCAACACTCGAGAGTACCGCTATCGCAAGCGTCTCGAGGACGAACGCCATAAGCTGGTTGAAAAGGCCATGAAAACCATCCCCAACTACCACCCGCCCCAGGACTACCGCAGGCCTACAAAAACCCAGGAGAAAGTCTACGTGCCTGTAAACGACTACCCGGAGATTAACTTCAGTATGATTGCTAACCCTTTAACCCTAACCACTAACCCCCTTCGTCTTTCCTTCAACTTGAAGTACAATCAGACTCTCGTTACTATGCCGACATGCGGTGTTTTAAGAGACTCTGGTTTCTTCCGTCGATTGATTGTGCCTGTCTAATTCTAAAGTCTCCGATTTCTATTTCATTTCAAGTAAAGTTACTAACACATAGCTCTCCCCCAAAGTTGGTTTACTCATCGGACCCCGTGGTAACACACTAAAGAAAATGGAGAATGACTCTGGTGCCAAGATTGCTATTCGTGGCAAGGGCTCCGTGAAAGAGGGCAAGGGTCGCTCTGATGCAGCTCACTCCAGTAACCAGGAGGAAGATCTTCACTGTTTGATCATGGCAGATACCGAAGAAAAAGTCAACAAGGCGAAGCAGCTCATTCACAATGTCATTGAAACTGTATGTCTCTTCCCCACCCCTTTCCATGTCGCGACTTTGTTGCATACAAAACCAAGACTTACAAACTTCTTTCTCCTCAGGCGGCTTCGATCCCCGAAGGCCAAAACGAGCTCAAGCGTAACCAGCTTCGAGAACTTGCAGCGCTCAACGGAACCCTTCGAGACGATGAAAACCAGGCCTGTCAAAACTGTGGCAAGATTGGCCATCGTAAATATGACTGCCCTGAGCGACAAAACTTTACGGCAAGCATCATCTGCCGCGTTTGTGGTAATGCCGGCCACATGGCTAGGGATTGTCCAGACCGCCAGCGAGGCGCCAATTGGCGTAATGATGCGGGCGGTCGCCCTGCAGGTAGGATCGGGGGAGGCGATGCCGTCGACCGTGAAATGGAGGTACGTTTAACCATTCCCTGCTCCGCTCTCTTACAGACTGTGATACTGACACTCCGTTACAGCAACTCATGCAGGAACTTGGCGGCGGCTCGGGAGCTGCCCCTGCGCAAATCGAAGCCGGCCCGAGCAGCAACAACTACAACGGGAACAGCGAAGCGAAGCCATGGCAGAGAGGACCAACTGGTGGACCTGCACCCTGGAGATCCCGTAACCAGGATTCTAACGAAGGAGGCAGTGGGGGACCGGCACCTTGGGCTCGAGACCGCAATCGCGGCCACGATCACAGCAACGGCAACGGTCATAGCAACAACCATGGCGGTGGTGACAACAACTACTATGGACACAACAATTACGAGTCGTCTTCTTCTGGAGGAGCAGCCCCTTGGCATCAGCAGCCTCAACACGGAGCCTCGCAACACCAGGCTCCTGGAATGGGTGGGTATCCCAACTACGCTGCGTACGGCGCATACGGTGCTGCACCAGGTATGGGCGCGCCTCCTGGTCTCCCTCAAGTTGGCGGCGCCGGTCTCTCGGCTCCTCCAGGTCTAGGCCCCTTGAATGCCCTCATCCAGCAATATGCAGGATCTGCTCCGCCGCCTCCGCCGCCCTCAGGAGATGCTCCGCCGCCTCCTCCAAGCGACCAACCCCCTCCGCCTCCGCCCCCAGGCGCGTAATCGTTGGCAGCGTATTGCTTAGGGCAGCCACTGATGCTCAATCACTTGCAACAGACTGTAGTAGGGCATTAAGGTAATACCAGACCTTGACTGACAGATTTTCGACGGACTGTGTTGATTCCAGCTTCTCAAAAAAGAAAAGAAAAGAGAGAGAGAGAGAGAGAGAGAGAGAGAGAGAGAGAGGTACTTACGTGGTCCGAAGCTTAGGATTTCATATAACGGCTTCTCCAGACTGTATGGCTTCGTAGTAGGCCTTGTTTATGTTTTGTCCGTTGAAGAAGCAGACTAATCGCACAGGCTCTTGCATTTCCAATTCTTAAAACTTGCTTAATAAATGTATCAAATGTAGCTACACGTAATAATGTCCTATATTTTTAGTTAGTGCGATTTGACAAGAGTCGCCAAGTATCCATCAGCGCGTGGAATGACCCATACATGTACGTTCAACGATGGTAATTCGTCTCGAGTAGATGTGTATGCGCAGACCTGAGACCCCCGTTAACGACTGGAAGCATAAAAGATCAGTATGCCTTGGCCGAAAGAGACGCTACATCCGATGAGTTCTCGTCTTGAGCTTTCCATGGCAACTCGTTGTCAAGACAACACCATGATACTTGATACAGGCGCCGGGAGCAGCCCAGCGAGTTGTGCCTACCGTGCCATATTGGAGCAACAAGAAGGTTGAAGATCTCAATCCCACTTGGACTGCTGTTGTCGGTCTTCAAGCATCACATCATCGTAACATACGGATACAGCAAGTTTTACACTCTTTTGGCGCCCGCATCTCCTATCGTTGACAGAAATAAATGGATCACCAACGGCCTTATAGATATTGGGATCGGGACACCACTCAAGCTATCGCTAGGCTATCATGGGCTTCTTATGCTCCGCCGCTTGGCGCGGTTCGTGGTCGAGGCCTGCAACCAGGAGGACTTCCCACCATATGCAATTCGTGCTTCAGGGGGTTTTCTCCCAGCCAGATTGTGGCGTGTTACTGTTGGCACTACTACTGTCACAGATGCGTCGTTGAAATGGTGAATTCTGCGCTTGCCATTGACTTCATGTTACCCGTCCGTTGCTGCGAGATGATTATTCCCCTCGACTGGGCGGTGCTCACGATCCCGCAAGAAACAGCCGACCTGTATAACCGCAGAAGGTTGGACGTTCAAGCACGAGGGGTGGTCCACTGCTACCAAAACGACTGCAGAACGCCCATTCACCCACAGTACATCATATGGGAGGAAGCCATCTGCGGGAAATGTGAGAGCAGCACTTGTGCTCGCTGCGGGGGCGCTTTCCATAGGGGTCTTGGTTGCGACCAACGACAAATACCGGATGACCAGAGACTGCACGACCTGACAGCCACACATGGCTGGGGGAAATGCTCTGAGTGCAATAGCTACATCCAGCTCACTCCGGGCCGCAACCACCTGAGTAAGTCTATTGATATGAGATGACACCCCGGGGCAAAAGAGATGGCTAACTAAAGCGGAAACGAAATCAGTGTGTATATGCGGCGTCGAGACTTGCTTCTCCTGCGGCAAAACGTGGCAGGCCTGCGACTGCATCAGGCCCAGTCCCAACGCGGTTACAGATGAGCTTGGTCGAGCAATGCAAGCACACACACAGAGGGTCGACAGCCACCAACCCGGCCTGATACCGCAGAGATTGTACGAATCACTAGGACCGACGAGGATGAAGAAATACGAAAACTTTTTGACGGAGCGGAGGGAGCGTCACCTTATCGAGGCGAATCGTATACACTACGGCATCCGGGCAATCACTTCGTCCAGAGGCCTCATGAGGCCGACGCGCTGTAAACATGAGCGGTGGGTTCTTCACGAGGTGCCCTATGGTCATTGCGACTGCTGCGGGCAATGGCCGACAGCTGGCTGGTCGCAGAGTTGTATGTATTGTTTAATTATGGCGTGTCAGAGCTGCAGAGCTGCTGTGTATGAGAGGAATGGGCATGTTGGCGAGCAGAGAGAGCAAATTCAGCGGCAAAGTAAGCAAACTATCGAGCAAACCGAGCAAATCGAGCAGACCGTCGAGCAGACCGTCGAGAAGAACGAGCAAATCAAGCAAAATGGTCAGCAAGATGAACAAAATCAAGAAAATGATCAGCAGATCAAGCTGAGTGAGCAAAACGGCGAGCAAAGCGGACAGAATGATGAGCAGAGCGAACAGAGAGAACAAATTGAACAGGACGGGCAAGATGGGCAGGATAGGCAGGATGGGCAGGACGCGAAGCGCAAGAAGGAGCGCGAGGAGAAGCGCTGGGAGAAGATCAAGAATCAGCGGGCTCGCAACAAGCTCCAACAGCAGCTGAAGCGGGAAGGGCGGAGCAAGCAGACACAGACTGAGTGGACTGAGTGGACTGAGTGGACTGAGTGGACTGAGCAGCCTCGAGAAGCTAAGCTGACTCAAGAAACTGAGAAGACTGGGCAGCAGACTGAGCAGACCAAGGAGACTGAGCAGAACGAGCTGAGCAAGGAGTGCAAGCCTATGTGCAGAAGGCGCAAGAGGCTGCGGAAGCTGGAGGCACAGAGCAAGCAGACGCAGACTGAGGAAACTTGGCAGTTTGAGCATCCTGAGCAGACTAAGCAGACCCAAGAAACCGAGCAGCCTGAACAGAGCCAGGAAACTGAGCAAATGCAAGAAACTGAGCAGACAGGGCAGACAGGGCAGACAGGGCAGACAGGGCAGACAGGGCAGACAGGGCAGACAGAGCAGAGCAAGGAAATAGTGCAGAGTGAGCGAAACGAACTGACTGAGGAGAACCAGCAGAGCGAGGAGAACGAGCAGACTGAGCAGAATTGATGTATTAGTATCGGATAGGAGGAAGCGGCTGTGTTTGTGCGGACAGAGGCTAAGCGAATCGCCTTGAGGCCTGGAGTTTGCCTGATACTGGCTGAATTTGTACAATAGCGAGACGCATTATTCATATGGACTATTAGACTTGAAGTCATCTTCTACGCTTGTGTGACTCGAATGAGATTAGTCAAAAGTATGAATCAGGATATTGGACTTCTCCTGGGCTAGATGAGAGATAATGATTGAACTCGGGAGTGGCTTTTTCGTTTCTTTGTCATTTCATTATCAAAGTTGAAAAGGGGGCAATAGCTTAACTCCCAACATTGGAGAATCACTTCTACATGGGTTTGTCCTGGAGGCCTCATCCGCTGCATAGGCGATACTGGTCGAGCCCAGGGGTGACTCCTTCGTCTTTTCTTCATTCAATATCAAAGTTGGAAAGAGGGGAAGACAGCTTGATCTCCAAGTTGGGGCGCGCTACCTCTACGTACAGTTGTCTAGGAGGCCTCAAGCGCTGCATTCGTGATACTGCCTGGGCTCAGGAGCAACTCTTTCGTCTCCTTTTAATCCAATATCAAGATTTGAACAGGGGAACACAGCTTAACCCCCAGGTCCGATGTACTACGTCTACGTGCTGCTGGCCTGGAGGCCTCAAGCACTGCAAGATGGGGAATTAAACCGCATCGGCCAAGAGAAATCGAGTCACTGCCCGTGCCTCGTCCTTTGTCCAACCAATATACTGCCGATCACGCACGAGGACGTTGCACACAGACTTTGTTGGCGTGCATGAGGTAACAGGCGTAGTGGATTCATGAGTAGGATTCAGACTTTTCCCATTCCAAAGGACCAAATTACTAGAAGTGGTAGAAATTGCACAGCCCAGCTTCGCCAGTTGAAAGAAAGATGTGTACTAATTGAGAGCAACGAGGTGATCGTTTGTCTGCCCTTCGGCCGGATTCCGATATAAACAATTACTGGACTAGGACTGGTTTGACGTCTTGAGATCATTCTGGTTGGCTAAGAGGTGGGAAAAAGGGCTTGGGCGGTTTAGCTGGGCCTTCTCGGCAACCTCGGCAGATGTTGAACCCGCGTGAAGCATCGCGAACGGATTTGAATGCCGTTCTCTGATAGATATCGGCTGTACTATTAGTCAAAAACTCAATGGCAGATCTGGGATTACTGAGGAGAGATACAGGGAAGACCAAAGTGCCCAGACTGTAACCTTTACTGCAACCTTTGTTGTGTCACGGCAACGCAAATAACCGCGCTGCGCAGTGGTCTTTTTGTTCGGGATTGGCGCCCACGATCCCCGGCACATTCCGCTACGTTGTAAATCTGGCAAAGCCATCAAAGCAGAACCAATGGATCCTGAGGTTTGGCGATTCAGGTGAAGACTGAAAGGAAGAGACTGAGCTAACGACAGCGGAACAGCGGCAGTCCGCGGAACTGAGACTCGGTATCCGCTTGTATACGCATGTCTGTACACTGGACTGGCTTGTTCAGCGTTGCAGCAGGAGCAGCAGCAGCATTAGCTGGAGCGCCATGTGGACTTGTCTCTCTTCTGTCACTTTTCTGTGATGCGTGTCTTGCTTTTATTTGCCTCCGTTGGCTATGCTGTGTGGCTGGCGTGGGCTTGGGAGTTGAGGATCGTGCTTGGCGGCGGAGACGGAACAGGGAGAGCGGCAAAGGAGCGTTTGGTGGGCATTCGAGCAGCTTGAATGATGCTTGATGTTTGTTGGCTACTAAGGTATCTGTCTATGTTGGTAGTATCACATGTAAGTTGGATGATATTCCATGAAAGGTGGTTCGTGCGAGGTCTCATCTCAGAGGGGAGGAGCGCTTGGTAGTACTAGGTGCTTTGTAAGAGTACTACTAGTAACTCCTCGCAGCATCTGTGCTACCGCCTGAGTTACCAACTGCATTATAGCAGACGCAACCAACTTCTACAATTCAGACTTCCGCGGACCTCTATATCGTCCTATTCTTTGCTGACAGATCGAGTGTCGAAGAATGATTCCCAAGTCCGCGTGCCTCGAATCCGTGACCCTCTTTGGGCATCAAACGGGCGATAGATCCGGTAGCTCTGGGGCTAAGAGTGGCCCCCTGGCGCTGGCCACCGCACAGAATCAGATTCCACAGGTCCCTGCAGGGTTTCGAGTGCCCTTTCAGGCAATGCACACGGGCCTCGAGGGGGGGTGAAACGTCAAAGCTGCTCACGGGAACCTCATGACGCTGTGTCTGGTGTTCCAGACGTACAAGAACTGGCAGCATAATGCGCTCATTTGGTCGCCTTTGTCGTGGGTTAATGACCAGTGCGACCTCCTAAAACACAGAGCACTGGCTGACTTGCCCTGACCAACGACAGCAGATCTCGAAGCATAGCGGTCTCTCGCGGCTGGCCAGGCGCGACAAAAGTCACAAGAAGGTTATGGCCCAAACACGCGAGGGGCGCAGGAACTGGACGCTAGAGCCCGGTCAGAAAGTAGTTAAAATCTACCTGACAAACTCTTAGTATTCCATCTATAGGTGGCTTCAGCCTTCAGGGACCCAGCAATAAGCAGCAGGGCGACCGTCCTTTCCGGCAAGTGCATGATGGCTATACAGCACTACCGCCGCGAGGGTTCGTCCCGGATAGGCAAGGTAAGCTGAGAAAGTGCCGATCTAGCAGATGGAATAGTGCTGCTTCGCACCAAATGAAGCTCCCGAACACCGTTTGGCGCCCTACGCCCTTACGCTCTTCATGTTGGCACTGCCTCGCTCCTTCGGCCATCCTCCCTGAAGGTCTCAGTCTGTCACAGTCGCTATGCCGTGGTCCCATGCCAAGCTCTTGGTATCCGTGCAGCGGTTCGATTGGTGGCTGGGCGGGCAATCCAAATTTCAGATGCGTGTATCCACGGTTGGCGGCCGCCCGTTCACCTCATTTCCCACGACACTCGGACTCTTGCAATAATATCATGGGCGGCGGATAGGGTGGTGCCGGAGACGTGACAAGACGAGATTAAGCGCCAGTCGGGCTTTTCTTCCGAATAAGATGATACCGACTGGCACGTCTACCGCCTATTCCTCGTGGTCTAAATGTGGATTTCTGGTAGCTGACGCACGACGATGGGCCCTGTCGCGGATCTACTTGCTGTCGGGTCCGCAGAGTGTGTTAAAAAAAAAAAAGTGAGATGATCTAGCGGAGTGTATTTGTGGAGGACGGCCGTCAACATCGACTAAGCCACCGCATCGGGTCTGCTCAAAGGGCTATGTTAAGAATGCTTTGGTGCTACAAGAGTGAATAAAAGTCTCCGCGGCTCCCTCGTTTGCTCCCGTTTCTTGGCATTCGTGGTCCAAGCTGGCAACTCTCCATCTCGCGTGTTGTTCCTTTTTCTTTCTTTCTTCTTTTCGTTAGCCTATCTATCTATATACCCTCTTCATCTCCCGAGCAAGCCGATCGCTTTGCTTCCTTCCCTTCTCTTCTTCCACGTCTCCTTTCTGGGAATTGCTGGTATCTTTGTAGCTTGCCATCAGCTTTGATTGGAAACTGTATCACGTCTTTGGTACTTCATATCTTGATTGTTAGTATGAGTCGTTTGGCGGCTTTGCTCGCGGCGGCGTCGCTACTGGCACCCACCGGAGCTTCAGCAGGTACGGATCAATTCAGCTAGCACAACCACCATCACATTGCCCGTTGGAAACACAATGAGACTGTAACGTTTGTCTTGTCGCATGAAAGGGCATGTGCTGCGGACTCAAGCACTAGCACCTTGACTTGAGTTTTGATGGCCTCTTTACGAAGCCCCCAGGATGCCAAAACTTATATATGAATTCTATCCAATGAGAGATTCTTTCAGCTAACTCGGTTTGTGATATCTTCAGTTCCTCACGATATCGAATATCGTGACTTCAGTGAGCTTCCACGATCTCTCGGAAGCCGGGCCACCGATCAATCTCCCAAGGGCTATGCGCCATCTACAGTTGATTGTCCTAGCGAGCGCCCGGTGGTTCGTCTTGGCTCTACTTTGAGCCCCCAGGAGAAGGAATGGCTGCCCCGGAGACGTAATGAGACCATTGCGCCTATTCGAGCCCTTCTGGACCGCATCTCCATCCCTGGCTTCAACAGTGACAGATATCTAGCCAACGTCGAGAAGGATCCCAAGGCTTTGCCCAACATTGGCCTGGCCGTCTCTGGCGGTGGCTACCGTGCTTTGCAAAACGGAGCTGGAGCCATTGCCGCCTGGGACGCTCGATCGGCCGATGCCAACTCGACTGGTAAACTGGGCGGTCTGCTGCAGAGTGCAACCTACATTTCTGGTCTATCTGGCGGTGGATGGCTGGTTGGCAGCATCTACACAAACAACTTCTCCACGGTCCAAGGCATAATAGACGCAGGTGCCTGGCAGTTTGACGAGTCGATTCTTGCGGGTAGGTAAAAAAGTTGAAACATGTTGAAGATGAAAACTAACGAGAAATGAACAGGTCCCAAATCCGTCAGCCTGACAAGCTATTACAATGAAGTCTTTGACGATGTTGACGCCAAGGACAAGGCTGGCTTCGATCGCTCCATCACCGACTACTGGGGCCGCTTCCTCTCTTACCAGCTCGTCGACGTCGCTAGCGGTGGCCCTGGCTACACCTTCTCTTCCATTGCCGAGGACCCTGATTTCAAAAACGCAAAGGCGCCCCTTCCTTTCCTGGTCGCCGATAGTCGCCCGCCTGGAGAGACCATCATCTCCAACAACTCCACCATCTTTGACTTTAACCCCTGGGAGATGGGTTCATCCGACCCGACTCTGAATGGCTACATCCCGCTCAAGTACGCCGGCTCCAAGTTCAACAACGGCGTGCTGCCCAAGAACGAATCTTGCTTTGTGGGATTCGACAACGTCGGCTACATCATGGGCACCTCCAGTACTCTCTTCAACCAGATCATCCTATACCTCCAAAACGACAATGGCACAAACTCCATTGTTCCCAAAGGTATCCCCGATTTTGTCGTAAAGATTCTCGCTGGTGTTTTAACTGGGCTCGGAAACGACAACAATGACATTGCCGACTGGACGCCAAATCCCTTCAAGGGATGGAACAACAAGACCAACCCCTTTGCCGACAACAACCGATTGACTCTTGTGGATGGTGGCGAGGATCTGCAGAACATCCCCTACCACCCTCATCTGCTGCAGGAGCGCAAGGTTGACGTTGTGTTTTCTGTCGACTCGTCGGCCGATACCAATGGCTGGCCCGATGGTGCCTCTCCCATTGCCACCTATGAGCGTGCAGTCACCAAAATCTCCAACGGCACTGGATTCCCCTATGTCCCCGGCAGAGAGACTTTCCTCAACCTCGGGCTCAACACCAAGCCCGTCTTTTTCGGCTGCAACTCGACCAACGTGACGGACACGTCGCCCCTGATTGTCTATCTGCCCAACTACCCCTATCAATTCCAGTCCAACCTTTCGACCTTCCAGATGACGTATGCAAACGACGAGCGAAATGCCGTCATTACCAACGGCTGGGACGTTGTCACCCAGGGCAATGCGACTCGCGACTCCAACTGGCCAGTGTGTGTTGGCTGCGCCATGCTGTCCCGCAGCTTCGAGCGCACCAAGACTCCCGTGCCCGAAGCCTGCAACAAGTGCTTCCAGCAGTACTGCTGGAACGGCACGATCCAAACGGGAACACCGGCAGACTACCAACCAAGGATCTTGGACACGCCCATCAAGATTGACAGCAACATGGGAGCGAGATCTGCCAGCGGCGCAACGGTGATGATGGCGTTGGCGGCAGTCACATGTGCTGTGCTGCTCATGTAAAGCATTTGACCTTGTTTTGGATCTGGAGTTTTCTTTTTTTTTTTTTTTTTTGGCATTCCTTGGATGGATTAGAAAAAGAGATGCATAATGATATCACCCATCATGGCGATAGCGCATATAGTCGTGTACTTTTGTCACTTCTCCTTTGGTTTATGCTTTAGCCTACACATTTTTTGGTTCCGGGTCATGCAAGTAGCATATCGATTTTCACAATTTGAAACTATTTACACACTTCATTCGCTCATTCGTTTTGTGTTTGTTTGAACCCGGCTTATACGTAATGCTCTCCAACAACCTCCGTCACATGCAACGAATCTAAGAGTACACAATTTTGACATGTTTGCAACTTGTTCAACTTTTGAATTCATTAACTCCTAATTTTTCTGCTCCTATGCAAGCGGCTGGTATATTTATCCACAAAATGTTCAAATCGTAATCATCCACACATATACATTCCCATGCTCTCTTCTCCCCTCACTTATCATCTTTGACTCGTTTATGCAAGAACAGCGTCCTTGCCAGTCTTGGCGCTCTCCAGCACACCCTCAATGATCCTCAGCACATCGCGGGCCTGCTCCGCCTTGACGGGAACGTCCTCGGCCTTGCCGCTCACCAGGGCATTGGCGAACTGGCTGTAAAAGGCGCGGTACGTCTCGGGCTCGAGCTCGGGCACAGGCACCTCGCTAGCCTTGCCGGTGGCCTCGTCCACGGCCGTCAGGCTGCTGTTGTTTGTGCTCTCAACTCCATATCCGGTGTCTGTGGGCTTTCCGCCGGCGCGCAGCTGATCCTCCTGCGGGTCGAGGTTGAACTTGCGGAAGCTGCCCTTTGTGCCGCGGACCCAGTAGCGCAGCTGGCGCGTCTCGGCGCTGAGGGCGCTGATGTTGACGTTGACCAGCAGGCCGGAGTCGTAGAAGAGCTGCGCGGACACGGCGTCGGGGGTCTCGAACTCGGCTCTGCCTTCGCGCTGGTTCAGCAGGCGGCCGCGGACGGACTGGGGCAGGCCGAAGAGCACGTAGGCCTGGTCGATGAGGTGCGTGCCCAGGTCGAAGAGGGCGCTGCCGCCGCGGGAGATGCCCAGCTGGCCCTTCCAGTTGGTGGGCGCGTCGGCGCGGTAGCGGTCAAAGTGTGTGTTGAACTCGACGACGCGGCCCAGCTTGCCCTGCTCGATGAGGTGCTTGGCCAGCAGGAAATCCGCGTCCCAGCGGCGGTTCTGGTACACGCAGATGAGCTTGCCCGTCTTGTTGGAGATGTCGGCGAGCTGCTGGGCCTCGGCGGCGGTGGGCACAAAGGGCTTCTCGGTGAGGACGTGCTTGCCGGCCTCGAGGGCGCGCTTGGTCAGGTCGAAGTGGTTGTCGGGCGGCGTGGTGACGACGACGACGTCAACGTCGGGGTCGGCGATGAGGGCGAGGGCATCTGTGTAGTGCTTGAGGGCTGGGTAGTCGGCAGGGGCGGAATCGTCTGGCTTGGGGGAGCGCTGGACAATGGAGTGGAGGGCGAGGGAGGGGGTTGTGGTGATGAAGGGGATGTGGAAGACTTTGGCGGAGAGGCTGGAGAAGGTTGTGTGTTAGCTGAGTTGTTGTTGGTTGTAAGGAAATTGGTTGACTTGACTTACCCGTAGCCTACGACGCCGACGTTGAAGACTTTGCTGGCCATTGTGACGTTGTGATTTGTTGTGGGATACTAGGAGATGAGTATGGCAGAGTTGAAGATGAGCTGTAGATTTTAGATTATGGTATGTATGCTAGAGGAAGCTTAAAATGATTGAAGGAAAGATGCGTATTTATATTTCTGCAATTCGCCTCTTCTATAATACAATTACCAAGAATCTCCACTCAATCGTTCATGAATAATGCACAACCCATCACGACATCTCCTCAGCAGCCACAGAACAGAAACAATTATCAATTCGTCAGAATAAAAGAGGTCATTTCCAAAACAAAGGCAACTCTCGCCGCACTGAGGCTTTTGCTCTTACCCAGGCAAGTCCCTCCGTGGCGTGGTAAAGAACCCCCTCCAACCCCTCCTCCCCACCGTGGCATGAGTCGCTTTTGTTATGACGTTTTGGTTGGAGGGAAAATGGGGGGGTTTTCCAGGGTAGGTTTAAAGCGGTGGGTTTTATGGGCAATAAGCATACTTTTGTATAGTGGATGGGTTAAACTGCAATGGGAGATTTTAGGAGTTTCGTCGGAGTAATTGCGATTTTACGGGGCGAGTGATTCCGGAAAGGGAAAGTTTAAGAGTTTGGTGAAAGAGGCCCGTAGAAGGAGGTTTGGGAGAAGCTTCTAAACTGGTTTCGAGAACCGGTAGCAATGACTTGCAGTTTTAGTTTTCCAAGTGTCTGTAAAAAATCAAAGTTGCATTTTGTGGTTTATTACTCTAGCGTATTTCTCCTCTCTTTCAACGCTGCCATTGGCTTCATACCTTGGCATGTTATCACGAACATAGATCTTGCAACAATATCTACCACCAGCATTGAATCAGAGCTCAAGCAAAAGACAGACTGCACACTCTAATGCTTGAGAGAGCATAAACGCCGGCGCCAACAAAGAATGACAGGCGTGCCGACGAGAAGGAACCAGGGAAAAAAACCCAGCCGCGAAGCACGCTGAGCTCTCCCTGTATCACTTCAAGCTTGCAATACCTCTCTTCCACATTTCCACCTTCGTCAACCTTGGACGGGTCATGCTCCAAAAAGTAACGACGACACACGAGAAGCTCGTAAAGGCGTACCTCGGGGCCGAATTTGACGTTGTCCCCCGAAAGTGCTGATGAGCAGAAAGAGCTCGTAGAGGTATACCACTTTCCAGCGACTCCAGTGACTCGCCATCAGTGGTTCGAAAGCCATGTGCACGACGATTGCATTACCCAAGTGGTGTGAGTAAGATGAGATGTGATAAAACCTCAAAAGGCGGGAAAGGCGCAGCATTGTATTACTCAGGCGACACCAATATGAGACATCTTGACCTTGGCCAATATAAAATCCCGTGAATGTTTCACGTACTATGCCTTGTGACACATCAGTGCCTTTATTTGTACCAAATGCTACTTTCAACCTGGCTGCTTGTTTCACACCCTTCACGAACTACGTTTTGCTGCTTATTACACATATTATCAACATATGCGAGCGAATCTATCTTTTAGAAACGTTTGAACATTCGTAAATACAGTTCGCAGCTTCCAAGGAACACGTACAAAGAAAGCTGGAATTTGTAGACCAAATGTCTCACATAGACGACAGAGTATGTTTTGCATAGCTTTAGAAAGAGTTCACGACATTTGGTGATGTGAGTATCATGGCATTACTTTTCTTTAGCCGGTGGCTAATGATTGCAACATCATGACTCTAATCAGAAGATGAGAAGGAAAAGTAGCAGACGCTTACAGAGATGAAAGCGACGATGGGCCATGTTAAACTGGAGCAGTGTAAGAAGCCTTTTCCCTCGTGTTAGGTCTACCTACAAAGGGATACCTCCGAGAAGCACTCAAGTCGGCAGTCTAGACGAACGCAAATAATTTGGACCATGATAATAAAAGAAAGGTCTTGATTAAAATAATACGGGCCTTTACCAGCTTTAAAACACATTCTGAGCAGCAGGTTTAGATCTGAGTCTGACGCAATTATACTGAATTAACAACCTCTGAGTGTGGACCCTGTTGGTGATGAGGACCGGGAGATGTGAAATCTACACGGTGCTAGGTTCCATCGCCTTGTCCATCAACATCGGGGGAGGCTTCCGAGGATGAAAAGTGCCATCCCACGCGGAGAGGAACTGAATAAGAGTCGCCTCGTGATGCTTCCTTGCGAGAGCAACCATGCCGAATGCTCTTGCATTGATGCCCAGGTAGCCAAGCGGCATGCCAGCAATAGGATAGCCTAGAATAAGATCAGTAACATAATTCGATAACGATATACAGAGTTCTTACCACTTCCACTGGCATGGGAAGAGAGTCCGCTATCTGCCGGTCCAATTATTATATCTGCGTCATATTTATCGAGAATATAATCAATGCCTTCATCTCTAAAGACTTTTCGAATCTTTTCGACGTGTTCTTGGTACTGCTTCTCTGTCAAGTTTAAATCCGCGGCTTGCTCCAGAGTCTTCTGGTTCGAGTGGCCTGTATGTCAATTAGTTACCACGATGCGAGACTGGCTTTTTGACCAATAGGTGAAAGCGCACCTGGTAGGAGCTCAGCATCAGCATGCTCCCTGTTAAAGTCAATCAACTCCTGTAGGCTTTTGATCGGTGCAAACTCGAGATCATCTAGATACGCTTGAAAATCTTTGCGAAAATCCGCCACTGCAGAAGTCAGAGCTGAACTGATCTTTGTCAGAAATGATGGGTATGCTTACGCATTATCATCAGCTTGCAGCTTTTGCCATGGATAGATGCCGCTTCTGGCTTGATGAGAGGCACATTCTCGGAAAATTTTCGTGTTTTGAGCTTCAATATGTCGTATGCATCTTGAAATTTGCGATTCTAACATGGTATTAGCATCGAAAAGCACGATATCATGTGCGTGGCCTACCATTTCGGCTGTCGCACTCTCATCGGGTGCCGTATACTCTGGTGGAAATATCCAGTCCTTGTAGTCCACAGCAGCAATAGAGAATTCACTCATATATCCAGGAAGCACACTCGTATATCCACCAGCTGGATACCCAGGGGTATTCTCTTCCCTGAGAATATCTAGGAAAGCGGCGATGTCATGGGGAGTCTTGGCCATTGGTCCAGCAGAGTCCATGGTATGAGAAACCGGGATCAGTCCCTTTTGAGATATCAGGCCAATTGTCGGCTTAATTGTATAAACAGAAGCACGACCGGCCGGGCAAATCAGCGATCCATCCGTCTCTGTGCCAATACTGAGCGGTGCATATCCAGCAGCCACGACAACAGCCGACCCAGAAGAAGATCCCGAAGAAGCGAGTCAGCTTAACTGTACGCCTTTAGATGGAGAATTCTCACGCTATGGCCATCTTTCGAGTCGTTTGCGAGCACTCCGCCTTTAACATACGGCGATTGACATTGGCCGCCCAGAGCCGACCAACCGCTGGGCAAACGCTCTCCTCTACTCGCTTATTAGTGTACATCACTTGTCTTGCAGAGAATAGAGTAACCGAAAGTTGGATAGCTCCTAAAAACAGTGGTTAGTCAAATAGCTTATGGCTAGTTATGGAGGGGTTATAACTTACGCTCAAGTTCGCTTTGCCCAGGATTATCATGCCAGCAGCAATAATCTGCCAAAAGCGAGAAACTGACGCTGCAAAAAGTGTTGGTAGAATCATACCTTGTCCACCAAACGAGCGTTTTCACGTGGTCGAGCATCTTCGAGCGCCAAACTTCCAGAAGTGCTTTTCATGTCAAGCTCGGGATGCGTATTGATATTGTCCTAATCAGAAGTAAAATGTCAGGCATCAGCTTCTTAGGAAGTCCAATGAATAAAATGGGGCACTTCACCTTCAGAATGACTGGGATACCGTGAAGTCTGCTTCTGACTTTACCAGCCGCTCTCTCTTTATCCAAAGCCACCGCAATCTTTTGAAGCGCCTCTCTTGACGGCATAGTGAGCATACCGTGAAGATAGTCGTCATGGCGCTGAATTTGATCCAGATAAATGTTGACGAGATGAGTACTCTTGATTGAGCCCTTTTCCAACAAGTCTTGCAACGTTTAAGTGTCGACGGTCAAGACGTCAACGTGAGGGACGATCATGTTCAATTCTATGCGTGGCTCTGCAGCAAACAGCTACTCAGGGCGAAGGAGTCAAAGAAAGCAAAAGATTGCGCAGAGAACTGAACAGAAACAGGTTCCCTCGATTGTGAGGGCGACAGTTGAACAAAATGAGAAGGAGATGGTTCAAGCGTTTTAGCTGCAGGTATGCTAAACCAACTCTGCGTGCCATCGTCGACGTTGGTGGCCAACGCACAGAGCCATTCAGAGAACCCTAATAGTCATCTGATGCAGGTCGCGGTGTTGTATCTCCAATTCGTGAGCACAGGCTATGGCACACTCAGCCGTGGCTGTCTGCTTTGCATAGACGAATAGATCGGCAGTATTATCTATCTGTCCGGTACCCATACACATGCTTCTCTTGCGGTGAAAAACGAATAATTTTCGACATTTTGACGCCGCCGACGATGGGGACCATGTCGAATTTTACACGGTGATATAAAGTACTCTTCTTAATGCGGGTGCTTGGAGCTACAACTTGGTGATAGGAATCTGCTTCGCGGGGAACGTTGCGAGGGTTCGTCTGGCAACTTTGAGGTGATGGCGAAGAAAGATGAATGATGGTGGACTGGTGATGCTGTGTTTGGACATTCTTGACCCAAGACATCTTTGCGAGTTGAGCCAAGTTTACCGGCGGGAGCCTCTCTCACTCCTCGATTCCCCAAGTATTGTATAATTCGATCGGATAACTATACCTCCAGGTGCCAAGGGGATTTGCCTCTTTACGAACAACACCATCCTTACCGAGACGAGGACGGAGCTCCATAGGCAGCTGCCCACAATAGATCCATTCTAGCTTTGGGAAAACTTCAGCGTACGCCTCAGCCTGCGCTAGCATGCGATTTCTATGGGCTCTTTCCCAGATGCACACCCTCGTAGATGTATTGGGGCATAGACGGCGAAAGCCCCAAATGTTGTTTTGCACAGTCATGGTGTATATAAGTTCATGATGGCCCTCTTCAGTTATCTCAGTGGGTTCGCACCAATAGTCTTCCTCGGTAACAAGATATGGTCGTGCTTTTGCATCCTGGAAATCCGAATTGATAACAGTCCTCTCATCGTAAAATCGAGCCGGGAGGATGTGCTGTAGCTTAGAACGGTAATACGTATCGTGGAGCAAGGTTAGCTTCTTGAGTCGAAACAAGCCTTTCAATTGACGTCGTAGCTTGCCATGATCAATCAGCCAGTTGTATTTCCATATGGTATTGCGGCCAACACGCAGGATGAGCTGCTCGAGCGAGTCAATTGTGCCAAGTGCCGCCAGTGATGGATCAGAAATGTCATCTTCATATACATTAACGACCAAGGTCTGCAGATATCGCAGAAGCTCGCAAGTTTTGGGACTCTTTGTAATCAGATCGAGAGACGTTCCGGGTATTTCAAGATGCCTCAATGAAGGACCCAGAAATGTCAAGAATAGTTTGGGTTCAAAATTTGCGTGGCTCAATTTAAGACTCCGTAGATTAGGGAATTCGAGATTTTCACTGTCTAAAGACAGCTTGACGGCACTTCCTAAGACCAACTTGTGTGACCAATTCAGAGACTCAAGCGTAGAGGAGCAGCGTCGAAAGAGCGTATTAAGAAAAGCAGAGGTGGAGTCAATCCTCGCTATCGCTACAGGGTTGCCCAAAGTTGGATCTAGATCGGGCTCCCGAAGATAATCGAATTTTATGTCGAGATCAAGAAAACGAATGTCCCACTGGGTGAGGGCCGGAGACGGTCTCCCGAGCCAAGGTTTTATTATTCCTATTAGTTCCAGCTTAAAATGCTTAGCAGAACAGTGAGAGATGGCCTCAATAAAGTCGTTGTCTAATCCAGCCTGATCCTCCCAAACAAGCACATCAAGATTGGGCAGTTTGGAGGCAATCACGCTGAAGAAGAGATTTTTATACCGCTTCCGAGACTCACGGCCCGACGAGGCCCACCCCCAGTCAGGTGCAAAGGTAACTTTGCGCACCCAAACGCTAATAGGCAATAGAAGATTCGACCCGTCCCTGTCATCCATGTGCCTGAAAAGCTTGCGTGACCGAGGACTATGGCTGAAACGAATCTCCTTGAACTGGCGCTGAAGAGCGAGTTCCCGACAGCGTCTATTTACGAGTGCGAGGGAAGGCAGATTCTTTTTGTCGTCCTCAAGCAAGTCAATAATCAGGTCTTGTAACTCAGCAGGTAGCTGAAGGAGCATGGGTCGAGATTGACGCTGGCGGCCTTGCCTTACGGCATCGAGCTGAAGACTCCCAAACTTGGGCGACCTTTTCCAACCTTTGCTACGTTTACTTCTGACATGGAAGCTAAATCGAAATCTCTGAAGCCGAGAAAACCTCTTCATGGTAAAGGCCTGTCGATAAGACGCAACAAAGATGCCACACAAAAAAAAAAAAAGAGGGCAATGAATCGAGGGTGATCGAGTGATGAAGATTGAAAAAAGAGTGAGTTTCAGCGCAAACAAGGTTGATCCTAACTCAAAGTTAAAACCCTCGAGCACTTTGAATACACCAGCTTCCAGCTTCATATAAGGGAAAAAACAATCACCCAGCCTTTGGTTTAGCACGCGAGTGAAACCTAAGAGCAGAGCGAGAAAGCTGCTAAAGTTCCTCTAACCTACGCCATACCTGAACCAATCTGAGCCGACATTGAACATCACACAGCCTCGAGCTGAGAGAGCAGATGACCTCATGGCCATCATTTTTTATTTTTTTTAGTTTGAGCGCATAATATCATCTCTCGGCTGCACATTGTCTATCTTGGAGGTTGCTATGCTTGAATGGAAGTAGATCGGCTCATAAATGAACAGAGCGAGCTCAGGAAGCAGTCTATTTAATATTCGATAAGTGAACAGATTCAGCACAAAGAAATGTGGAGTAGTCCATTAAACATATAATATCAACGAACTATGACTAAACACATTAGAGTATGAAAATTCTTTGTGCTAGATGCCCAAAGTACATGGATTTTTCACAATTACACGCTCAACAGTTTCTCTTCATCGACACAGCCAAAGATCATACGCAGACTTCATTTCAACTATAGACGTATGATTATATTTAACGTCGACTAAGCTAAATAGATACGAGTACAAGTATACCGCAGTTGAGTATTTACTAGTAGTTTCTAGATGTTCTAGTGCAATCCTTAAATACTCTACATACATGTAGGCAGTGGCATCGACCGTAACGTCCAGGTTGAAGATGCGCACGACGATCCACCACTTACACCATTTACCTTTCTTTCCGCCTCTTGCAACATCGATTCAAAAAGACTGTATCCACATTCACAGCGAAGCCACCCATTTACCAACGTAGCTTTATTCTCAACCAGAAAATGCCACGATTCAATATCATGCATTTCAACAACTCATCAGCACCACCCAGGTCAAGGGTAGGCATACACATCACACCACAGGTAGCACAATCCAATACAACAGTACTCACCCGAATCAAGCAACTCCAAAACAGTAATTTGCTCTCTCTCTACCCGATACGTCTGCCAAGCCAATATCTCACAAAAGCAAAACAAGAGCCGCAGCAAGTACATCCACCCTTACATACAATGTATCAAGAGAAGCCTAGCGCATGACTGACAGCCAGCAGTCAAAACCATTACATTCATACTTGTACATCAGATCTTCTTACGAGATAGGATGATCAACTAAGTTTTATATAGATCCAAGAGATGGGATATTTACAGAAACATTCGCTCACACTACGGCAGTCACACGTACTGACGCAGGTCAAAGCGCCTGCCACAAAACACACTCCGTGCTCTGCATACACGTATACAGCACAACCCTGTCCTCTATTGTTTCAGACACGCATGTCTAAGCCTACAAGGTTCGCCACCCACGAGCCTATATTTCCGAGGCGCAAAATCCCCTTTGCGGAGCCTCGTCAGTGAAGGACTGATGGGGTTTCAGCTCTGCGTCAATTGTGCTTACATACACGCGCACACATACACCCACGCTATTCAGCTTGAACGTATTCGGGAGAAAGATAGTCACCTCGATAGTAGATCGGACCATACACAAAGCAGGTATATACTTATACCACAACTTCAAAGTGGACATCCATGCGTAGGTCTCAATACAACCACACCAATGTGCTGACACATTTCGTGACACCTCTGGTCATGACCATATCCATGACGCAAGGGAAGTCGCAAAAGGTCTCAAGTATTCAGATACTGAGACAGCATTACTGCCTCGGAGTGCGGCAAAAGTGACACTCCCGAGCCAGAAATAAAGTTCCCGAGCGAGATTGACGGTCTCACCATCGATTATCGATGAGGCAAAGCAGACGAGTACGTATAGGTACCTGCTTTGTCTCGGATCGCAAGACAAGCATCGCCTGACAGTAGCCTCAGTGGCGGTTGCTCACATGCGTCCCGCGCGATAACTCAGACAAAGGGAGAGACGATCCGCAAAAGTTATCCGGGGCTGTGGCCTTGAGGCCCTCCGAAAAGAATACCTTTGTACAAAATTCCGTACAGGTACAGTACTGTAGGAGCTGCAGCCGTCTTCAGCTGTGGCTTGTTTGCCACCTGCAACGTGCCAGAGCAAACCGACGTCCCGTCCATCAAAACTCAGGAGAGCTGAGAGCAACCCAATTTCCCAGCGTGCGCCATCGCATGCAAGGGCGGGAAAACATGATGGATGGACACTGCAAGCCATCGATATCCCGCGCCGACTGATGATCTATCAGAGTGTCAAGACGCTATTGAACCGCGTAAACACATTGGTTCCAGCACACGCAGGGAGACATTGCTCCCCCGGTAAAGCCAAAAAGTCCAGCTCGTAATTGTCCTTTTGCCTTTGTCTCAGGACAGGCGGCTAAAGGGCGAACCTGCTGGGACTTCGTATTCCCACATCCCGCCCTGCATGTCCAAAGCCAGTCTATAAATGTCTCGAACTTTGTGGAAAGCCAGCATGCAGACTCTGCAGCCTACTACGCACGGACGGCGATGAAAAGTATGAAGTCTAGTCGTATCGTTGGTAGGATTGCAGTAGATGTGCTGGTATCCGTCACTAGTAAGCTAATGGTTGCAGCTGAATTATCTGAAGGAAGTCGATTCATCTCCTAGGCGCTTCAAGATAGGAAAGAGTTGGAGTATATCCGTAGACTCAGCCGCGAAGTATAGACTGTCGATCCTATTTCCACGACATACACGGCAGAAACGTCTCAATCATCTCTTCCCTTGCACGGAAACCCGTACTATAAAGCGTAGTGCAAGTCATATCCGGGCTTTGTACAAGCCAGAAATTGGAATTGAGGCACAGCACAATTAGTGCGCTCCACAAGAAGCTTCTTCCTCAAGCAGCCACTGGGGCCGTGCCGTCCGGTCCCACAAGACAGCCCAGGATATCGCTGGCTCGCAGTTTCTGCGGCGGCCAACTGCAACTTCCAAAGGCGGCCTGCATCAAGTAGAGCACGTTCAATCTCCGAGCGCGTAGTGGCAGTCTCGTAGTGGTTGCCGGCAGTGCATCACGATGAAATAACCTTTCGGCTTAACAGCGCTGTAATTTGGGATAATAATAGCATCCAATGCGAGGGAAGAACCTTTAATCAAGAGTCCAAGACAGATTGTTCCAAATGCTGCAAGGACAGCAACGTTCCCCAAGACAAGCTCCGGCCACATGTACTTGTAGGCAACGCATAGCACTTTTGCGTCTCGTAAGATTAGGAAACTACTGCAGCTACGGCTGCTGTAGAACCTTGTATTAGTGAGATCGGGAAATAGGACCAACAGTCTGTAGCATCAGACTCTCGTAATAAGCACAGGGGGTGGTACCTCACGGCGTAGACTCGGTCGCTCGCCGTAGCAGAAGAATCCCTTCAAACTGCCCCTAGATGCATGCCTCCATCGTCTCTGGATCTTAATTGAGCAAACAGTTGGCTTGGCTCACCCGGAGCGAGGCCCGATAGTGGTCTGATTTTTGATAATGCTGGCTTTATAACGGAGCACCGTAGCATTACTTCATCACGTATAGCAGATTATGTAGGGTCCCTTAGGCACGGCATCTCTGCCAGATTTCGCTTGGAGCATGTCCATCGGCTGTTCTTTTGATCTGGGCACTGGCCAGCTCGATGGCAGAGCAAGGGGTTCAAGCAAGTCACGACTGCCCACCAGCCTGTACCATGGGCGTGGCCTCATGGCAGGCTGGTCGCTTTTCGTCCGTGGCATTCTCGCCCACGGAAGTCCTCCGTCGATCTGACTAGCACTGGCTGGACGGGGCCCGCCAATACTATTCATCTCAGTCCATTCTGGGTCTATATGCACGCGGCAGGAGAGCATAATTTGGATCAGATTACGATCGGAGTCCGACTATGCTTTTCGAGATCACTTTCGAACGGCATAGAGATTGGTGGCGTGTTTTGGTTGGTTGTCGCCCCTATTACCGGCAGCCAGAAAAAAAGACCCTTTGCAAGAGGACCAATACAATCACATGGCTGACGGATTTGCGTGCACGCCATTGACCTCGGCTCGGCGCGCCCAGGGAAGAGAGAAGCTGGTCCCAACAGGCCTAGTTGAGGGCAAGGCATGACGGCCAAGGAATAGACAAGCAAGCAAGCAAGCAAAACCTTGGTTGGCCAGCAGCTGCAGCCAAGCGCGTTTTCGGCACGCATATTGGCATATTAGTCGTCGTACAGACAGACACTTTTCTGCTCTTGGGCAGGGCTAGAGCAGACTAGCCGATGGGCCGTGGGCCATATGGAGATCCCATCGGATCAGGCGCCTGGGATAAGCAATTGGCGTCAGGGGGTTTGCTGCGGGGGAAATTGCGTTGTCGAGAAGCGATGGCCGAGCGATTCAGGCAGGCCGCTGAAGCGCCCATTCCCCGGACTTTTGTGACCGATTCGCTCGGTTGTCAAGCTTCCAAGGATGGCGATGCCTGTCGTATACAAGGGCCCAGGGGGGGCGAAAGAAGAACTTTTCGCAAGCACGGACAGCGCACCTTGTGTCGACGGATTGGAAGCGGAATGGCTGGCGGCGACGCTGCTAGTCTTTGAGAACCTCACGCCACTCGTCCCGGTCGACGCTCTGGGTAAAGAGCAGCAGAGCTAGCCAAGCACCGGCGATGCTCAGCTCATGTGCCGCTCTTGTTCCTGCGTTGGGAGTTTTTGCCATGGACGAATCCTCTTCATGAATCCAATTCCGTCGCCTCTGAGTCAAGAATCCTGTCTGGTGGAGCACAATGTCATTCCAAGCCTGGAAGCTATCAATTGTTCGCCGCCTTTGCCCTTTGGCTTCTCGAACGCACGAGGAAGCTTTCAACGCCTATAGCTTTGTTGGCTGGGCTTGGACCGGGGACTCTTTGTAGTGTGTCCCGACGTCTGACGGTCGCCATCAAGGAACAAGGCCGTAGTACCTGGCAATGCTAGCAGAGGTCGCACAGACATCGTACAGTAATCCTCGATTTCCCCGCAGGTTCATAGTACCTGGTACGCCATTCAATAAAACAGGCTGAAGAAGCTGGGCCATCGAGTGTGTCTGCCTGCAGAATCGAGCAAGGCGCATAGCTAGCATGGTGCTTAGTAAGGCGTAGCCTGCTGCTCCGAATTCAAGTTGGCAAAATCCAGAAAGGCACACATGACGGCGTCGCATGGGCAAACAGAGGGAAAAAGCGCTCCATGACATGATGCTGACGAAAGGTGATAGAATTTGGGATCGGCTCAAAAGTTGAGATCCGCATTCTGCGCATAAGGTACCTGCCCTGGACGCTGGCGGTGGGGAACAGCAGCTACAGCTATGCCCAGGCAGGTTATGGCGGCCGAGACAGGGCCAGGAGCGCTGTAGCGTTTTGCCACGGACGGTCGGGCGCTGAAGGCGACGTTGGAGCTGCTGGAATTGAGCATCGAGGCCTGTAGCCAGGTTGCAGGCTGCTCAATGCTTGCCCCCCAGCCAGTAAATCGGCCGAGCCTGACCCGACGTACTCTATCAACGTGTGTCTACACGCCTGTACTCTCGTATGCTGCACCGACGTCCTTTTCTTGCATACAGTATACGGATTTGCACGCTTTGAAACACAGGCGCCGCGTGGGAATATCACACTGGCAAGCATAATGTCCGTGTTAGTTGGTTCGCCAACACCACATCACTGATGCTAGCCAGAGTCACAGCGTTGCAGTCCCAGCCACAGCCACAGCAGGTTTCAATGCAAGGTTACGTCTGGTGCGCTTTTTTGCGACCCATCCATCCCACACCACCCAAGAGGGCAGAATAGCGGCCGCACCACGAAGAATTGCCCCAGGCAACGCTGGCCAACCACGATTGCCATTCAAAACCCCAGATCTGCGCGCAGAAAAGGCAGAATATGAAGGGAAAAAAAAGGGGGAGGCGGCTGGGCCAATAGTGTACCGCGGTGTATAGTCTGCTTGCGGTTTGCGCTCTCTCTGCTTGCATCCGCGAGGCAATAGACCTGCTAATGGCAATGGATCTGGTGAATCAAATCGACTACCAGACTTTTTGCCTTTGCAATTTCCGGCGGCGAGGCCAATGGGACGGAGCAGTGGCCTGTCGGGTCATGGTGCGGCATCTCCGCGCTCGTTTAGCTGGTCAAAGACAGGGGGTCAGTAGCTATTCGAGCCGGATGTCCAGCTCAAGCATACATACAACGACTGTGTACGCATCAATATGAATGAATTCACATGTCTGTTGCTGCTGTAAACCATCGAGGTCAGCAGGACGTGCATGTACCAAGTAGGCAGTACATCGCAAAGGCGGATTGACGGCAGCGTCCAGCCGTACCTGCAACCAAGCCAAGAGACTCCCGAGGCTGCAAAAGAGGTAGAGACTAACCATCACCATCGCCCAAATGCTCGTCGATCGCTGCTTTGCCCGGCTCGGCCGTGTGTAGCACATCTGGTTAGATCGGCGCCTATCCCTGTTTCCGGCCATGGGTCGCTCCAACGGGCTGCTCCACCGCCGCCGGAGCCACGCCTGCAACAGCGTCTGCCTGGCCACGAGGTAGCAGAGACGGTGGCGCACGCGCAAGAGATGCTGAGAGTATTAAGTACTGTCTACCAAGAGCAGCTAGACTTGATCCCCTGGCGATGGCCCGTCGGTATAGTCCACTGGGAGCTGGCGAGAGCCTCTGTGGCTTTTTCTTGCCGCTGCTTGGGGAAGGCTGTTACTAAGGTTGTTACTGGAAATAGTGTAGCCGCGCTTCGTTTTGCCTCTCGTACCTGTATGAGCATGTGTCTGGCGCCAGAGCTACTCGCAATTCTCGTATCCGTGACTCTGGCTGTTCCTCGGCGATGATGAAGTCTGGCTGTCGGGCCTCTTCGCTGCTGTACCCAACACCTCTGCGTCGAGTATCGAGTACAGAACCCAAACCCCATTCGACTCCATCGCACCTCGTCTCTAGTGCTATTCAGCAACCCTGCTGTCTCTCTCTATTCGCCCTCTCGGCCCAATTTTTCTCTTTCATTTGCAACCCCCGGCCCGACGATCGAAATGGGGGGGTGTGCGCGACCCCAGCTGAGACCTTGGCTAGCAGCGTTGCACGAAGCTATTCCGTCGGGGCCAAGTGACTTTTGCTCGCAGTAAGCCAGGAGCAGGGAAGGGAACTTGGAAGGCGTGGTTATGATTGATGGGATGGGTGGATGGATGGAAGGATGGATCAACGGGGCATCGGGGAGCAAGAAGCTGCCACTCCAGAAATTACCGTAGCTGCTGCTGGTTGCTAGTGGACAGGCACGCCAACAGCTCCTGCGTCTGTCGATAGGTACATAAAGGGCTTTCATCCACCTCGTCTGCCCTTTTTCCCTTTTCCTCCTTTTCCCTTCTCTATCCACTCGCTCGCTTTCAAGTCCAGCCACATTCGTTGTTGCTCAACAAAAACCCAAAAAAACCAAAACATTAGCCCCTAATTAATTCCCCCGGAATCCAAATCCTCTAATACCGTCAACATGAAGGCCGCCACCGTTCTCGCTGTTGCTTTTGCCGCTCTGGCCCAGGCCCAGACCCGCGCTGATATCCCCAGCTGCGCTCTGCCCTGCCTCGACGATGCCGTCAAGGCCAACACCAAGTGTTCTACCACCGACTACGCCTGTATCTGCAAGGACTTCAGCGCTGTCCAGACCGCTGCCACCTCTTGCGTCATCTCCAAGTGTGGTGCTGATGTTGCCCTGAGTATGTTCTTCTGGCACGGACTGTCTTGATGGGAACACGATTTCATCTAACAATGACTACAGACAAGGTTCTTCCCGCCACTCAGGCTCTCTGCGCCAACCCTGGCTCCGGCTCCTCTGCTGCTGGCTCTTCTGCTGCTGGCACCACCGCCGCTCCCACCAGCGCTGCCCAGACCTCTGCTGCCGCCAGCTCTGCTCCCGCCAGCTCTGCCCCCGCCAGCTCTGCCCCCGTCAGCTCTGCCCCTGCCAGCTCTGCTCCCGCCTCTTCTGTTCCCGCCGGCACTGGTGTTTCCACCACTGTCATCACCAGCGTCACTCCCGTTGGCACCGGTGTTCCCCCCGCTGGCAACCGAACCACCACCGCCCCCACCAGCGCTCCTACCGGTGCTGCTTCTGCTCTCCTGCCCGGCCTTGCCATGCTCGCCCTCGGTGCCCTTGCCCTGTAAGGGATTTGAAAACTCAAAGATACCCAAAGGCGAGATGTCACGAATGGAGACGAGGTATGGGATGGGAGGAATCAGAATGGAATGGAATTGGAACAGTTAGTGCGCTGGAAAGGCTTTATGGTGTTATGAACTACGAGCTGGACCCTAAACGACATATGTTGTTGGATTTGGATCATCCGCCCCCTTGCGGGCGTGTAATACACAAAATATAACCAGTTTACTGGCTTTAATGCTAATGTCTGCGGACGAATTTTATTTTTTCAATTTGGTTCTCTTAAAGTGACTGTATTCCAATCGTGATTCCGTTGTAATATTTGATTGCTTTCCAAGGCTATAGCAACTCCCATTTGTCTGCTCTAGCTGTGACGGAGACCAAACAGTGGCCTATAGCCAAGACTCTTGGAGCCCATCTGCTAGTCCCATCCATGGTGCCAAAGCCCAGGTAGCCTGTAAGTACTTGAATGTAGCAGTCAACAAAGAGCCTGGAACACTCAGAATCATACAATACAAGGTGGTTGGAGGACCCGCCATATCCGAGCTTCCGTTTGCGACAGCGAGTCGTGACTAAGAGAAAAGGGGCCCTGGTCTGGAAAATCCTAAGCGTAGCAGTTGACGCTGGCAATTGATGCTACAGAAACAGACTGTAAGTACATTGTATATAGAGGAGCTTGCTGGGCTGGGCGGATATCCGGTGGCTCCGCTGGTTGGGACGGCGTGGCTGGGATTTTGGGTGTCAATTATTTGATGCTGCGGTTGATGTTTTGGATTTACTCTCTTTGTTTGGGTCTATGTGTGTATACTGAATGTTTGCCTTTTTCGATGTAACAGACTTCTTCTTGACTAATCTTGTTTCTTTTCATGTCAGACGATGGGAGCAGGATGATTTTTTTCCCCCAGTGGAGTTGACAAAGAGGAGTGAAGACTGGTGGAGAACTAGAGTGGATTGAACTGGACTGGGAGCTACTTATAGTACAAGTATACATTGCTACAGAAAAGTTGAAGCGAGGACTGGGGCTAGAAGCGGGAAGAAAAATGGGAAGATGGATGGAGCTGTTGGAGCTTCTTATTTTTTTTTTTTTTGGTCCCCAATGCAACGGTTGCTTTGCTGCGATGAAGAAATCGAGTGGTGTGAGTTGCAGCCACGTAATCGGCCAACGACTAGACACCTCAAAAGATGACAGGTACTTGGAGCCTGTTACGTGTATTGAGGCAGAATAAAAAAAGAAAACAAAGTTGGAATTAGGCTTGTTCTGCGTTTTACTGGGCGTGGCACCACTTGGCTGCGGTTTTTTGCGGTGTTTGTTAGAGCTATGCTTAATGCGGGAGGACGGGACGGAGATGGCAACTCTGTTTTTGTGGTGGCTCAGGTTCCTGGTCCCAGTGAGAGTGTGTACGGAGGTAGTTGTGGAAGGAGGAGAAGAATTGGTGTTGTTGTTGTTGCTGTACGGAGTACTGGCATCGCCATTGTTATGAAGAAGGTGGTTGGCATAGACAGAAGTACAGAGAACTGGGTGACCTGTAGGGGAGGTTGGTGGTGGTCATTGTGCAGGGCGCTAAGGCGGGATTTTGAGGTACGAGATGCAACGCGGTGCGGAGCGTCGCGTCTAAGAATTTTGGTGTGGGTGTGTGTGTGTGAATGTGTGAAGCTTACTGTACTTGTTGCTGGATGTATTGATGGCTATTGAAGCGGGTGACTGATGGATTGGAGACTGTTGGCTCAGGCTGCAGGTCACTTACATGTTGATGGACGGCGTGATGATTTTTTCTCTGCTGCGTGTAATGCCTAATACGGATATATGGCCACGGAAGATGCTGGTGCCAAACCGATACCTTGACTTGGAGACGACAAGCCGTATTACATGCATCGCAGCTCCAATTCACGTCAGCCCAAATCACAACACCATCACCACCGCAAAGAGACTCCCCAGCGTCGCATGCTCATGAAAATCCGGGGCAACATGACTCCATCACGGCTACACAAGATCAATAGCAGCAACAGGATGAACAGCAGAAACGAGGACACAGCTCTATACACACACAATCGCATACGTACTCTGCACTCACACCAAATCCCTCTAGCGGCCTCTCTGCAAGCCAAGTTTTCTTGCTCTGTGGCTTGAGCGAGAAGAGCGAGTTTAGCCACATTGGACTTTTGGTAGGGTGGCATTCCTTCGTATCGGCGAAGGAACTAATGAGTCTTTTCTACTTCCTTTTTTTCTTAAAATAGGATTTGAGGGGAAGAGATGAACGGACGCGAAGGAGGTAGATGCTGGCGTGTGGCAGACCAAGTTGTAAATGCTCTTTTGAACTGCACAACGGCCAATTCACCACAATTGCGGCCCAATTCGCTGCCTCTTCTTCAAATCTGTCTCAATAGCGCAAAATCCTCTTTTCTTTTCTCACCGCTCCCCCCTCCGCTGAAATCGTGCACAAAGGAACTGAAGCAGCGAGACGCTATACGAGGTACAAAAGGCGGTACCGCAGTCGTGCCCTTTTAGTGCCTCTAGCTCTGGTGTGGAGGGGTGGAGATTTGGGTGCGTTATGACGCCTCTTTATGGGGACCCCGGTACGTACCTGCAAGTAGCGCCTCGAGCTTCTTTCTCTTAGCGCAGGATTTTTGGAACTCGTGTGTGTTTTGTTAGTTCATCGTGCATAAGGTGCTGGATCCTGCAGTGGCTGGTGCATGAAAGGCTGTGTGTGAGAAGATGTGTGTGTGGCAGTGACAGTCAGTGACAGCAGAGCAACAAGTTGAAGCAAAGGAAAAGGTGTAGTCTACCTACCTAGTATGTTCTCGAGTACTAAAGGTGTTTTTGAGAGGATGCTCTTGGTGCAAGCTACATCACGTTTTCTGCACGAATATGATAGCGTCCATTCCACAGACAAAAAGCACCAATACGTCGCCCTCTCCCAAAGACGGAACCTGAACCATACACCTGGGAAAAAAAAAAAAGTCAAGAGCAGAACAGCCAGAATAAACATAAAAATTAGAAAAGAGAAAAAAAAAACTTCAATCCTAGCAAACGATTGCCCGTTCCGGCCATCCCACCCTCAGGGACTCCCCGTGAAAGATGACGTTTGGGGCGCAACCTCTCACGCAGCCAATCACGGCCGAGAAACGGGGCTTATACACAGAACGACACAACCACGAAGATGCCAAGTTCGTGAATAGCATAAACTTTGGCAAACTTCTTTTCCACGCCCCGGTAGAGTGAGCATTCTCGATAACCCTACTTCCTTCGGACATTTATGTCAAAAACGTCAAACGTCACTGTCAAAAGTGTCAGTTGTCTAAATGAAGCGTCAAAAAAAGTCATGTCATGATCGACAACGCTTGCCTACCTGCAGGGTCCGCCTGACTACACCACGAATCAGGGAATTAATTGCCGTGATGCAGAATTCCGGTTTCCCCATGGTATCTGCCCGGAGTGTGTACTCGTTGTGTAAAGTCGATCAAATAAATGCATGCTGAGATATTTCCCCCCGTGCGAGCCATTGTGCAATGTCAGCACAGCACGTGTGAGATGAGAAACTCCACGATGAAGACTGAAAAACGTGTTTGCCAAGATGTCAGATCCAGGGAACTGGGATTCAGTAAAGACGATCGTGACGTCAGAGGCTATCACCATTGTAGTTCTCAACGATGGTTGATGGCCTCGCATGCTCACGCACCTCTCTTGGATTCTCGGCCAAGGCTGCATCTGGACTGGCCTGGAACTCTGATACAAACCCGCTAGAAAAGACTTTGAATAGTGTCAAAATAGATCGTTGCAACACGCTATTGAGATCTAGAACTCTTCCATCCCCTTTCGGCTCTCGCGGAAATCTCAAGCCGTAAAAGCTTGACGATGACTTCACGCCCTTCCATATAACCAACTACTGCTTTCTTCCGTCACGCCTCAATCTCAGCACTCGGCACCACCACCCTCTTCACCTCGCTCTCCCTCACCCTCGTCCTCTGCTCAAAACCATACGCCAATCCCAGCAGATCCTCCTCGGCCCACCTCCTCCCCAGAAAGCTCATCCCGTACGGAACCCCCGGACCCGTCTCCACCAGCCCGTTCGCCTCGTGCACCGGCTCCGTCTCCTTTAGATGGCCCATCGGCACCGTGATCCCCGGGCATCCAACCACGGCGGCCCACATCGGCGCCATGATGGACGGCATGGCCACGGCGACGAGACTGTGCTGGTCCAGCAAGGCCGGTAGACCGCCCGGCCCGCCGAGTTGCTGCATACGGTCGTATTTCTCCTTGAACTCTGGAGAGGTGTTGTCCCACTTTTGCTCGTCTAGGATTCTGTCCCAGATGCCCGTGTCTCGCTCGGGGTATGATTCCAGGGGATGCCTCTGCGTTTGCTCGCGCACATCCTCGAGGGTGTGGATGTTGTTTGGGTTTGTGACAAGCTGAGAGAGGTATGATGCCAGGTTGACGCGGAAATCGGCTCCCATGAGGGGCATTTCGAGATCCCGGATATCCTTTGTAGCTGAGGCGTAATCAGCCTCGACGAGGACCGCACCAGCTGCCTCGAGAATGGAAAGAGCCTGCTTAAAGCCTTCTACTTCAGAGGCGTAGTGCGGCTTCTTCTCCAGGCCCTCCTGGATGGCCTTCCAGGGAATGCCAATGCGAGCCCCCTTGAGAGTGTCCCTGCACGCAGCGACGTAGTCTGGAATGCGTGGGATCTCAGCCGTGTACTTGTCACGATGGTCCTCCCCAACAATGACCTGCAGCAAATACGCCGCGTCCTTAACCGTCCTTGCCATCGGCCCAACCGTATCCTGATGCTCCGAAACAGGAATGACCAGATCCCTCGACGTCAATCCCACCGTCGGCTTCACTCCCACAACGCTGCTGCGCTGAGCTGGACAAATGATGGATCCATCCGTCTCGGTGCCCAGCGCCGCCCACGCAAGGCCCAAGTCGGCCGCCACGCCGCTGCCGCTGGAACTGCCCGAGGCATCCTGGTTGGGGTGGTAGGCGGCGTGCGTCTGGCCCCCGTTGGCGGACCAGCCGTTGATGTTGAAGTCGCGGGCGCGGAAGTTTGCCCATTGCGACATGTTGGCCTTGCCGAGGATGATTGCGCCGGCGTGGCGGAGTTTCTGGACGACAAAGGCGTCGCGAGGGACTGTGGCGCCGATGAGGAGGTGTGAACCGGCTGTTTGTAAAGAAACCAAGCTTGTGAGAAAAAGAAGTAGTTGTGTTATGAAAAGTAGTGAAGAGGGAACAAACCAGTCGTGCCCATCTTGTCTTTGGTGGCAATGTTGTTCTTCACCAGGATGGGTATTCCATGAAGAGGGCTGTATTTGTGAACTTGTGAGCATGTGGGAGATGTATGATTCTTTGGTGTTTGACCTACCCTCGGACTGAGCCTGATGCTCTCTCATCGTCGAGAGCTTTCGCAATGGCGAGTGCATCGGGGTTGGTTTCGACGACGGCGTGGACCGTCTCGTTGACTTGATCGATGCGTGCGAGATAGGCCTGCAGTATTTCAGCAAAATACTCTGCTTATTGGAATAAGTGAGGAACACCGACCTTGGTCAGCTGAACGCTGGTAAAGCGATTCTTCTCCAGGCCCTCAAGCAGCTGGTCCAGCGTGGCGTTGAGCAGGCCCGGCCTACAGAATTGATACGTGGTTAGACAGTGCCATCATCATCGTCTCTTGTAGTGGTGCAACATACAGATGGCCTCGCACTGATTGCAAGTCTCCCATTTTGATAGATTACAACCTATTCTTCTCGCGATATTGCAAAATACCACTCCTCTCCTCTTCTTCAAGATATTCTCCAAGGTGGGCTGCTCTCCAGTCCAAATTGCGGGGCAGAACCAGACAAAAGTGCCTGCGAAAACGAAACGAAGCCCGTTGCTGACACGTTCTCGCCGCAGTGAAATCGTTGGCCCGCTTGTAGTAGCGCGAGTCTAGCAAGTTATGGCAATTTGTTTTGAGGTCACGAAGATGAGGAGTCGTTCTATATTGCCTGGTCGTCGGTGAGTGAGTAACAATGATCGGTGAGTGAGTAATAGGGACTTGCATCTACACACCACGTAGTGCCCATGTGGACAAAATCTAGATCATGTGCAAGGGGGACACAAAAGCATCGCATTGCATAAAAAACAATCGAAAAATCACTGCTGCCGTCTATATCATCCATCTATAGAATAAAGAAGTAATCCACAAACAAACAAATTCACTTCCGTCACTGCCCTCCCTCAACTTCCCTCACCCACTCATGTACCTTTTTCGCAACCAGCCAACTCGTATCTAACACCTCTCACGTCAGTATCAACAACTCTCATCAACAACCTTTAACATGCATAGAAAGAACTGGAAGAAATGGTAAAAAATCAAGGCACTCACGCTCCCTCACACAAAACGCATGCGGAATATCCCCCTCATCAACCAAAATCCGCGTATGTCCCTTCTCCCTCCTCCTCCTCTCAATAAACGCATCCCGCAGATGATTCGCAACCCAATGGTCATTCTTACCATAAAAGATGAAAAACTTGGGTATCTTTGCTTCCGCTTCTCCCTCCCCTGAGCTTCTGCCCTCACCCTCAGTCGCCTCCCACAACTCCTCCTCCCACCTCTCCTCACAAATCGTCCTCATCTCCGAAGCCCCCAAAAGAATCGCCTGCCAAACTCCATCACGACTCTTCAACCATCGCGCCGTCGCCTCCGCCGTCTGCGCCGTAAAGCCCATCACATTCGTCACGATCCACAGCACACACACATACGGAATACACCCAAGAATGAACTTTGCTATCCGATGCGCATTCTTCTCCACGACGGGCATCTTCGTCAAGAGCGTGGCTCTCCTCCCGCTCGGCGAGCTCGCAATGTGCGTCAACGTCGGGAACAACAAAAACCCATGCCGCAGATTCAAATGCGGCGCTCGCGATTCCTTCATATGCCGATGCATAATCTCAACCGAAATGTACGCGCCCACCGAATGCCCCATCAACACCACAAAGTCATACGGCCGCGACCCCTTCCCCTGCTCGCCCAGCGCCCCAGCATCGTCCGGAATGACGCTCCTCGCAGCAACGTCCTCATAAATCCCCTCAATCTGGCCATCTAAATCCCAAGGCTGGTTGGTCTCGCTAAACGGCTCATGATCATCATCGCTAAAGCCCAGCAAGTTCCGCCCATAGATATCGTATGCCGTTCCGCCTGAGCCCTCGTCTGCGGCGTCCAGCATGCCGCGGAGACATTCTAGAAAGGTGACGTAGAAGTTGACGAGGCCTGGGTTGCCGCAGATGAAGTAGATGAGGGCGTGTTTCTGGTACGGCTGGGCGCCGCGCTGCCGCGGCTTGGCAAGCAGCGAGATCACGGGCGACATGATTGAGGGTGTTTCGAGATAGGTTATAATAGTTTCATTAGCTCTGGTTGGATTCTTAATTGGATTGCTGCTGCTGCTGCTGCTGCTGCTGATGGTGATGATGCATGTCAATGCCGATAACTGATACCCACTGCAATGATAAACTAAACTGTGGGTCGCAGCCGAGGCTGTGATCCGTCCCATCGATCGCCGGGTTTCTAGATACATGTACCGTAATGCTGAATCTCATAACTCTGCAAGGCTTTAACCAATTATATCGGACGAGAATTTTAACAATTGATTTCTGTTATCACGCCACATCCATCCAATTGCCAGAGCATCTTCACGCAACTTCAACAAAATGGCTACAACATCATCTTACAGACTTCATCAACGCCAAGCGTCTCATCTCAATCCATAACACCGCTACCATTAATGCTACACAGATACAAATAATCTCACAAACTGCCTGCCTGCCTATTCAAAAATGGAAAAAATCTCAATTCTCCCCCACAGTATACTTCTTCCTCACCTCCACAAGCCCAACCGCCGCCTTCGAAATAACCGCCCACTTGGGCATATACTGATACAGCTCACGCAGCACCGGAATCGTCTTCTCGTCATTCATGTCGCTGTACGCGCACTTCACCGTCACATCAAACGCCTTGGGGTCAGTCTCGCGAATATCCCGCGTCAGCTGCAGCTCGACATCCCACTCCCCGTCCCACTCTCGCCTGAAGAGAGTAATGCTCTTCATCCCGTTTTGCGGGCTGGACCCGAAACGCTCGTCCAGAGGAAGGCCCTTTGCTAGCTTGAAGCCGTATACAGGCCGAGAAAGCTCAAGGATACACACCTTGGAGTCTATTGCATTGATTTGGAGATTGGCAGTTCTTCCGTCAGATGATAAGGAGCTTCCTACCGTGATCAAGTCCGCTGGCTTCGTGCCGTTAACGAGATGCGGCGAGAGCGATGATGATACGGGATACTTGCAGGCGATGAGGCCAGCCCTCGACGACTTCTCACTACAGTTGACGTGTTGAGCAGCTGATGGAATAGATGAAACGACTGCCTCAACGTATTCCGGAAGCCCAGACAGCGAGACGATATCCGTTCCAGCATCTACATCAATGACTTCTTGGAAATACAACTTGTATCGGTAGTTGGTAGAAAAGGGAAAAGCAACGAGGTTATAGATAAACGTGGCAATAAAGACCACCAAGAGAAAGAGCGGCACATGGCGAGTGATGCGATGCATAAACGGCGTCAGGGGAAGCAAGATGAGAATCGTCATGATTCCAATTCCCATCAAAGGAGCCAAAAGACCACCGCCGTCGGCACCAGTCATGTTCATCGACGAAGTCTGTATCAGTCCCAAGTTGCCTACGATGATGACATGGACAGGAGCAAGGAGCAGGAGCTGGATAAACCAAGTCCAGGTGGGAAGTCGTCCAGACCACGCCTGTTCGTGTTCATACGGAGGATAGCTCTTCACGGGCGCGGGAGCTGGCTCCTCATCTGCTTGTGCTGTTCGCCGGTATGTGCTCGCAAAGGTCGTTTGCTCAGCCGACCCATAGCCCGGCTCTCCAGCTCTGAGAGGTGTTGTCTCCGTAGCACTCTCGGCTGCGTACTCCTGATCTTCCTCTTCGTCTTCATCGCCCGTAATGGTGTTGTCGGAGCTAGTAATTCGGACATGCTCCGGAGCTGGGTCGTCCTGGTAGCGGTTGGCGAATTCATGCTTTCCAGGCAGCGTAAATAGTTCCAGCAATGAGATGAAGAGCGCCAAAAAGATGGCCGAATGGAAAAACGCCGCAAAGTAGAGGCCACCAAGGTGGATGCGGTCCTCGACCAAGGCCGCAAAGACTTGAAGGACCCAAGACAGGATGAATAACCAGACGAGCGCAAATCCGCGATGGAGAGCGGTTGGCCTGACAAAGTTGGCGCCTCTCATGATGAGCCAGAAGCTAAAATAGAAGAGGGACACCGTCATAGCCCAGCTGCCGATGTGTTAGCTGAGTAAAAAGTAGTAAGAGGTGCTAGTAAAACTTACACTGCGTATCCGCTGCTGTAGACAATGAGAGGATTGACCTTGGCAACAAGTAAAATCGACGCTATCGTCAGGCCAATAGCAAAAATCAGCGCCAAGGGGTATCGGAAGAAGCCTCGCCAGCCATTGATTGCAACCGGCTCGTCATGAATCTCGGAATGCCTCCAAATGTCCATGGCAAAATAGTAATACTTGTCCTGGCGGACGAGCAGATACGTTACAATAGACAGGACCACGGGCGTCACGATGAGCAGCGTCAGCGACCACGCAAACAGCCCTCTAAGGGGGAACGTAAGCCATCCACTGCCATACCAATCAAAGTAGACACCCTCGGTGGGCTTGCCGTTCTGGACCAAACTATCATCACCATCTGCACGATCGCCATTAAAGACTGTTCCAGTAACCTCGGAGAGCCTCTCTGTAGATGCCAACGCGGCAGATAGCATGTGCCAAATGCTGCGGACAGAGGTGTGGCGCGTATCGTCGTCCTCGGTGTGGTAGCGCGAGCGAGGCTCATAAAAGGCAATATCCAGCCCTCGCTGTCCGAATGCCGGAGCGAATACCTCGAAATCGGTGCCGCTCTTGATGACTCCTCGCTCAAAGGCGTTTGCCGCAACAACGGAGCCAAACGGATGGGGGCTCTTGGCATAGGCCTCGGCAGCTTGAAGATCGGTGGTTCGGAAGAGCACCGCTCGGCCTCCAGCGCCGGCTCCTTCCAGGTTGACAAACGTGTGGCAAAACTTGAGAAGCGGGCTATAGCCAAAGGCGCGAGCGCCGAGGAGGCCATCCTCTTCCGCATTGTTGAAGAGGAGGACGATGCCATGCTTCGGCTGGTGGCCCTCGGTGGTGAAGTAGCTGAGCAGCTGCAGCAGACTTACGCACGACATGCCATCATCAGTCGCACCATAACCCGTCGAGACACTGAGAATACGTTAGCCAATTCGTAAATTGCCTCAAACGGCTGCTGGCTTGGACCTACGAATCGAAATGGCAATTGACGAGAACGCCTCCGGGGTTGTATTGCGCGTTATTCGGAGATTTCCACCACTCGCCCTCGGGATCATCTTGGCCATGGATATATACATAGAAGTTGTCGCCCTCAAAGTAGTACCCCGACCACGTCTGCGTGCCGCTCTTGGCGCTCTGAAGAAGCGAGTCGACCGTCCAAGTCACATTGGAAGTGTGGTCGTCGAAAAGGGTAGCACCTCGCGGTCGCTTGGCCCTCAACTTGGAATCATCGTCATTCGTAGACGTATATCGTTCGATACTATTTTCAGAATTAGTACATCCAGTACTTAGATAGATCCCCCGATGAACAAACCTGGGGTTCCATATCACTCCACCAGTTGTATCGGTCTTGTAGCCAACATCATTCCGGTCCAAGATCGCTTTCGAACGTTCAATCAAATACTGGCGGACGTCTGCGTTTGCCTTGCTATTGAACGGATGGTACTGCTTCGTAATGACCTGCAGATCGTCCCATGCTTCGCTCAAGTTCAAGCCCTGCTTGCCAAGAGAATGCGCCGACGGCGCAGGCGGCACCGTCTCGTGAACGTAAATTAGCGGTATCGTGACGGCGAGATAGATGGCGGTCGTCCAGAAGGTAACCGGCCCCGGCCGGAAGCCAAATGGATTCGGGAGCCTCATCTTGGCTTTGCGACCAAGAATCAACCAACGGCTTCAGCTGGCGAGCGGCGCTCTGGTCATGGGCCGGATCGAGATGAGCGCGAGGAGCAAGGATGAGCTGGTGGCGAGAGGGAGCCAGAATCGCGATATCAATATCGGCTCCTAAGACGTGAGAACAGTCCTGCTTATGCTTGCATGCGTTACTTCTCGGCAAGCGCCTGACAAGACGCTCAGCTTAGGAAAACAAAAAGCAGGAAGGGAGAAGCAGAAGAAAAGGAAAGGAAAAAGACCGGCACCGCGGCGAAGCAACAGGCCGGGATTATAGCTAGAACGCAGGATGCAAGACGCGCCTGCCGATGCGATAAGGCAAGGTACGGGCTATCAAGCCTGCTGCAGCTGCGCCTAGACACAGCTCTGCCAGCCAGCTCCTTACAAAAGTCCCCATCGGCCCGCTACAGCTCCCCATCGGCGGCTCCTTGGCAGCTGCGGTGCGGCCGCTGACGTCAAAGGCTAGCGGCGGCAAAGGCCTGTCAGCTCGCTCCAACCCCGCTATATGGGATTGCGCTAACCGGACCAAGTATTTGGGTTGGCTCAACTTTGGCTTAATGGCTCGGATGGAAAGAACATGGTGGTTCTCATCGTGTTATCGTTGTTTTTCATCTTCTGTTGTATATAGTATTCAGCTCTTAAGCTGCCAATTTCCCCTGGTTATGCCTTGATGGCCCTGAGCTGAAACCGTCAGCTGCGAGTCTTCGGCTTACATCTACGAGCTGCTCAGCCAGCCATATTCTTCGCCTTTTTCTTCTAGGCAGGATGGATGTATTATTACGGTCGACAGTAGGTACAAGGGGGGGTATCATTTCGTAGTACGTATCCAATGGATGCCTATGGAGGGTATACACGAGGCTCAGGGCCTGTACCACTAGTCAGAAAACTCCTCAGTGGGAGGCTCTCTGCCAAAGGGGTGATTGAACTTAAGGAGTCCATTCAGTCCGCCAACCCAAGGATCATCATCCTCGGTGCGTATCACGCACGGCACTCCGCCATGCCATTCCTCGCCGGGGCCCGCTCGACCTACAAACTCGCCCTCGACGTGGATCTCCGATCCGGGCAAGACGCCGGCGCACCGTCTGCCGTCGATGCTAAGGTCCAGCTCGCGGCCTCTGTTCTTTGGACTCATCCGCAGCGTAACTTTGGTGTCCAGAGGAAGCACCAGCGATCGGAAACTGAGGCTGCAGGGGCTGATGGGCGTGATGAGCAGCGACTTGACCAGGGGATGCACAATCGGACCTCCGGCACTCAAGCTATAAGCGGTTGAGCCGGTTGGTGTGCTGATGAGGATGCCGTCCGCCGTTGTTTCTGTGAGGAAATGACCATTCTGATAAATGTCGATGATGGCAAGGTGCGGGTGAGAGCCGCGGTGCACGGAGATTTCGTTGATGGCGCGCAGCGGAGGCGAGATCTCCTTTGGACTGGCGATGCCCGACTTGGGCTGGCTGGCCAGCGTGTTGGAGACTTCGTGATTGATGTTGTTGCCCGCCCGGTCAAAGATGTCGGCCTTGATCCGGTGCCGCAGCAAAACCCGTGATGCTCTGTTGATTCCCTGACTCTTGCCCTTGACTCGCTCCCATCCCTCGCCAGACGCCGCATTCGCGCCAATGCCATCGTCGTTCTCGTTCCCCCGCGGCACGGCAGCATTGCGCCCCGCGCTGACGTCGCTGCCGCTCATGTACATCTCCCTCCACGCCTTTTTATGCTCTGCAAAGTTCCATTCCCCCAGAAAGCCCAGCGTGCCCATGCTGAAGGCCAAGATGGGCGGCACCGACCCGTGCAGCTTGAACAGGCTCGCGGCGCGCAAGACCGTCCCGTCGCCGCCAAACGTCGCAATCGCATCGATCTTGTCGGCGATGCTCGTGCCGTTGTCGACGACAAAGATGGGGAAGTCGAGCTGCTGCTGGATCGGCACCGCGACGCGCCCCTCTATGACGATGTTGACTTCGGGGTAGTCGCTGCGGATGTGCCGCGCAAACGAAACCACCGACTCGGTGACCTCGGGCGAGTAGAGCTTCTGCACCAGCAGCAGGTTACGCGGCGGCCGCGGCCAGTTGAGCGACAGCAGCGACGAGCCCGGCTTGGAGACTTGCAGGTATCGCGGGTGCGTGCGCTCCGGCAGCTCGGCCACGCTGCGCGACTCGGCCAGCTTCAGCGGGTGCAGGACGGAGAAGCATCGACGGTTGGGAGGCAGCAGCGTCTGGCGCCGATGCGGCCGGGCTTGGGCGATTCTGCGCCATGGCTCCCGGAGAGCTCGAATATGCGTGGCCATGGCTGTTTAGGCGCAGGCGGCGCTCATCGTGTTTTGCCTCTGCTGTTTGTGTTTGTTGTTGATCTACCTCGGCGTGGGATCATGAGTCATGAGTCGAGTTCTTGTCGAAGCCATGATGCTGGAGCAAGCTGCTGTGGAAAGCTGTGTTAGCGTCATAGCAGACAGAAATAGTTTGGCCGGCAGCTAAAAATCGGCGGGACTTGTCATGTGGGTTTACTGCTGTAATAGGCCCATCAATCCCGCTATTTAACCATATCTAGTAATAGCAGCTTAGCTTTATGATGAAAACAGGACTACACATTAACTGGAGCACATTGTGTCTCTAAAGAGGTTCAATCTTTGATTAAATAGGTACTACTGTAGATGTTATAATGATGCGTATCAAGTACCTATATCAGGGTTACAAAACCGAAAGCAGTTTACGTAGTACCTACCTGAGGTACAGATAGGTGAATACATGCACAAATGCAGAGCTCTTCATCATCTCATAAGCCACCAACAATCAAAATGATGTCTATTACAAGGAAACTGTCTAAAAAGATTCTCAACAACAAATGAAAATCTACAGTCTCTATATAAACACATAATATGCTTTTTCGCTCAAACAGTCTAACATGAGGTGAAGAAATGAAACCTCTATCCCCTGTCTATCCACCCTCTCTCCTCCAAGTATTATCAACAATCAGTCGCGTACCATACTTCCCGCTGTAAATCTCCCATAAAACTCAAATGCCTATACCAATAAACTCCTCTCAAACAAGTCTATCCACCTAAATCACCATGACTGCATCTCGTGTCCAAATTCTCGGCGTCCCCTCAGACACTCTCCTGAATACCGGCCTCAATCATCGTGCGCTCCGTCTTCATCAACAGCCGTCGAAGCTTGTTCATGGCTTTCTCATCATTGAGCATATTAGCAACTTGAACGCTGGCAGAGAGGATCCTGAGAACGGTTCGGTCATCCCTCGGGGGCTCCGGATGCCTGAGCACCTCGTCTACTCCCAAAGAGGCGTGCAGAACCGCCCTGAAGTGAGCAGCCAAATCACTGTCCAATGCCTCGAGAGGGATTTGCTGCTCTGCGATGAGGAATTTGAGTAAAAATACAAACTCGACCCATCCGCAATCGGGAGCTCTCTTGCGCCCAAGGTTTCGCGCGAAGAACGGCCGTTCCCGAGGCTCCATGCCCTGAATGACGGTGTTGGGCAACTGATGCCTGTTGCAGAACTCGAGTGCGCACTTTGAGAGGTGGCGGCTGGCCTGTCTCAAGACCTTTCTCTGCTTTCTCCTTGAAAGGCTGGTTGGAAGAAGCGGAAGCTCTACTCGGTTCAAAGCCGCATTTTTTGCGGGTGGACCACCAATGAGAATCCCATTGACAGGCAACGGTGTCGATGCACGGTGAGTGTTTTGAATGATTTCGGTGCACTGAATTATCTGAAAGGAGCCTTCAAGTGTGTCTGCAGCTGGGAAGCTTGGGGGTCTAGTTGCAAGAGGACTGAGAATGGAAGGATCTTGACCATGGATACGTGCGTCCATGATGGGATTTCCGGGGAAGATTCGGTGCCCATATGAATTGATCGGATCATTATCGATCGTGATTGGCCAGCCGTAAGAAGGGGTCGTCGCGGGAGGTGACCTTTCAAGTATTTCGAGAGGAATGTCACAAGACTGCCCGTATCGGTTGTTGACAAGAGGTGCGAAGCTGTCCTGGCTACTATTGCCTCCAGCCCCTTGAAATGCCCTGAGAAGAAAAGCATATGTTAGTGCTTCCAGCCATAATATATCCTACATTAACAGTCTCACTCACCGGGAGCCGTTATGCCCATGCCCTTCTACACAGTCGATTCTGGATGGCGTGCTATCGAATTCGTTAGTATGCCTTCAATAGTAGTTAAAGACAAGGCGGATCATACTCGTGGAATCTGTTGTTCTGATTACGGAATTTCAAGCGATAGCGTGTCGAGAGTTTTAGAATTGGCGGCAACAAAAGGCTGCGGACTCCCATCTGAACATAGCTCCATCCTCCAGCACACTTTGCACGCAGTTTGCGCAACCAAGCGGGCCGTCGCTGCTCCTCCACCCTGATCCGCGACCAAGGTTGGGAAAAGTAGGTCATGAGCACCCTAAAGACTGGTCCCTGAGCTTGTATGGGCCGCTGAATATATTCGAGGTTCAAGAACAGTTCTGGCCTGACATTGGGAATGGACACTGTATCTGCGATTTGCTGGAGAACTAGGTGTAGTGGCATCACGTATAGCTCCTGAAAGCGATTGGTCGCGACAACATATCCGCAAGGTTGACCTGTGATGGTGTCGATAACAAGAGACCCGCTGTCTCCCATGCGTATATCTCCAGCAGCTGCATGGTAGTCAGCATCAATTTTTTTATAGATGAAGATGGAGGCGAATTCATACTCAGCCCTGTAACGGTAACAGTCCAAACTTCACACAGGGGGCTATCGCTACCGGAATTGGTGATAAAGGTGAGTGATCTGCGAATCATGCCGTGTAGCGAGCCCCGTGGTGTCATGATTTGTACCGCACGCTTTTCGTCAGCCAAAGCAAACACTTGGCGTGCGCCATCCGCTGCTGTTCTTCCATGGCTTGGGTTGATTTCTACCAAAGTCCAGTCCAAGTTGGGAGTATTAGACTGGCCCAGTCGGCCCCAGGCTCGGATCGGCGATATAACTTGTGTCCCAGGACGTTGCCAATAGCCGTCGCCATCTCCTTTCGGCAGCTTCGAAGGCACAATGGCTTCAGTTACGGCTTTTTCGAGCTGCTTGAGTTCGTTCATATCGTACTCCACATCTGCCAAGACGCATGTTGCTTGGGACTCACTTGGCGTAGACGGCGAACCAGATGTACCCTTCTTGATACTCTTTACGCTACCGAGGCCAATTCTTTTCAGAGCGTGGGCAGGCGTCAGCGCAAAGATTGTATCATCGGTGTTGGAAAACCGGATGCCGCACGTAATGGTGCTGATATTATCGCACGTGTTGCCTGAAGCAAGAACAGCACTGGGAAGATAGGGGCTCCTGATGCAGATGTTGAAACTGTCGGAAGGGGACGCAAGATATTCAAACGTGGGCCTGAGAGAGAGATAAATTTGAAACCGAGTCGTTGAGTGAAGCTCATACTGGTCCCTGAAATGTGGTTGCGTCAATGTCTTGAGGATGGCAAGGCCAGTGTTTGGATCATCGCACGGATGTGCGATAATAATCGACGGTTCGGCAGTTAACCTATGGCCGCCGCACATCTTCAGCTGAAACTCTGTCCGAGTTGAATGCTCAAGAGATATCTCAAGATGTTTGTGAAGATGTTGCTGGAAAATCTCCACAAGGATGGCGAATTGCTGCCGATGCTCTGAGCTGATGTATTCATCTGCGTGGGGAAACACGTATGTTGCTAGCTTGATGCCGACGATCCTTTCAGCGTCATGGAAACTCAACAACGACGCTTCCACGGGCTCAGCCTGCATGATGCTGGCGGGTACGCCTTCACGGCGGAATTGTCTCCAGGGGCTCACGACGCCTACTGAGATGCTAGATATTGTCGGGGCCTTTGTGTTGCCAAAGCTGTGTAGACGGCGAGCTAGGTCTCAGTCTTGTTTTCCAATCTTGCTCGAGAAAATTGGCACTGAACGGTTTATCAAATGTCTACTTGGTCTCAGTTATTATAGTGGCTCAATAAGCACCCCTTTGGTCCTTGCAGTCGAATCCATAGGCACTGCTTACCACAACAGACATGAGAACTGAACGTCTTGGAATGCAAATTTAGCGGCAGACCATCTCCAACAGCATTTGGACGAACTCTAGGGACATGATCAATAAAATAGAAAGTTGTAATATGCCGAAACTATTTTTCCAGGCCATCCCTATACCAGGTCGATCTACGGGAAACTGATACGAAATTCTGGCAAGCTGTTTGCTCGCGTCTCGCCGCAGCTTTGCTTGCTTTGGTTATCTCGCCAGCCCTCGATGCTACTTTTCGCTTTATAACAGGTCTACTGGTCCAAGTGTAGAGTGTTGGTGGCTGCACTGCAGAGATGGATGTGCGCCGGCTTGTTATAATTCTGTAGGTTGAGGTCACGGTGGCTTATCACCGACAAACAAGAAACGACAGACTTTTTTTTGCAGTCACTTTATTGATAGTAGTCATGATTTGGCAATGGCGCAAAGGCAATCCATTGCGAGACAGCGCCTCGCCTGTTCTAGGCGCTGGCATCTCCGATTTGGGCTTCGAGCATTATGTTTGCTCTTTGTTCGATCCACTTTCAGTCCTCCGTTAATTAGCCCCCGAGGGCACTGGCATTACCGACTTGGCAGAAAGTATCCGTGAGATTGACAGAGTTGTTGCATGCAGTCTTCCGGCCAATATATTGTGAGGCGACTTCTGCTAGTCGAGTCAGCCACGTTCCGGTCTGGATCAGCCCCTTTTACCGATCACCTCGTGCCGGTATGCTCAGGCACTGATTAAGGACCCAGCAGCAAAATACGGGGGGGAAATCGGAAGGATACCTTCTCGGGTAGTCTACCTAGAGGTAAGAAGCGGCAAGATGCATCGCGCAGCTAGATTCAGAGTTGATTCTTGTTTGCTGAATGGCGTCTCATCGAATATGAAGTTGAAAAGGAGCCCATTTCTCGACATGTAGGTACCATATCAGTTTCTCATAAGCTCTTCCAAACTTATTCCTCAGTTGAACCGCTGAAAGGTTTGGCGCTTCTCATACTACTCGAGAATAAAGGTGGCCTTCTAGCGGCAGAGGGAACCCCTGTGGCTTTCATTTCCAAATGCAAACTTTGACACCTTCAGTAAGTAGCTCTGGGTGCCTATCTCATGGCTTGCATTCGGTGCAGCCCAGATGGAATCCTGATGAAGTCGACGAGACGTATTTGGCCGAATGATATCCCTCATTTCACCTTGAATGGGGTCAAGTTACTCCTTTGTAAGTAATAGGTGCAGCTACCCGTCAGGGGCCCAGTCCAACTTGCATGTAGTTTGTCGGTTCCCCGTAGCGCTGAACAAGATGTCGATCAAACTGGGCCAAAACTCACACGGGCCGTACCGCTTGGGCAATTGGTAGCAGTAGATGACGGATTCGTCGCCAATCGCCGCCGGGTGTCATGTTGTGCACTCCGACCCAGGAGATTAGAAGCTCTGCCGCGAGTCATCTACACGTTGGTTGGCTGCAAACAAGTGTCATTTCGTGGCTAAAAGGCATGGGCTGAGTGCCCTGTCCATCGTAGCTCTGGTGCGTCGCATTTTGAGCCACTGGTTATCTTCCATTCAGTGATGGGAGACCATGCAGCTTTTGATGACTTTGGTAACTGCACCTGCATGTGGCTGATTTACGGATTGCTCCATCTCGGGAGCGCTCCGGTCTCCACCGCCTGCTGCTTCTGGTAGGCGGGGTAGCTTGCCAGGTACCTGTAGCGGTGCATTGATGCACCAGCGTATACGAGATGTGACTCGGGCGGATGACCCTGATCAGCGGCACAATCAAGTCACCTTTGAAGATTCGAGACAGGTTTCGTGTCTGATAGAGCATGGCCGCAGAGCAGAGTATGTATTGCATGGATAAAGGCGGAACAATACCAGGTACGCTATCCGACGGCCTTGTTTGAGTCCAAGCCACTGTGGGAGAACGAGAGAAGAGAGCGCACGACTCGCACCATTTGTCCGGCAGACTGGCCGCGTTCAGTCACCGCCCTGGCACATGCAGATTAGGCATTCAGTAACACTCATCGATAACGCAAATCCACTCCACCATCACTCCGCTCCACCACTCTAATGGCACAGCTTCTGTTGACAGCGACTCACGGGCTTTGGAGAAGCCCGAAGCCTGCGCCAACCGCCCCCACAGCCAAACTTGGCTCTGGCTAGCTCCGGGGCTCCAGGGCTCCAGGGCTCCAGGGCTGAGCGGCGCTGCGGCTGCTGCTCTGAGAGAGCTAGAGCGCTACACTCAGGTGACAAAAGTCTGCGCCACTAGAGACCCCACTAGTACACAACAACAAACCACCAAAAATAACACCCAATCTTTAAACAGCAATTGCATAACAACAAGATGTCAGAAACGCGTGCTTTTGGTACTGAAATAAGCGCCAATCGTCAAAGAAATAGGGAATTTAATTTGGAGCAGAGAGGAGCTATGTGCGAGGCGGTATCGCGCGGCGACTCGTACCTACGCGTTGCGGCTGATTTTCACACAACGCGCTCGACTGTACGGGCAATTTATCGGCGCTGGCTGGAAGACGGCACCGTGCGAAGGAAGCCTCGTTCAGGGCGGCCGAGGAAGCTTACAGAGGCAGAGATTTGATATATTACTATTTTATTAAAAAGAGATCGCAAAATAACGTGGCTAGCGCTCTGCGGCGCGGTAGACAGTCGTGTGAACCCTAGGACAATCCGTCGCGCTTTACAGCGCGAATACAAGCGCAAATGGAAGTCTGCCCAGCGGATTGAGATAACAGAAGAAACAGCAGAAGCCAGGCTATCATTCTGTTGCGATTGGGAAGGAAAAGAGCAAGAATTAGTTGAGGTATAAGCGTTTGAAGTTAGACTAGTGGTCGAGGCTAACACACGCGATAGGCACTCTTCTCAGACGAAGCCACAGCGCAAAATAAACCTGATAATAGACGAGGATGGGTATTCCGGGCGCCCGGCGAGAGGTTTGACAGGGAAATAGTTAACGTTACAATTCATGGGAAGGTACAGATCTCCCTTATGGTCTGGGGAGGCATTTGGAGAGGTGGTCGCACCCCCTTGGTCATTATGGAACGCGATCCCGACGCCCCGAGGCAAGGATACTCTTCACGAAGCTATCAAAACGCATTATCAGAGGGCCTTCTTCCTATATACGATGGCACACGTTTATTCCAGCAGGATAACGCAAGAATTCACAATTTTGGTGGCACGCCGGAATGGCTTTAATTACACAGTATCGAGTACATCGACTGGCCGCCTCACAGCCCGGATCTCAATCCCATTGAGCATATTTGGAGTGCCTTAAAGAAGAAGCTATCACAGATCTGCCCAGAGCTCCGAGATCTAAGGCGTAACCGTACAGACATTGCGTTGTTGAAGCAAAAGATAAAGGAGGCTTGGGACCTAATAGACCAGGAATTGATAGATACACTTGTGGAGTCAATGCCCCGCCGCCTCGCGGCAGTGCGCGCAGCCCAGGGATATTATACACGATATTAATCTCTAGAAGCAGGGCTTTCTAATGATATAAAGAGATCACATTTTTCTATTAAATTCATTGTGTTATTTGCGTTTGAAGTTATCGTGCAGGTTAGGTGGTGTGGGATATCTTGTAGCGCGGGGTCACTAGTGGCGCAGACTTTTGTCACATAAGTGTAACTCCATGCCAGACAGCTCTAGGTAGCTAGGCAGCCGCAGGGAGCGAATAAGCAGCCGCAGCGCGAGGCCCTCGTGCGTCATCATGTGCTGCTCCCAGCCGTCGCCGACCATACCTTCACCTTTCTGCACCGTCTGCCTGACCTCGAATCTGCAGCAGAAGCGAAGCTGTTGAGCACGCGCCTGGCAAAGGCGACACCGAAGCTTGTGAGCACAGAGCTGGGGAGACAATCGTGGACAATCCGCACCTGACCCGACGCCCGGCATCTCAGCTGCCCTGTTCTGGCCTCGTCCCGCCAGGCCTGATTGAAGCTGCCGATTCGCATCTGTGTCATATCCTATTAGAGACGGCGGTGCCTGGCCGACCACGCTGTCTGACTCTGCCTTTCTGTCTCGTCGAATAGCTGGCGCGAGGCTACCTGGCTATAACCACCGAGAAGCCACATCACCGCCTCACTCTTCCTCCTCCGTTCTTGAGCCTCATGTTGGGGTGCTAGGCTTGGCTTCCGGCTACATATTAGACTCTTCATCTGTATACTGCAGAATTTGATCATCGCAAGAAACCGCGGCTCGGCCATGGCTCGTAACAAGGATACCGACGGGTCCGAGACCAACATACCAGCTCCCGCAATCGCCATGGGACTTGGCCAAACATCCAAAAAGGGCTCTGCCAGCCTCAAAGATGCTCACCCATCAGGCAAACGGGGCCATGGTAAGGCCATGCAGATATTGCGAGGGGCGGCTTTTACCATTTACTTCCTGACTTGTTGTGTCACGTACGTTTGCTGTTTGCTTTGCTCCATGCCCCTGCTCCCGGCTTTCCGCAATACACGCCGGGATGAGATGGCGTCTCACTGACACTCTGGTGCCGCAGCATTGTCATTACGCAGCTCCTTGGCTGCTGGCTGTACTTTGTCAACCGCGATTTCTACTATGACTACATGTCAATGACCAAGCGGCTCTTCGCCATTACGACCATTCTGATGACCCAGATCTGGGGTCCGACAACGATCCGGATCAGTGGTGATGAGACGGTAGCGGGAGAAATCCTTCCCACGGAAGGTGGTGGTGTGCAATTCAACTTTCCGGAGCGCATGGTTATGATAGCGAATCATCAGG